TCCTATCCCGTCTTTACCTTTCTTTTGCCAGTTATTGGAAGAAGTTGACATGTGGGGTTATCCGGTCCTTTTATCGAACCAGTAGCAAGTCCATCAAAGCTTCAGGGGCTTTCCAAGTCACAGGACTGCAGATGGACTGGTAACCTTTGGCAGTATTGGCTCTATTCCATCCTAAAACAATAATTTAAGATATCTTTAAGGTTTTGAAGGGTGGCCATTCAAGAAACTATGGTTACTTAAAGTTTGATCTAGTTCCTTACTTTGTCGCCGGGTAGGAAGATTTCGGGCCGAACAGATTATGACTTTGTGGGTTTGGTGAGGATTTGAGCAGCGAAATCGGGCCATGATCGTCCCGCTGTAATGCAGGTTGCCAGGGTCGCCATGGGTCGCCATGGGTCGCCAGCAAAGTGAGCACAACAGCGGGGCTGTTGTTTACCCAATACCCTTCGGTAATGGCTGGGAAATCGAACTATGGGGGATTCCAGGGATTTCCAGGGCATGTGGATGACTCCCGGAGCCAGGGTTCGGTGGCACGGATCATTTGCAATGGGCAACCTCGTGCCATGTGACTTTCTGTTTCCAGGTAATTCAGGTAGTTAATATCATAACTCTTTGGCAAATTGAGTGGTGGCACGAGAAAATCACCATATTCGAGGGGTAAAGTCAATGATGTACTTCAAACCATCTAAAACCCATTGACCTTTCATGGTGCCGGTTTGAACTTGTTGTGTGAAGGTTTTTTGCACGGGACCCAGTCTGACATGGCAACATGCACAGCAGGGAACGTCTCGCAACATGTGGACCAACGTGGACCCATCTCCTTGTTACCAAGCTCCCGCGGAGAGTTTTTCAGTTTTGCTGTTCCACTTGGACAATGTGGAAACTGCTCAAGGTGGTTTCAACATGTTGCAAAGATTGTGTCCCATGTCCCATCCTAGGATGACCCCAATTGACATCTGTACTGGATTGAAAACAAAACCAGCAGCCAGAGAACTATGACATACATATTAAATATTAAGTAAAACATCCAGCCACTGACGGTTTGTTGATGCCTTGATGCGCAGGCTTGTTCAAAAATGGTGTCACTCCAAAATGACCAGTTGGGAGAATGATGGTCAGCCATGATAAAAGCAAGGGGTACCCTTGCCAGGTGTAGTGTGACAACAAATTGTTAAAATTTAACATTCAATGATATGAATGAGTGCACAATGTTATATGTAAGAATGTTCGCTTTGGCACGTTGGCACGACAGAAACACTTGATCAGCATTTCCAAATGTATTGTTAGCATAATGTTAACATTGTTTAACTTTTTAGCACGTGAGCACTTGCATACATACACAACAAATACCAGTAGTACCGCACGAGGCGGGGCGGAAGTTGCCTTAGGGATATACTATAAAACCTTTTTCATCTATAGAATTTGCATGCGCCGTGCGCCAGCCAGGCCCGTGCGCGCGTGCTTTGTGCAAAGCTGTTGCACAGATGTTGTCTAAGAACATGATCTGCGCACGACCCCGGCGCAATGCAACGCCAAGCAAACACTTTCCTCACACTTCACACTGCACTCTTCACTCTTCACACTTCACACTTGCACTTCACACTTGCACTTCGCACTCTCTTCTCGCCTCATCTCAGCTCTTCTCATCTCATCGCATCTCTTCTCACATGTCATCTAAGTAAGTTCTTCTCAACTATTTTCATCTCATCCGAGCACTGATCAACCTTTCTCATCTCCTTGAAGTTCGTCTCAACTCATCTTAGCTGTTCTGCGCGCCAGAAAGCTCTTACTGTCAGAGAGAAGTCTCTTGCACAAAAAAAACATTGGGCACAGAAAGTTTTTGCACACAGACACTGGGGACTCAGATGCATTTACATACAAAAGCCTTTCCGAAATACTTTGTACTACAAAGCTTGCACAAACTACTTCCCAGTACTACTGTGCACTACAAAACTTGCAAAAAGTACTTCCCAGTACTACTTTGTACTACAAAGCTTGCGCAAAGCACTTCCCAGTACTACTTTGTACTACAAAGCTTGCACACAGCACGTTCCAAGTACTACTTTGCGCTACAAAGCTTGCACAAAGCACTTCCCAGCACTACTTTGTACCACAAAGCTTGCACAAAGCACTTCCCAGTACTACTTTGTACTACAAAGCTTGCGCACAGCACGTTCCAAGTACTACTGTGTACTACAAAGCTTGCACACAGCACGTTCCAAGTACTACTTTGTACTACAAAGCTTGCAAAAAGTACTTCACAGTAGTACTTTGTACTACAAAGCTTCCACAAAGCACTTCCCAGTACTACTTTGTACTACAAAGCTTGAACAAATTACTTCCCAGTACTACTGTGTACTACAAAACTTGCAAAAAGTACTTCCCAGTATTACTTTGTACAACAAGGCTTGCGCAAAGCACTTCATAGTACTACTTTGCGCTACAAAGCTTGCACAAAGCACTTCCAAGTACTACTTTGTACTACAAAGCTTGCACACAGCACGTTCCAAGTACTACTTTGTACTACAAAGCTTGCAAAAAGTACCTCCCAGTAGTACTTTGTACTACAAAGCTTGCACAAAGCACGTTCCAGTACTACTTTGTACTACAAAGCTTGCACAAAGCACTTCCCGGTACTACTGTGCACTACAAAGCTTGCAGAAAGCACGTTCCAGTACTACTTTGTGTTACAAAGCTTGCACACAGCACTTCCCTTGTACTACAAAACTTGCACAAACTACTTCCCAGTACTACTGTGGACTACAAAGCTTGCAAAAAGTACTTCCCAGTACTACTTTGTACTACAAAGCTTGCACAAAGCACTTCACAGTACTACTTTGTACTACAAAGCTTGCACAAACTACTTCCCAGTACTCAGTACTACTTTGTACCACAAAGCTTGCACAGGCCGCTTCCCAGCACTACTTTGTACTACGCAAAGCTTGCGCCCAGGACTAATTTGTACTACAAAGCTTGCACAAAGTACGTCCCAGTACTACTTTGTGATACAAAGCTTGCACAAAGAATGCTTTCACACACAGAACTTCTTTCGCAGAGAAGCTTTTACACACAGCAAGCTTTTTAAGCAGAGAAGCTTTTACATACAGAAGCTTTTACACACAACAAGCTTTTCCACAGATAGGCTTTTACACACAGCAAGCTTTCACACACAGCAAGCGTTTACACACAGAACACTTACACACAGTGCTTTTACACATGGCAAGCGTTTACACACAGAAACTTTTACACAGATAAGCTTTTACGCACAGCAAGCTTTTACACAAAATCTTTTACACACAGCAAGCTTTTACAGAAAAGAGTTTTACACAGAGAAGCTTTCTTGTACATAATCACAACAGGAATTGCAGCTCCAAAACCGGATCTCGACGCCAACGCGAAAAAAAGATGATTTTGAAGCACCTTTTAAAAGGACTTTTAAAAGGAAAATTGCTAGCGCCAAAATTGAGAAAATCTGCTGACAAATCACTGTCGCAGCCCTGACGCAGCCAGACCAATATTATTTACAAGGTCCAGCTGCAAAAGACAATAGTATTACGCATGCAGCCGCGGCACGAAGCAACCTTGATGCAGTCACTACAATGCGATCTGCAGAGATTGAGTTGCAAAACACAATAGAACTACACGCAATGGCGTCAGAATTGCAGCTCCAAAACCGGATCTCGACGCCAAAGCGAAAAAAAGATGATTTTGAAGCACTTTCTAAAAGGACTTTCAAAAGGAAAAATTACTAGCGCCAAAATTGAGAAAATCTGCTGACAAATCACTGTCGCAGCCCTGACGCAGCCAGACCAATATTATTTACAAGGTCCAGCTGCAAAAGACAATAGTATTACGCATGCAGCCGCGGCACGAAGCAACCTTGATGCAGTCACTACAATGCGATCTGCAGAGATTGAGTTGCAAAACACAATAGAACTACACGCAATGGCGTCAGAAATTGCAGCTCCAAAACCGGATCTCGACGCCAAAGCGAAAAAAAACGATTTTGAAGCACTTTCTAAAAGGACTTTCAAAAGGAAAAATTACTAGCGCCAAAATTGAGAAAATCTGCTGACAAATCAATATCGCAGCCTTGATGCAGCCAATCCAATACGATTTACGATGTCCGTGCAAAAGAGAGTAGTATTACGCATACAGCCGCGGTGCCAAGCAACCTTGACGCAGCCATTACACTGCGTTTTGCGGCATCACGTCGCAAACCTGCACGTATCTACGCACGTGGCAACATCAGATGACGACAATCATGCAGCCAGTCCAATGCGATCTGCAACCACGATTCAAGAAACGAATAGAGCTACGCACACAGGAACAACCACTCGTTGCAGAACACAGAGGAGGAACCAAAACGACCGCAGCCGCACCCGCCACACACAGGAGGTACCTTTCATCGCCGCCTGCAGCCACTTTACACGGAAAAATGCAAGGTTTAGTTTCGTGCTCCGGCTTCCTCCCCAACACAAGCGTCACCATTTCCCTTCGCCACCACTTCCCTTCCTCACCACTTCCCTTCGTCACCATTTCCCTAGGTCACCACTGCCCTTCGTCACCACCCTGTGTCATAGCCTGTTATTCTCTTGTGATGTATCGTTATGTGATGTCAAGTCTCACACCGCCCTTCACCAATGTCAAGTCTCACAATTCTATTTGTCCGTAACACGGAAGTATTGCTTCCCAACGTCCTTTGAGAATCATTTAAGTTTATCATCATAAACAAAATAAAACACACATATTGTATACATATATATATATATGTGTGTGTGGGCGTGTTGAGTGAATTCACATACGCTGCAAGCTTCGAGCAAGATTGATAAACAATCCGCCTTCAACAGTTCAGTTGCCTTAAGCAAGTCATGGTCAAGGTGGAATTGTACTGGAGTAACAGGCATCATGTCTTCATGCCGCGGGAGATTGGTACTGTTCAGCGTCACACGCCAAGACTTAATTTCAATATATACAGTTTTGCCGTACCCTACGATGGTATGCAAATTCTGTTGAGTGGCAAGTGTCGCTCGTTTCGTGATGCCTCTTGGGATTCGATAACGGGTCACTGGCTGATCCCGCTGTCGAAGAGGGGACCTGATCCTGGAAAATAGTATACTTAAAAATGTATATTATAAATAGAATTATATATATATGTACACATACGCCATGCGTTCCCTTCTTTTTGATTCACAGGTTACGGCTCTCCTTTGAGCTCTAACTCATCCAAAATCCGTATGCTGGATAAAACTATATAGGGGATTTCCCGCTTCAACATGTTTCAAAACCCAGATCGCCCTGCTAAGGATGAGGTTTTGAAAGTCAACAACTGGTAAGAAACACATCGATTTTTGACACACATATCAACACATCCACAAGCATGATAACCGGTCATAACCCTACAGTTCAAAGGTCCCCGCGTTGGATGCACTGCATCCCTCCATAGGGTGGCAGCGGGTGTCACCGCGTGCCCCGCCTCGCTACGTCACACCGCGGCCGAGGGGTCGCAATCAGCGAGCGGGGCCTGCGGACCGACACACCGGGGCCGTCGTCCAGTGCTGCTTGCGCACTGCGCGATTCATGCGGGTCCGGCCATCTGGGCCGAACAGCTTCAGGCTCTTGACAACAGTGGTGACCAAACGACCGTGTGGAGAAAAAGTGCATGGGTTAGTTCCACATTTCCTTTTCGGAGATTTTGAAGGACGCAGATGGTTTTTGAAACCGTTTGACGGAGATCCTTTCGGCGTGAGATCCTTTGGCTGCCGCTGGTGCCAAGGCCTTTTGTGCCCGCGCGATGTTATGCTCCGTCCATCATGACCCACTCTCGCTGCAGGTGCGTTGGAAAATGCCGCTGCACAATGGACCAGGTAGAGTTTGACGGTCTTGCGGTGAGAGTGTTGTCGCCGACGGAAAAAATGGCTGGCAGCTTTTGAGGGTGGGCAGCAGTGTTGGACTGAACATGTGGGAAACAAAATGTATAAAATGTGCAGTTCTATTGGTGGTGGGCCAGCTATAAGTGGTGTATAGTGGTGTTATCTACATCTCAGAGATCAGTTGAATCAAGTGATTTCACGGCAGAAACGCCTGACACATCTTGAAACATGTTGGAACTAAGATGTTCCAGTGTCCATCCATGACCTTTTACATTTCACATCTTTCACTTCACACTTTCCAGCAACCATCAACCGCAGCAAAACTGGACCAAGTTAGAGTTCTTCGCTCGTTCGCTGTAAAGGTTTTGTAAAGATCCATAGTTGTCTGACCTCTCTGCTCCCCGTCATCTCCACGGAGTCACAAATCGACAGACATGACGTCTGAAATGTCTGAAATGTCTGGGTGGCTTGGTGAATGGTTTTGGGCGTCTGGAGAAAGGAACATGGAGTTTCTATCCCATGTTTACTCTCATTCAAACATCCCTCACCATGGTTTCAACTGTAAATTCGCCATAATTCACGAATATTATGCACATTAAATCATTTTAAAACACACAAGTCACGTTAAACCCTATACAATATCTAATATATATGCAGTCCTTCCATCGACCCCTCGGCACTTTCCGCTGTTTCCGACACACGCCTGGCCACAGCGTTTTTGTTCACGCGGCCCGGCTGTGGCTTGCTGAGGCTTCAGGTTCATGACTTGGATCTGTTGCAACGCATTTTGAAGGCACCGCGCTGAGCAGGGCTAAGAAATGAGGAAATTCGATAGGATTCTATATTGTACAGATGGACAACAATAATATGGCTTATACTCGTACCACCTATTTATGGTGATTTAGGGGATGGTCTAATTATTACTGTTTTCCAACATTATACAGATATATGCGTGTGCGTGTGTCAATTTTCCATATATATATATATATATGGATGGTACCCCCCCAAAGATCTACCATTTTTGACCTACCTTTTTGAAATCTTGTGGTTTGGGATGATAAGCGAACTTTTTTTTGAAACCGGGTGAATATATATATATATATATAACACGTATACATATACACAGGCATATGCACTTCCCAAAAAATTGTAAACTTTGCAAGCTTTCCTGGATTCAAGATTCAAGATTCTGGGAGAAACTTCCTGAATCCGGGCCTGGTCAGTCAGCGCTTGGATTCAAGAAGTTTTTCCCAGAATCTTGAATCTTGAATCAAAAAAAATGCAAATTTGCAAACTTTCCTGGATTCAAGATTCAAGATTCAAGATTCTGGGGGAAACTTCTTGAATCCAAGAAGTTTTTCCTCTTGAATCTTGAATTTTTGCAAACTTTCCTGGATTCAAGATTCAAGAAGTTTTTCTTGAATCCAGAAAGAAGTTTTTCTTAGAATCTTGAATCTTGAATCCCAAAAAAATTGCAAATTTGCATCTGGGGGAAACTCCTTGAATCCAGGCCTGGTCTTGGATTCAAGAAGTTTTTCTCAGAATCTTGAATTTTGAATCTTGAATCCCAAAAAAAATGCAAACTTTGCAAACTTTGCTGGATTCAAGATTCGAGATTCAAGATTCTGGGAAAAACTTCCTGAATCCAGGCCTTGACTAAATAAAAGGTATGTTAGAGGTATAGTGGTATGTTCAGGGTCAATTAAATGGTATATTAATTAAAGGTATATAATACGGTATATACTTTCAAGGAATATTAAAGGTGTAGTAAGCGACAGTTTTAATGAAAACACAAGGTATTTTCAAGATATCCTGAAGATACCTCAAAGATATATATATTTTTTTTAAATTCATGGCCAGACTGGAATATTACAGATATACTACAGGTATATGAAATGGTGTATTAGAGGTGGATTAGATGGTATACTAAAGGCATATTGAAGGTATTTTCAAAGTCAATCAAATGGTATATTCGAGGTAGATTCATGGTATATAAAATGGTATGCTAAAACCATTTTAAATCATATAGCAAGGGTATATCAAATGGAATATTAATGATTCTAACATGGTAAACTAAGTATAGATTGTATATTAAAGGTTTGTTGAAGGCAAACTAAATGGTAAGTCAAAGGTATTTTAGAGGCATAATGGTATTTTCAAGGTCAATTAAATGGTATATGAAAGGTATATACCTTCAAGGTATACTAAAGGTGTAGTAAACGACATTTTATATAGTATTATTTAATGGTATATCAAATGGAATATTAACGATTCTTAAATGGCAAGCTAAGTATAGATGGTACATTAAAGGTTTATTAAAGACAAATTAAATGGAAAATAAAAGGTATGCTAGAGGTAGAGAGGTATCCTAGAGGTGTATTAAAGATGTTTTCATGGCCAATAAAATGGTATATCTAAGGTAGATTGAATGGTATATTGAAGTTTTATGCATTGAAAATATATTTAAAGTATACTAAGGGTATTTTCAAGGCCATGTAAATTGTATATTAAAGGTAGCTTCATCGTTATTCAATGGAATGCTACAGCTTTATTGAATGGTATATTAAGTTTTCTTTTTTTAGATGGTATTTAAAAGGGGATATTGAAGGTATGCCAAAGGTTTACTAAAGGTGTATTAAAGATATGTTTATGGTCAATTCACTGGTATATTGAAGTATATGGAATCTATAATGAAGCTATATGAAGCTATATTCATTGTAGATTAAAAATTGCTGGTCAAGATATTATTCTTACTCTGTTGCATCAAAAACACAAACATATCCAAAATGTTAGAATCTGGTGTTTTGAAAGAAGTACTGTATGATTGAAGGAAGGCTTAATATTAGTTTGAAAGGAAGACCGCACTTCTTCAGAAAGAAAACACTGCATGTTTAGAGGAATGCTCTATATTTTTTAGGGGTACTGTTTCTTGAACGAAGTCATACTTTGTTTGGAAGGAAAATTGCAGTTTATGAATGAATTTTCCTTTTTCAAGCATGGAAGGGCACGCTGCAATTCAAAACAGATTGTTTCCTTCAAGACATGTTGTGTTTTCTGACCTGAGTATGTGCTCATTTTTTTTTGAAAGTAATAGTGTACCTACTTTGTTTTTGCAAAAGGTTCCCAACAAATATTACCTCTTTGACGTCAACAAAAAACTGAAAATAGTACCGTAGATCTTTGGGGCGGGGGGTAGCATATATATCTATATATATATATATACGATTATACATATATATATATATACATATTTCTAATACGTCGTTGCCGCAACGTCCCAAGATGCTACGCCACGGCAGGAACTGGAGCAAAAGGAGGTGCAGACGGGTGTCCCACGGCAGGACGCAATAGTCGGCGCGGATGGGGCGATGATTCTCCCATTTCCTCTGGGGTGATTTACCCTGTGGTAAACGTTTACATACATAACTATGGAAACTCACCATTTTTCATGGGAAAATTCACTATAAATGGTAACCATTAAAGATATGGATTTAAAGGCAATGCAAACAATGCGAAAATCGATGAAGACCATGGAAAAAATCGATGAACAATTGCAAATAGGATATTTTAGCTCCGAAATTTCCATGCAGCAGCCAGGAAAAGTGCACCAGACTGCAAAAAACAAAATGCACTTTAAACAGTTAGCCCTCAATAGCTGGACATACCCTCTGGTAAACTAACATAACTATGGAAAATCACCATTTTCAATGGGAAAATCCACTATAAATGGCCATTTTCAATAGCTACGTTAAATTGCCAGAGGGTAACATCTCCCATAGGAGTAAGCCTTCAACACACTTTAACGAACGCTGGAGGAGTTCGTTGAGCCATCCTTACCGACGCCGGCCCGGCGTCGGAAATGCATCTCCAGGGGAAACTCAGGGCATCAGGCCTGGTGAAAGCAACAGATGCATAGATGGGTTGATAGATTGGTTGATTCATTGTTGGTTGGTTCTGGTTGGTTAAGATCTGACCTATGGTTAATCATGATTACTGTAATCCATAGCAATAATAGATGAGTAGAAATCCATAATAAGAAATCCTTTGCTCGTTGGTTGGCTGATCAATAGTGGGGGTTAGCCCCCTTTAAGGACAGCTCAACGGTGATCGATGATATGCCAAACTGGCCGCTATTTTTACCAGGATGTGCATCCCGGTTCTATCACTATCGAGTGGTGAAAGGAGGGAGGTAACGAAGGACTAGTAGTCATTATCCAATGCTACAGTGCTAGGAATTGAGTTTCCCAACCACATATAGATAGATACATAGTGGTGCCCCATAGATAGCTAAGTTGGTTTATATCTCCAAGTCTCCAAAAACTAGGACTTATGGTAGATATATCTATAGTTGATGGGGTTATAAACAAACTTATAACTGGGGGGGTACCACATTGTAGGTCATTAATCTAACTGGGTGATGTCAGTGTGTTGTTCAACATGAGATCGGACGTAAAGTCAGTTGCTGGCCGCCTGGCTGAGCGAACAGCAAGTTAAGGTGACTGGTTGGAAATCCAGCCGAAACGTGTTTGTTTGCCCTATGGGAATAAATGATGTTCCTTGATTCTGGAGGGATAACAATTTGAAGAGATCCAATGCTAAAGCAGGGTTCCTTTGCGTATTTACCATTTGGGAACATGTTTTCGATGATTCATCTCTTGAAATTATGATTATGTCGGAATTACTAGAGAGCACCGCTAGGTAAGCATTTTGTTGGGTTGTCACATTTTCATGAGTAATATAATTATCAGGGTTTCTAACCAGTTGCATCCCTACATTGGAAGTCAAAAAAAAAATGTGGCACCTTCCACTTTCACTTTGGCTGGTTTTCTGGCCTTGTTTTGGGCCCGAATTCGAAACCATGTACCCTCGGGTAATCAAACGTGGTAATGGAAAATTGCCAAACTACTGTAATTAAATGGATGTTTATAGCTGGAAAAAACATCTATAGATATGGTATTTTCCAGCCACCCACGTTTGGTTTCCGCATGGTAATTCACATAAAATCACATAAAAATCCCATGAAATCCCATGCTTCCCATGAAAAACCTCCCAGCCCCAGCCCGGCCCAACTCGTTCCTCGAGGCAGACGCCGAGACGGCTCTGCCTTCATCACCATGGTCGACCACCACATCCCCTTGCTCCAGAGACTTGACACCGCTGGGCTGGTGAAATGATGAGAATCAGAATCGCTATGGTTTTATATGGTTGGTGGTCTGGAACGTGTGTATTATTTTTCCATAATATATGGGGAAGTTCATAATCCCAACTGACGAACTCATATTTTTCAAGATGGTTAAAACCATCAACCAGTTTATTTTGGGAGAATATTGGGAGACATATTGGAACATCTTATGCGAGAATCATATGGGATAATAAGTAGAAACTAATCCTTTAGTTGTTAGATGTCGTTAGCTATAAATGGAACATCACCAACCGCCAACCAACCAGCAAAAGATGACAAGTTTTTGTGGACTACCAAAGATTGACCATGACCAGAGGAAACAGATCCATTGGAATATTCATGGGGGAGCAACCATTACAGGAACAGACCCTTCATGTTATAAGGTGAAAAACCCCATCTATGGCACCTATGGTTATACATATCCCCTATACTGTAAACCCTAGATGTATATACTATGCATAACTAATATAATTAGAGCTCTATAATTAAGCAACAATATCAGGAGGTGCTTGAAAAAAAAACGGGATATGATCCCCAAGAATGTATCATTTTTTTCGCGGGGCAAATGATGATCAACCAGTGGATGGACTGGGGGTTAGGGAATATGGATCGATACAACCTGTTGTACAGATCACTTTATCCAAGTTATCAGGGTCACATCCAATGGTTTTTTTGCTCGCGGAAGGTCGATCGCAATCAAAAGAATCGCACCCCAAGTTCGGTGGTCAGCTAAACCAGGTGCTCAATAGCTACCATTTGGGATCATTTTGCGTCATCCCAAAATGGTTGGTGTATCCAACTTCATAAACCGAAAGAGAATGGTAACCATGATTCGGTTTGCCAAATTACTAGGGATTATAAAATGAGATATGGCAACATCAAGAATGTTTGCTATGATTAATACTTCAACCATGAAATTCCATGGTCAGGTCCATGATTTTCCCTTAGAACCGGCTTAGAATCTCATGAATCTCCCAAGGTTCAGGAACTGACAACCCGCCATGACGTCTGGCCGCGGCGCTCGGCTTTGAGGCCTTCCTCCAACCGAACTCCGTGAGAGATTGGCAGTGGCACCGCGCATTCCCTTGCAGCTGGATGGTTCCTTGGAGATCACTATGGCCAGGGCTTTGTTTTTTTTTTTTGGTGAGTTTTGATGGATTGAAAAACGGAAATTCAGGTGTCGATCCTGGGAAATCTATAGATGTTTGATATAGGTTCTTGAAGCAAATCTCGAAGTTTTGGGGTCAGGTGTTTTACATTTCTTGGGTGCATTTGGCAAATTGAGATCACTTTTGGTGTTGCATCAGCTTCTTGGGGGAAACATGAGGATGTTACGAGCACACATGTGATTTTTTAATGACATATGGATACAATACGGCTCCAATCACTGAAGATTTGGATGTTGGCAAAATTGCCGCGGAAACAGTGTACGGCCATTTCAAGTTGCTGGTGGTTTGATGTGGTTTGCACCATTTTCTGGTTTACATTCCGCTGGGGTTGTCCACCATGACTTTCATCCGACTCGAAGACACCAACGACAAACTGGGCACGTCAATGTTCCGAAAGTGAAGTCCAACAATAGCAAGAAAGCATCTATCTAACCAAACATACCAAACGTTGACGCAAACTTGAACATGGAAGAGAACTCCGAACTCTGAACCATCTACATCTAGCTGAAGCTAACCATAGGTAGAAAATCCTTCCATTCTTCCCATCAAAACGTCGGTGGAGGTGAACCCCATAGTGGATCACCCCGCCGTAGGTGCCTTACGCATCCGACCACCACCCGGCCTTCCAGAGCCCTTGACAGAGGCAATAACGTAGACGGACGCGATGACGATGACTGGGGATATTTCCATAGCAACGCACTGTAATGTAATGTTTTGTTATGTTAGGTCATGTTATCTATATGTATATATGTGCGTGTGCGCATGTATGCAATAAAGATCACTATGTGTTTAGAGTGCCAAGTCTTTTGATACATGTAAAACTAACATATATTTATCTGTGTGCACGTAGTACGCATATATACATATAGTTCCATACCTACTTATACTTATAAGAGATCTCACTCATTGAATACTAGAATCCATACATTATGTACCGATTGTATATATCCATATAAAGTTGATTTATTTGCAGTTATGTTCGCTTGTGTAAGCTCGTTGCCACACATGGTGGAATCCCATTTTTCTCCACGGCCTTTAAAAAAGAGGTTTACGTTGTGGATTTCCGAGGATGATAGTTCCATTCCACCAGCATTTCCAGGTTTCCAACTTTCCGATCTGGATGACCCTTTGGTCATCAACATGGAAAATTCCCATGACAATCTGCCCCATTGAGTTCGATTCGCTTTTCCCATTGACCTGCTCATTTTTCCTATGGGGGATGTCCCATTGCCATGCAAAAATGTCTTACCCTCTGGTAAATTAACATAGACCCTGAAACTGACCAATTTATAGTGGAAACTAGTCTTTCAACCCCTATCTGGCAGGGTCTATGTTAATTTACTGGAGGGTAAGTCATCAAAAAAAAAACTCAAGTCACCATGGTTACATGGTTGTTTCAATGGTAAGTCATGGTCCAATGACTGGATATGACTGGATGATTGAGGGGTACCCCCATGACTTCGGAAACCTATAAACAAACCATCGCCTTCTTTCTCCAATATTCAGATGAGTGACTGATTATCATTCATAAAAATCATTAAAAATCTCCGGATTATCCAGATTTATAGGTGGATTAAGGTGGATTATGGTGGATTTCCATGGGATTTTCTCCAGATGTCCCATGGTTTTCCCTCCCAGGTGGACGCCTCCACCGGAAGCAGCTCGGCCGGCTTTGCCGAGGCGCCATCGGAATTTTACGGAGGGAACAACGGCTGGTTGTATGGTGAATTCATGGTGAATTCATGGCAATTTTATGGTGAATTCATGGCAATTTTATGGCGATTTTATGGTGATTTTATGGCGATTTTATGATTTTTATGGCGATGTTCATGGATATTTTTTTGTTTAGGGCACCCCCAAAACGTCAATTTTCAATTGGATTTTCTATAACTCATCCATTTTTGCGGGACCACCATTGATGGAAACCTCCATATAGAGAAAAAACGGTGACAAATTCACTTTAGTTATTATATTGATAATAGGTGATCATATTGTCACCTAATTGTCAAGAATGGTGAATCATGGGTATATAAACCGAATATGGAGAATAATGTTTGTAAATCAAACATAACATGTATATAAAGTATTTAAAAAAAACAATGCAAACATGATATCTATAATCCTCGAATCATGTGTATATATATATATGTGTGTGTGTGCGTGAACCACCCATATTTTGATGGCTTCTGGTAAATGTTGGGACGGCTTACTATTGCTTATACCAACATCATTTGAATATAGCATATCTATATATCTATATACATATATGTATATAGCATTTATTACAATATCAACTATAATTATCATGTATTTATCTTATCCATCTTTCCAAAGCCATTTTTTTGCCAAACGCCAGGCACAGATTGAAGAGAGTCTCATCGCCACATCTTGGGAGTGGACAATTGTGTGCCTTGGATCCACTGGATTTCCGGCGGGCAAGACCTGCTGGATCCGGTCTTCCCCGTGGTTTGCCAAAAAAGTTTCGACTTGGGACCGTCCTATCCTGGGTTTATGATAGGATAGGACACTATCCACGGAATCTGGATGAATCGCCAAATTATGAAGCATACCTTAAGCCATACCATACCAGACCTATTTTCAACAGGTGTTGATTGTTGATCCTCTTCCCCCAAAGCGCCTTTAAAGACACAAAGTTCTTAGTGTAGTGGTTTGGATCCACATTAGACCACCTAAACCTATCTCAACTCATTCACATTCATCTCCACATCAGTCTGGGTGAATTTTAACGACGTCGTCATCACAATGTGACCAAATGTAGCTGTAAACATTGTAAATGAGGATTAGTAAGAAGAATCATCCCAAAATGGCCTCATTTCAAGCATGTGCTGGGAGATGTCTCTTGTACTGCGCCTGCCATGCGACATGCGTCTTTGAATCGTCTTTGCTCATCCTCTTCAAACGTCTCACGGCTGCAAAACCCTCATGTTTGGTCACTTTTGTGAAGGTGTAGAATCCATTGTGCCTGACACGAAAAATGACGCTCGCTCCAAACGTGCGGCGCTTTAAAAATTTGACTTCGACATGTGCTTCGTGCCGCAGCCGTGTGCACTTTTTGGATGCTCAACCCGCCAGATGGCCCCGCACCCGCCGCTTTATACAGCCAGCCTACTTTTCGACCCTTCGGAACCGAAAGACATTGGAAAACACACCGTTTCGCGACTCTTCTACCTTTTTGCCCACTTTTTATCTTCTTTCTACTTGCTCTCTCTCCTCTGGGTCTTCCCAGGGCTGTTGATGCATCTGTCCATAAGTCGGAAACTTGACTTCTGAAATCTTCTGAACTTCCTTCGGTCATAGCAGCCATAGAATCAGCTGAGGAGCCCCAAGCAGATATATAGATGAATCATGATGAATCAATATTCTCACAGTCTGATTCCCATGATATATTTCATGTTTTCCAGGCTATTCTAAATATACCCATATGGATGTCCTATAATATCTGGTTCATGTTCATGATCTTCGCATGGATCATCTCCCCCTATGATTTCCATCCCAACGCTGCTTAAAATTCGCAGCCAGGAATCCAAACGCCAAGTTCAAGGGCAACTGCGGTTGCCCCTTGGTGTCACCACCTTTCGGGGCAGGGTGCCTGGAGGATCTCCGTGTGTACCTTGGCGACCGGTCATGGCATGTCATGGCTGATGGTGTACTGTAGCCATGGCAAACCCATGGATTTAACATGATTTAATGGGAATTTCATGGGAATATCATGAGAAAAAATGTTGGTTGGATGAAAACATGATGGATAACCCGTCGAATCCCAAGAATGCTAAACATTTTGATCTTTAACCCGGCGAAGTATTGTTCCATCGAATTTGCTGAAAAAAAACAACCCATCCATCAAAGTTTTCTCAATCACATCGTAATTACTGAAAATTCAAAGAAACTTATCTGACACATATTTTTCATGCTGGCTTAAGCTACCAAACTGATGCGTCATGTGGATGGTAGGCCCTGGTAGGCCTTGCACACCGATTTTTCTGTGAGTGGCTGTGGGGCAGTTCCAAGATGGTCGGACCAAATTGTACAAATTGTCAGAAGATGCTTGGTTTTTAAAGATGTTTCACATGTTTTGGGTTGAATTATCCTCTGGTTATGACTAACATAGCCATGGTTTTTCGATGGCCCATACAAATAGATGGTTTACCTATTGAAGATGGTGATTTTCCATGGCTATGTAACAAATAACCAGATGGTAATATGCTTAAATCAGGTTCATTGGTGTTCAGCCACTCTCCCCCAGTTCGGTGTCCAATAAGATTCGCCCGTGGTCAAAGCAAAAAGAAACCACCCATATGATCCCATATTAATTGATGCTTTATACCACCCATAAAAATGGGAAATCTTGGGATGATTCAGCCTTGCTTCAAAAAAACATCAAAGCCTAGTGGTTTCGGGGTTCACCTTTGGGGTGTTTGACGCTGTTGGGGTTCGGCGCCATCCACGACCACGCATCACTTGAGTCTCTGCAAGCCCGGCAACAGATTTTATCATCAACATATATACAATTGTATACGTATATGTGTAATTATGTGTATATATATATATATATGTATGTGTGTGTCGTATATATATATATATATGTGTGTGTGTGTCGTATATATATATATATATGTGTGTGTGTGTCGTATATATATATATATACATACATATATTATATATATGTATAGATATATGTATGTATATGTATATGTACACATATATATATATATAAATATACATATTACTGTAAATATATTATCGTAAAATATCAGACCTGATCATCTCCAATTTTCTCCGTCTCCGCCGTGTCCAACATCTGCCTTTTTTGTTCTCCGAGGATCTTCTCGCCAGGAGAGAGCTGGGTAAACGCACAGCCCAAGGATGCTAAAAAGATGAAAAAGAAGGACGAAGCCAAGAAGGCAACCGAAAAAAAAAACCGCCTGAAAAGAAACATATGAAAAAATGATGGAAAAGTGGTGATAATGGTGGTGATGGAAAATGGATGAAAATGGTGTAGCTATTTTTTTGGGTCTGTTATGTGGAGATTCTCTGCGATATCAAGCACGTTTTTTAAGGTGCAACCATATGATAGTCGAAGAAACAACTAAACATGGTGGTATAGTGAGGCTTCAATGGGATAGTAATGAGATTAATTTCACCAATTTGATATGCTTGTTTGGGGGGTGGAAATTCTATGAAATTCTGAACAACTGCTAACTGGAGGGAATCTAGAATCTAGATAGGTGAACTGCAACCTCTGAAAAGAGTAGAAGAAATTTGGCAAAGAGGCAACGTTTTAGCCGCAAAAAAAACAATGTAACATGTTGCATTCAGTTCAATGAATTCCTAAGATTTTATTGCGCGCCAACCATACGCCTAATGTATACGCTATACTTAGTTGCATTTTGTTTGGTTGTTGCAAACCTGTGCAAATGGGATTTTAGGACGTATTCAGGGCTTTGTGAATGGAGGTTATGATTGTTGCGATATCCTTGCTTGAGATCGACATCCGATATAGGCAGCTTCTGCTGGTGAATGGAGACTAGTACACGGGGCATGACCACGGGGAAAAAACAACTGAACGCAAGCAGTTCTCTCGGTAGAAAGCGTTTTTTTGTGATGACATGCGGCCGATGCATGATTTGATGTCCCTTGGAGGCTTGGCAAAAACTTCCCAAACATGGATCGTTGCAAGTAAAGTTCGGAGAACAACCTGGCGCGCCTTGGCAATTTTACATCGGCTGAATTGTACCAGATAGACATGGGATAATTATATATAATTATATAGATGGGATATAGATGGATATAGTATGATGTACCCAGTACCCTCATGTAAATTCCCATAGACCCCGCCAGAAAGGGGGCTTCTGAGTCTGCTAAAAAAATGCAAGTTATTGCCAGGGCCTATGTTAATTGACAATTGGAGGAGGAGTGTTATGACATAATTCAATCCATATCAATCCCATCCCCTAACAAGATTGGAGCCTCCCACAACCCACGACCCACATTCGGGGGCTCCTCGGCTGCCCGTCGGATCATTCTACCACTGTAGCAATTTGATACCTGAGTGGTAGAATAATCATGCATCAACTCAATGGCCATTCCAGGATCCTAAATTGGAGGTACCTACCATATATAAGGCCTATATAAGGCCTATGTAAGGGGATATCCCCCCAAAATATGGCCTTATATGGTACAGTACCTCCATTTTAGGATCCTGAAATTCCCATTGATTGGAGGCTTTTATTGGCCTCACCACTGTGTATACCGCAAAGAAATCATAGGGTCCTCAGTGGGACCTCTGATTCTGTCAGGGTTGACCCGATGGGACATCCATTCCCGTGATCGAAAATATGGAGGTTTCCTAAAATGGGGGATCCCCAAAACTAAAACCATAGGTTGCAATACTAAAGTTATATAAATCATAGAATTGGATGATGGGAAAATTTACAGGAAACCCCTATATTTGGTGGTAAAAACCATGGTTTCCTGTAGATTTTCCCTTAAACCAATCCATTGAATAAAATTATCTAATTTTGGATCATTTAGGGGTATCCCCATTTTGGGAAACCTCCATATGCGGGGCCTACTGAGGTGCAGCGAGTCACACTCTTCTTCCAGTGTCCTGGCAGATGTGGAGACCGTGAAGTCTTCTGGGATCAAATTGATTACGTAAATTGACTACTTAACATCTATTAACATCTATTATAAGTTTAGTTAGGCCCTAGTTAGGCACTAAATGGCATTAAGTGTAATGATGAACTCTAATTATAATTGAGTATAATTAAATGATGCATTGACATCGGTGTAGCTTCGATTTGCTTCCCGGTTGTAAACTGCCTGCAATCGACCGGACATCTGCTGAGCATCATGCCTGGGAACAATCGTCCAAAGGGCTTGGCAAAGTGGATGGTTGGCTTATACTATAGATTCGGTTGGTGATTTGGAACATGTTTATTTTCCATAATATATGGGATAATCCTTCCCATTGGCTATGACTAATAGTTTTCAAGATGGTTAAAACCACCAACCAGAGATGGATTGCTTGTGGAAATCCACGGGCATCCAGGGAACATTTCATCACTGACGGGTGGCAAGCTGGAACACGTTTAGTGCTGATATTTCCCGCAGCCTCATCGTTGAAGTGGTTTGAGAGGCTATTTTTTGGGAAACCTCCAGATTTGATGGGACAAACGGGTTGAACATGGTGGATTTGACCCGAATTTTATGAAAACTTTGGTAGGGAGTGGGGACAAACGGGTTGAACATGCTGGATCTGACCCAAGACATCCCAAAGCATTGTTTCAACGATGTTCCCAATGGCCACAGGGCTTCAGGGCTTCCCATCATCGACGCTCCACAGGATTGGGGACTCTTATCGACTTGGTCCCTTCAGTGCCTGCCCCGAGCATAGTACCTCTCAGGTCAGCGGTCGGTTTCGGTCGGGGTTGATGTTGCATTGATGCCTTCCCCTATGTTTCCTTCAGTCATGGAGGTAGCCCAGTCATCATCCACGTCATGGATTACCATCACTTAGTTTTGAAACATAGTCAAACCACCATGGTGACTTGGGGATCCCCCATTTAAAGAACCTCCCAATATTGCTCAGAATTCCACTACACTACACTACATTACACTACACTGCACTACCTTCCACTACACTTCAGTACATTACACTACACCCCACTACACTACAACTACAACTACAACTACACAACTACACTCCACTACACTAAATTACACTACACTCCACTACACTAAATTGCACTACACTACACTACATTACACTACATTACACTACACTACACTCCACTACACTACAACTACACAACTACACTCCACTACAATACACTCCACTACACTCCGCTACACTACAACTACAACTACAACTACACAACTACACTCCACTACAATACACTCCACTAAACCCCACTACACTAAATTACACTACACTACACTTCACTACATTACACTACACTACACTACACTACATTACACTACACTACACTACCTTCCACTACACTTCACTACATTGCATTACACTACACTACACTCCACTACACTACAACTACAACTACACAACTACATTCCACTACGCTAAATTACACTACACTACACTACATTACACTACACTACACTCCACTACACTACACGACATTACACTACACTACACTACCTTCCACTACACTTCACTACATTACACTACACTACACTCCACTACACTACAACTACAACTACAACTACACTCCACTACACTCCACTACGCTAAATTACATTACACTACATTACACCACACTACATTCCACTACACTCCACTACACTACACTACATTACACTACACTACATTACACTGAATGACACTGCACCACAGATAGACACGTAGACAGATAGACAGATAGATAGATAGATAGATACATAGATAGATAGATAAACAGATAGACAGGTAGACAGCTAGACAGATAGACAGATGAGAGAGAGAGAGAGAGATAGATAGACAGACAGACAGACAGATAGATAGATAAACAGATAGACAGGTAGACAGCTAGACAGATTGACAGATTGACAGATGAAAGAGAGAGAGAGAGATAGACAGACAGACAGACAGACTGACAGACAGACAGACAGACAGACAGACAGATAGATAGATAGATAGATAATTAGATGGAAGAGAGAGAGAGAGAGATAGATCGATAGATAAATAGATACATAGATAGACAGATAGATAGATAGATAGGTAGGTAGGTAGGTAGGTAGATAGTCAGAGAAAGAGAGAGAAACAGAGGAGACCTCAAGCACCTTTCGGTCCATCAGTGGCTTCGCTCTGCCATCCCTGATTCGCAACAACCAACCTCTCCTATAGGTTTCCTATTTTTGAAACTTCCGCCACCGCCTTGTGCGGTACTACTGGTATGGTTATTCCATTCAATGGCTTCATGTTTTTAGTAGGGATTTGGATCAACCCATGATGTTTTGGGATGAGCATAAACCAAAAATTTGGACCATGGCACGAATGGGGAGCCAGTTGGAGCTACGAATTGCTGATTTTGAACCCGAGATTTGGGATGATCCAAAGTGATGTTTTGTTCGGCGTTGAAAGCTGAAATCACCAGCCAAACAGACCAACAAAAACATGGGTGGTGAGCATGACTTCATTTGTTTCCATGTGTGTGGCGGGTCGTCCATGGTGCAGCTTCCCATGTCTTCCCCATGGCGCGTGGTTTTCCACACTTCGCAGGTGTGCGAATTGACCCAAGATTGGCGATCCTTTATCGACCAGTCCAAGGGCTCCTTGACCATCCGGGTGCCATGGCAGCACGCGGGTGACCCACCCGCCAAATTAGCATAGATCCTGTTGTAAGTGGGGCCTGGAAGATGAGATGCCACTATCATCTATAATAATCATTAATAATCAGTTATAGTATCATCTATAATAATAATCTATAGTAATCATCTATAATATGCTATATTTAAGCTCTTTTCAATTTTCACCAGTTCACCAGAGTTCACCAGTCGCAAAAACCCAGCAAACCCTTGCGGAGGGGCCAAGAAGTGCATCCATCGCCGAGTGCGGAAACCGTAACGGTTTAGAAGTTGCAAGCATTTTTTGTTGGAAAAGTTTGGTCTGTGGCAAAACGATGGAGTCGAAAAACATGACATCAATGGGATATGTCGTGGATAAGCCACCAGTCTGAAGTCTCGATTCCCATTTGTGATGGTAGAAGTTCCAATGAAAAAAACGTGTTCACCACTTGAGATGGTAACCTTACTGCTGGCCCCGCACAATCTCCAAAATTTCGCTCCAAAGTCCAGATGTAAACTGATCCCCATGACATCATACGACATCCCATGATCTGAGGTGGAGGTAACCCAGAGTGGTTGGTTCCTGGGCATGCGCGAAGAGCCCTGGGAGCAGTGTATTTTTTTCCTGCAAGCAATGAAGCCAATCAGCCCCAAACCCGTGGGGTTTTGGCATGTTTGTCTCACGTTATCCTTTTTATATTAAAAAAAAACAACCAGAAACATTCAATTTCTATGCAAAACACTCAGGGAACTCATTTAAATACGTGGATCCAATATAGAGTTTGTCCCCCCCGGGGTTGATTATACTTAGGAGATACAGTTGAGATACGCTGTATTAAAAAAACAAACACATACAGAGCGCATTGGGGATGGTTTTCTAGTTTGGATCCCACATGATCTTGCATACAATGGGTAGTGAATGGTAGAACTTGGCAGAAAGAGACTGGGGATGGAGTGCGAGCGACCGACAGGGGGATGTTCCCACTATCTCGGACAAAGTTTTGGACACCAAAGGGCGGAAACGGTGATAGTTGGTGCTAAAGACCATGGTTTCCAAAAAATAAATTGGTTTATCCCTTTAAGATAAGTGTCCCAGAATTGGTTGAACGAAACATTGACAGGACGTCCCATAAATTCCTATATATTTGTGGATAGACTGACATTGCGGTTTCCTGCCACATCCACGTTTCCTTTCAGCGAAGCTGTAGCCCCGTGGCCAAGGCAGCTATGACCGAACAGAGCTGGAGCTCTGAACTTCGAATCCAGTCGCTTCCTGAGAGACCGTGAGCCGGACATGGACCATGTGGGTTTGACAGTGTCTTAATTTGGGGATACTAGAATGATCTAGAATGCAGCAACAACTGCAATTTGATAACAATAATTAAGTAGGATTACATACATATTAATGAACATATGTTGAACATACGATGATTAACCAAGAATTTTTGGAACATGGGGTAGCCTATTTTCAGACCAGCTTGGAGCTGACTATTTTCGTGAATTGGGGGACCCTTGGGGTGATAGAAATGCAGACTGGGTCACTGGCAAGTCACCGCCAGGTGAAACTTTTGCGCATCATTTCGTGATGAGCACAATTGCAACGCCCTCTTCTTGGGCGATTCGCCTCTTGGCTAACGGTTCGCGTTTTGCCCCTTCTTGGGTGGGGCCGGAGGATCTGCAAGGTAGGGCTTCATGGCTCAAATGCACATGTTGGACTTTCTGAAAATAGGATGCCAATCGATGCAATGATCCGATATAATCCAATGATTTATCATCATTGTGGCCATTTTGGGGCACATTTCACAGCTTTTCAGATGGATGATGCACATTGCTTGAAATCCCAAAGGATAAAACAGTGCTGGCGATGTATGGTTGGCTCGTCCACCACTATATAACCTTCATCATCCTTTCAGCGTGATCAATCATTTTCCGGAAATCCATGAGCATCCAGGAGTTGCAGATGTTTTTACAGATTTTTGCACTATGGAAGTCTAGATTTTCTTCGATTTTAGCCCAGCTGCCAAGTTGGTGCGATATTTGCACCACTGGGTTTTGCCCTTTCGACTGTGGACGCCTTTGGCTCGATCAGCGCACCTTTTATCGACACGCAAGGAATGCAGGTCGCTGTCAGCGAATCGGCCACAATTAAATTGGCATAGGTGAATATAACAGGTGCGTGTGTTTGTTTAGAGTTTAGTGTAAGATAGTAATACTGTCAGATTCAAGAGGAAAAGCAGGCAGAAGCGAAAGATAGATTTTTGGATTTCCACGCCGCATCATCCATGTATACCCATCTAACTTACAGGAGTAGTTCATTTAATTTATATATATATATATCTCTTATATTTATATTATATTTATATATTATATTTATATTGTACAACACTGTACAAGCATTTATGTTCCTATGGGGCATCCTTTCAGACTAGGTGAAGCCAGGATCGGGGCATCTCCAAAACCATGGAGCCATCCATGGCGCCTTGCAACGTGCGCAACGTGCGTCGCCGGAAGCTGGTGAAACAGAGTGGTGTCTTGACGAAGTGAACGGCCTCTGGTCATTGGAAATGACGAAGTGGAATAGCCTCTGATAAACTAACATGAGTATGGAAAATCCCCATTTTCAATGGGAAAATCCACTATAAATGGGCCATTTTCAATAGCTATGTTAGTTTGCCGGAGGGTATCACCATGTTTCATAGGTAAATCATCTATAAATGGGCCATGTTCCATGGCTATGTTAGTTTACTGGACGGTGTTCCAGATACTCATCCGAGCATCTCCGAGCCAATTGTGATGTTTTTTCAACCAAGATTGCCATTTTTGGGGGAGCATTATTTTCCCAAGATAAGAACGCTGGCAGGTTACGCAATATGACAACAAGAGTGTATATTATCGCAATCATATTAAAATATTATGCACATTATATACAAATAATATATCATGTTTTGTTTGGACTGATTTATTTCTTTTATGTTTGAAACACTTGGAATTGAAGCATAACCACCAAACATTGTGATAGAACCATATCTGGAGGATAGACACTACAACAAAGCTGCTTAGATTCACGCAAGGTTTGTGAAAATTCGATTTCGAGGTTTCAGAAATCATCAATTTGGGTGTCAGCAGCCCAGCGAGTACTGCTTGGGTCGGCAGCGCTTGGCTCAGGAGTTCCAGACATCTACTGGAACTCAGGGCGCTGGGCATGGGCGGCCACTGGGACGGCAGGGCTGGCAGCTGCACGTGCTGATCAAAGAAATATATGCCATGACAGGGTGTAAACCGACTGGGGCTTTTACAGAAGAACTGAGGATTTAGTTCTTGAACAACAAATAGACTGGGGATCTAACCATTGTGAACGCAAGAAACCCAAGGATTTCCTACATTTATTTCTCTGAAACATCTGGGGGGGCCGTGTAAAGCGTTTAGAAACATTGGGGTATCCATGGGTGTCCCACCGCAGTTTCGCTTGAAAAACCCTGCCAGTACCATCCAGGACCTGTGATGATGATCCCCATTTGACTGCTTGTTTTTGAAGAATCAACCAAATTAGGCCTTGGATTTGCAGAACCTTCCAGTTCATGATGTTCACGGCATTTCTCTTAGTTGGGTCTTTTGCCACTTCTGGCGGGTTTGCCAAGTGGGCCAAGTGGTCCCCAGCAGAAAAAATGAGCCAAACATCGTTCCTGTGAGCGCAGAAAAATCACATGACAGGGCCCAGACATTCACTGGCCAGTAGGTTTACTGCAAGATTGTATGCCAATGGTTATTTGTGAACTAAATATTTAGTTGGCAAAGAACAATGGTTATATGTCATATTTAGTAGGTTTACTGCCCAGAACTTCTCATATATTGAATTCACATTCTGCCATGACAATGGTTATTATTTGCCAACTAAATGAGGTGAAGCCAATGGTTGCAAGTAGTCTATCTCAATGTGCTTAAGTGAACCCCACCTCTTTTCTTGATCAAACCGCTATAGTTTTGTTGGTTTCAAAGTTTACATTCATCGAACTTGAGCCATCTATCTCTTCCCAAACACTTTAAAACAAACAGGATAAACATGTTCTGGTTGGTGGTTTGGAACATTTAAGGATTATTTTTCCATAAATTAATGGGATGTCATCCTTCCCATTGACAAACTCCATCATTTTTCAAGATGGTTAAGTCTACCACCAACCAGAAATAGTTAATTATCATTAACCATATGATAACCATCATCATTAACCATTATTAACAGTATATTAAACCATATATTAACCATCATTAACCAAGATGGTTATTGCACCACCAACCAGGTGTCAGTGGGGAAGCCGTCGGACGGCCGCATCCCACGGCTGAGGTCCACTTTCCACTGGGCCGACGGCGCAGCAGCCGTATGTTCTCCGTGGGGAAGTTCCTGCGGCAAGGCGCGATGCCAAGATCATGCGCAAATGTGCTTGGACTGGTTGAAAGAAACATAGAATCTCATAGAATAGCATGCGAATTTGACCTATATATAGATTATATTGATATATATATATATATATTTATATATATATTGATTATATATATATTGATTATATATATATATATTGATTATATATATATATATTGATGATATAGTTCCGGACTATAGTTCTATTGTATGATGTCGAAGGATGGAATTAAGCCGATTGGTTTAAAAAAAATCGAATTTGACTATTGGTTGAACATACAGTATATACATGTTTGGTTGATATGCGTTCAACAACCGTAGAATTTCACCCAATTGATCCAATGGTTGAATATGTTTGGGGAGCCGGGATAATTATAAATTATATTTAATGGGAATGATTAATTTGACTGTATTTCGTTATCATTGTTGGCCATTGTTGGTGATCTTCATTATGATTCTGGCGTATTCCATTATATCCCCGGTGATTGAGTTTGTTCAGCTAAGTGCCCTTCAGCAAAGATGCACAGGAATCAGTATCGTTGGTCAATAATCAATTATCATAACTAGGTTCAACAACTCTAGTTGATGATTGGTTGGGATCAGTAAGCAGTGTTTGGTATCACGGCTAGCTTAACTTTTGATAGTAGGGTGGTTTATGATACCAACCACATTTGGTTGTTAAGCTACTCAATGTATGTTTTTATGTGTTAGTGTGGTAACGATGCCAACCATGGAATGGTTGGCATGACAATTTAGTTGAAGGGGTAAAACCCAATGACAAACTATACCCATTTACATATTGTGTTCCCACTTGTGGGGTGTTATAAACTATAGGCCTAAAAGGGGATTTGCCATTGCTTACCATGGCTTACCTTATGAATCCTGTGAACACAACGGGAGTCCCCCAGTCCCCAGATACTTCCCCATCTTAGGAGTTACCCTGGGGTAAACTAACAGCCAGATGTGGAAAAGCCATCAGGAAACCCTAGGGCAAAGATCGCTGAAATGGTGACTAAGTACTGATTGATTGTGTTGACCGCCACTTTTTTCCAATAAATCCTTCTGAAACGGTTTGATTCCCATGTGTGCCGCTTCAACTCCCATTCATTCCCATTCACCATCATGATTTTTGCTAAATCCACTAATTTTCAGAAAGATGTTCAGAGGTAAATTCCAGGTCAACTCATAGCCCCATTCAACCCCATGAAATCGCTATGGTTGATAATGTTGATGGTCAAGATCCCATGATATATCCCATTAAATCCCATTAAAAATCCCCATTAAAAATCCCCGTGAAATTCCATGAAATCCCCATGAAAATCCCATGAAAAAAACGATCGTCCCCATCTCCCTGCAGGTGCCAGCGAGGCGCAGGCGGATCAGCAAGCGCTGGACGAGGCCAAGGTCTTTCGCCAGAAGCTGCTGGACGAAGGCCAGATGGCTGGATCAATGGTCGATTTGGGGATGGTGGCTCCGGAGAACACACTGTGCCAATCTGTTAACAGCTGCGCCATATAATGCTGTAAGCATGTATGCATGTCTGCATGTAATATTTATATATGTATATAGACGATATGTGTGTTTGTGCGTTGGTACATTCACACATTTTTCTAAATCATGGCATATATGTGTCATTGGGGACTTCTCTATCGTGCCACGTTAGGGCAGTAGGAGGATTGGCGGCTGGCAGCGATTGTGTACCTATTGGTGAATCTATGGTGATATGGCTTTGTCACTCAGCTGTGGAGGGGCAGATGTCAAGCTTAATGAGGGGGAAAGGCTACACAATGCCTTTTGGATGGACCATGATTCAAGAAAAGATTCATCGAGAATTGTGTCGACACATTTTGATGAACTACAGTTACAATGTTTATGGATTAGAGCTATAAGACTAAAAGCCTACTTTCCCATTATTTTCACATATGTCCCCATTATTTCCCATCAAATCACCACTTTAATGTGCATTTGCTGCATTCGTTCCTTTTCCTTGGCCCCGGCCCCCCTTGGCCCCCCTTGGCCCCCCTTGGCCCCCTTGGCCCCCCCCTTGGCCCCCTTGGCCCCCTTGGCCCCCCTTGGCCCCCCTTGGCCCCCTTGGCCCCCCCTTGGCCCCCTTGGCCAACGGTCAGGCGTCCTGAAAGAGCTTGTCAAGGAGTCATTTGGTTCTGTGTGTGATTTTTGCCCGTCATTGTATCCATTTTCAACGTGAAAAAATGAATATATATATATATACATATATATATATACATATATATATACATATAATATATATACATATGTATATACATATACATATATGCGTGTGTATATGTATACATGCATATATATATACATATCTGTGTGTGTGTCTGTGTATATTATGTGAGTGTTTGCGGTTCATTATTGGAAAAACAGTTGAATATTATACGATTTACTGGAATATCCTCCGCTGTCGGGGGATGTTCTAGCCAGCTTTCCAGGAAGAGCGGCCGCAGAGCGACATTCCTGGTGTGAGTTGGCAGAAGGAGGTGCAGAAGTGGAAGGTGGAAATCGAAGTGACGCTCAACGTGGTGAAACCCCTGGATCCTGGAGGGCTAGTGAGATACCCTCTGGGAAACTAACATAGCTATTGAACATGGCCATTTATAGTGAGTTTTCCCAGTAAAAATGGTGATTTTCAATAGCTATGTTAGTTTACCAGAGGGTATCTCAAGAGCAGCCCTCATACAAATTATGTGTAGAGATGCGCAGCCACATCCTGTCCAACCCACAGTATCCATTGAACAACATCGAACTTACATTTCTCTTGATTTGTGGTTTTCCTTTGCAGGCCCCATAGAGCAGCTCCCAAAATACCAATTGAGAGGTTATTGTAGCAGTTCTAAACTACCTATGTGTAAAAAGGATTAAACTATACTCATTCGCTGGGAACATTTTTTTAACCAAGAGTGTAAAAGGAAAGGTAAATTTCTGCTAAAGAACAGTAAACTTATGTTGTTCTACCTTTTTGTTGGGGTTACACGAAGGAGGCATTGCTCAAATAGTCCCAAAAGGACATCAACGATCACCCATTGCTTCGTAACCCAATAGTTACATATAGTTACACTATATAGTTATATCATGTTATATCATGAACTTCTAAACCCAATTGTTTTTCTGGAAATGTATGGAATATTCTCCCTCCCCATCCCCATCATGGCCCCAGGAAGGGCAAGAAGCACTACGCCGGCTGCTTCACCGAGCAGTCCTCCGCCGAGCACCGCGCCCGAGAGCTTTGGCGGGAACACGGCGCACCACTGGAAGCGTCCCAGAGCGTAGCGGTGCCGCGGCGGGGGTCAGATGGGTCATAAATGTCCTTTTCCCACTGGTTGGTTGATTAATAGAGGGGTTAGTTTACCCCTTTAACGACAGGTAAATGATGATAGATGGTATACCGGACCGGCCCCTCTATTTTTACCAAAAGGACATTGTTGGGTCAGATGTTTTGAATTTGGCCGACAAGTATATCTCCCGGTGAAACAACCCAAAATCATCGAAACTTCCACTGAGTTCAGGCCAGGTTTTGTGTGTGTGGGGACCGGAGTGAGTTAGCAAGTGGTTGGACCCCAGATCTCACAGATTTTCACAGTAGTTTTGCTAAGGGGAGGTGATAATTCACATGATTCAAGATTAAATACATATCAAATCGGTGCTCGATTTTTTTCATGCGGATTTACGACTAGCCAAGTGGAAGTTGGTGGGCTGCAATTCTATTGTTCGAACCAGCTTCTTGTGTGCCTAGGCCTCAGTATAGCAATCTTTTTCCCAGCCGGCCAGATCCCACGTTGGTCACCGATGAGGCTATTGTTCATTTGGGGGATGGGAATTATTTCCATGAACAACACTAAGATATGTTTTAGTTCCAAACAATCTTCTTCCCCAAAAAAAATCTCCATTCAAATTATATTCAAATTATTCAAATCCAAAGCTCCATATCTCATCATATCTCATCATATCTCCATGCATTTTTTCGTGCTTTTTCCCAGCCTTCCCAGGTAGCTATGGCCTACGCGGATCTCCCGCATTTTCGCCCCACGTCGCCCCATCCGGGCGTCTGTTGGATCCGCCGGGATCAGTGCTGGTGGGCCGCCAGCTGCCTTGGCGAAAAAAAGATGCGGAAGAGTTTCCGAGCCAAGCCCAAGGAGCTGGTTCCACATCACTTTTTTTGGGGGAAACAAAAAACATCAAATGATTGTGCAAATGTCCTATTTTTGATTATATATATATAGTTGTGTATGTTGGAGAGGTGATAGTGTTATTTATCTAGATTATTGAGTTATTGTATCAGATAGTATGTATTATTATGTCAGATATATGGTACAATTTGAATATTTTTGTTTCACATATATATAATATTATATATATAGTTTGTGATGTTTGTATTGATGCGTGGTTTATTCTGGAACATGATCAGGGTCATATATTATATATATATATCATATATATTCAATGGTGGCCAGAAGTGGCACATGCTGTGCCATAAGCCCCAGGAACCATTCATTTGGGGACTATTGTAAATCATCCCAAGCAGGGGTACATCATTCAAAATCCAAGAATAGACCACAAATTGTGACTTGTTGATTCTGGGATTTTCTCATAATTTGTATATTGTATATATGTACTCTATTAATACGCCCCCCCTGGGCTGTTTGATGAGGGGTGACTTTATCAATGTGATCCCAACGATAGATGTCTTGAACACTGCAGGATTTCTCAGAAGCCGAGCTGGAAAGAACCTTCCAGGAGGCGACAGATGAGAACTTGTGGGAAAAAAAACCTCTGCAGCCATGTGGATTTGTTTAAATGAAATTCAACAACATTTATTGAAACTTCTACTTCTAGTAGACATGTTGCATGTCAAAGATTTGCCGTTTTTCTTCTCTAATTTCCAAAGGTTTCATGGAGTTTCCATAAGTTTTTTTCCCCGAAACGCCAGGTTGTCACCTGGCTCAAGGAGCAGAAATCCAAAGCACAGGCCGAGCAGTTTTTTCTGCGACATATTTCGAAGTTCTTTCTTTGTAGTTCAAACATGATTGAAACATTTGTATTGGGATATTAAGATTATTAAGTAGGGAAATCGACGGTACTTTAAGACACCACAGATGCTTTATGTTATGGATCTAATATAGAAGTGTATAATATAAGTATGATTGAAATGGGCACATTTGAGGCTGACCAGAAACTGACAATTTCAACTCGATCCGCAGGGGATGAGAAAATGGGGGCCTTTTGTATCTGGGTGGTTCAACCAAGGCAAGTGATGGTTCACAAAAATTCTTGGTGCGAATTTGTTTGAATAAGATCTGTATACAGTAAATCATATATAAATCATTTAGGATCTGTATAAATCATTTATAAATCATTTATAAATCATTCAAACTTCACAATTTTGACAGCTTTGATGATTTCTTTGAAAATTTCGTCCCCACAAGGATCCCTGAAATGTATTGCCGCCGTATCCCATGTTGATCCGTCACCCAAAAAACCCTGAGGTGCAGGACCCTGCGCCAGAAAGGAAGCGGACGATCCTTGATTCAACTCATGGGAAATCTTCGGGCGCATGATGATGCTCAAAGCGTGGTGGTAGGTGAACAATTAGCGTCATTTTAATCCATGAAGATTCAGTTGAGTACAATATAGTACAATATCAGAACCAACAAATATATCACGCAAGAGTTCTTTGCTTAGCCAAGATTCACTATGATACAAGTGACAAACATGAGGATATTGGCCAACCATGCAGCTTTTGAGCAAAAATGGTTGACACTGAGAGGTTTGAACCACAAGTTACAGGATACCAAAGGGGTACTTTTATGGACAAAGCAAGGAGAGTGGGTTCTACAACACAACGGGTAGGGATCGAACATGATGGAAACATCTTCAAGACTGTCTTGCACTTGTCCGGCCATGTAGTGGATTGAAAGATAAGGAGAAAGAGGAAGCAGGAACCAAAGAGCGAAGAAGCACCAGCAGAAGGCCCAGTGACTGGTTGATTATTCCAAGCAAACATTGATATGTTCGGTTGGGATGGGCCCCAAACACATGACAATGATCAACAGGCGATCCCAGTTACTTTGTATACTCGATGTATCACAGGCATCACCTACTTACAAATGATTCCTGGCCTTTGCACATGCTCGGCTGTATGTTGAGGGTTTTTAAGGAATCAAAATTGGTCTGTCTGAAAATGGGGGGATACCTCAAAATGGTTGAAGAGGGGATAGGGATACCCTCTGGTAATTTAACGTAGCTATTGAAAATGACCATTAATAGTGGATTTTCCCATTAAACATGGTGGATCTTTCCATTGTTATGTTAGTTTACCAGAGGGTACTCCATTCTTAGACACACCCAAGTGGATTCCAAAGGAGACCGAACCCCTGCCCTGTAACAGCGTCTGCTGTAGGCGCAGAACACGGAGCTCCGTTGGCTCCGTTGCCCAACTTCAAGGCACCTGAAAATGTGCCGGGAATCCACTGGATGCGCAGCGAGCAGTGCTGGAAAGCAGAGCCTCTGGGACGTCCAGTGGTTGGTATTTTTTGGTCAAAAAACCCTCACTTTGGCGGTTTTGGGCGGTTTTGGGCTGTGGCAATTATCGGAAAATGCTGGAAGAGAAGGGATTTCTTTCCAATGATGTCACCCACTGAGTTGTGTTGGCTATAGTTCCACTTTTTTCGTAGAGATACAGTGATTTGGTTCCCTGGGATTATTAAAGGAGAAGATGTGTCCATTACCATTTTTTCCCATATTTTCCAAGTTCAAACATGACCTGCTGCGCTCTTTGGTGCGACAATTGGTCAACAGTCCTGTGGTTAGGCACCGAAGCAAAACACTTCGATTGAAGATGAGAAGCAGGCCGCCCAAGCACCCTCGAGTTGCTGATTTTGGTTGACTCAGTGGTGTTTTTTTTAATCATTTTTATTTGAGAAAAATAGGTTATTGAACCAAGATGAAGCCGATTTGAGGAATCTATAATATGGGGGTTTCCTAGGCGGTACCTGCAAATCGTCCATTTTTAATCATGTTTATAGGATTTTCCATTTGACACCATCTATTTTGGGGTAATTACCCCCATTGATGGAACCCCCCATATACATCCATATACTAGATATTTTCGAAAGATGGAAAGATTCCTGCCTTCTTGAGGTCCTTTTCTAGAGAATGACCGCAGGGTGGGCTGGGCGATCAAAGCTTTGTGTTCTTTCGTCCCGATGTTGGACTTACTGTAGAATTGTTGGGTGGTTGGAATACTTATGAAATCAGTTGGCTTTCCAACCGCCCAACATTTCCAAGTAAGTGGTTGATGTAATTGTTGGGTGGTTGATTCATGATCAACATTTAGCCGCTATGCATCAGGAAGCACAATAACTGAATGGTGCTTTAGCCGCTAACCAAGATGCCAACTAAAATCGCACACAAGGAAAAACAACCGGGAATCTGAAAGCTTTAAGTCTACAGATGTTTTTTTGGTATATACTGCCTGGTCATTTAATTTAACATAGCTATGGAAAAGATAATGTATGATGGATTTAATGATTTACCTATTAAACATGGTGATGTTCCATAGATTTACCTATGAAACATTGTGATATATGGTGATGTTCCATAGATTTACCTCTTCAGCATGGTGATGATCGATTCCTGAGGCCCATGGACCACTCGAAAGAAGAGCTGGAACGAGCCTTCAACGCTTCTTAGCTGCGCCAGCTGCCCATGTTTTTTGAAAGCCTGGCTGACATGTTTCCCATGACTGGGGGTTGGAACATGTTGGAACACCATCAAAATGATGACTTGGGGAATTATGATCGTAGTTTGACTTTCAGAGCTGTTGAATGCGCAAGATTGCAAGATATCAAGACACTTGAATCTCAAGTTTCTTGATGCAGCAGCACATTTCATTGTTTGACCGTCGAGTTGACCTCTGCCGAACCCAGGAAGCTCGCGAGTGGTTGGAACGACAGAAAGCAACTGACAGCTGCGCCGGCCGCGCCGCGCCCGTGGTCCCCGTAGCCACGGCTGAGGTGCAAAGATGCCAAGGCAAAAGTGGGGAACCGAAGGTTCTGGGGATATGGTAATTGAATGTAATTGAATGATGTTTGGAATCTGGGGATTGAAGTGATTAAAAAGTTGGGACCTGCCAGGCTGCCAGAAGGAACCATGTTAGACTATATTAAATGACGTTAAAGTTACCACAATCTCACTGGACTATGTCACTGCTGGTGGCTTGGCCGTGTCCCAAACACCAGGGGATTTTCCAGCGGCAGCAGGTGACATGAAGCGTGGTCACAAAGGAATCTGCTGGACTCAACGGGCGTCTTGGTTAGGGAAGATGGGATGTTAGGGATGGTGTGTAACAGCAGACCTGTTCCGAAGTCCGAATTTCTCCGAAAAAGATGAGGATCAGGATCTGAGGATCCCCATCCTCATCTATCCTCATCTATCCTGGCAGAGGAGTAACATCTCAACATGAATCCTGCCCTGGGAGCTGAGGAGCGATGCTGGAAGGCGCAGTGTCAGATCAATGGCTCCAATCGACAGTTCAAGGTGAAGCCCAAAAACTCGCGGCTCGGTCCGGCTCGGGAGACATGATGTTTTTTCTCGGGGTATGGGATATGTTGGGTGTTCCCGGCACATTTTGGGGTAAAGTTGCTATAAGTTGCTGAGGGGAAGGCGTTAGAGCGAATTTCTGGCTAAACATGGAGGAGCTCTCAGTTGCTATGATTGATATCTGATATATCTGAGGGTGGCCATGACAACCGAGCCCCATAGATGATGCTTGAGTTGATAATGTTGAGATTGGAGAAGCTGTTAGGGAGCTGCGATGAGTTGCGCATCACAGGCTTTGGGACATGGGGAGTTGTTGCGTATGATCCACATCCGCACCTGCCCGCATGATGGATTCAACATCGCCCATATAAGATCAATGTGCATCCACATGGTTACGAGGTTATGATATCTTATGGCCATTGATGTGGAGTGACCGAGGGGAATCTAAGGTACCGGATGCCCAAAGGATATAACCCTTCCCCACCATAGGTGCGCATTCAAGCCGGTTCAAAGAGCTTGTGGAACCCAGCTGTTGGTATTCTACCCCCGCGCTTCACAACAGTTCGACTGCATGTTTCGGCAAGTTGTGCTGCAATTTAATCCTTGATCAATGAAAGCACATGGGGTGGGATAACCCTACTTTTAAATTCTATAGTTCTATGATATTCTATATAATACGTGTGCATGAACATTGAGAAAATCAGATGTCTTTTGAATCTGATTCTTTGATTATCACTAGTGCACTTGTGCTGATTCCAAGAATTGGATGACCCAAAATCCATTGAAAAATCCGGAAGATTCTAATCTCAAGGACCATGAAAAGGCAGGTGCAGGTGTCCTGTGAGATTCCCAGCCCCGACATCGCTCCAGGTCAAACGAAGCTCTTGAGGCATCCTTCCAACGAGCCGAAGCTTGGCCGCGCTTGGGGATGAAAGGGTCGAAACCACGGCTGACTCCTTGATCATTGGAGGAAAAGGCCGGACAAAACCATAAAAATGGGTGCAAAGGATGCGCATTCTTAAAATGTGTTCAAAACATATCTGGTTGGTGGTTTGGAACATTTTTTATTTTTCCATATATTGGGAATCATAATCCCAACTGACTAATATTTTTCAGAGGGGTTGAAACCACCAACCAGCATATGTAAATCGATTGTTGCACAGCCTCAAGCATGTGCGCATGCTTCAGTTGACTATGTATACTCCTGAGACCACTAGTCTGAGACCACTAGAAATAGTGCTCGCGGTTTCATATTTTTTTCCATGGGCCGGATGAATTATTTTCAGGGGGGCACTCCATGTTTTTGGGTCACATTTTCCATGAAATAAACATTCATTGGATTGGTTTAAGGGAAACTCTTAACCGGAAACCATGGCAAATTTACCATTAAATATGGGAGGTTCCTGTAAAATTTACCTTAAACCAATCAGAACCAATCCAATGGACGAGGACTGGGGGTAGCCCCAATGAAACATAAATCAACCATCCATCCATCGGGAACCCCCTATGACTCAGCCCAGGTCACCTGGCTTCAGCTGCAACGCGCCGAACGCGCCGAACCAGCCGCGGCCGCGGAAGCGTCGAAGGCTGTGACGCGGCGGAAGGCGCGGAGGCAGCTGAGGAGCTTTGAATGCCCGGAGCCGGTGAAGCTTGGGTCAACATAGTCCTTACAAAAATTGGGAAATATGGCTTAGATATATAATGATATCCACCATAGATATCCTGGTTTCTTGCAGATATTGGATCTAAGCTGGGATATTATCCAAAATGCATCAAGAAGTGGCGTCAACCAGCAAAATAATGGGTTTAAACATCAGCACACATGACATTTGCTCCAAGCCATTGCATTGCTTCTCACAAGGGGAGGGGCAGCGGTATTATTTGGGGTGGTGGTAGCAACCCTGACAATGCTTGGATGTATATAAATTTAAGTCGAAGCCCCATTTTTACACTCAGAGGGGATTTCAGTACTGAATATTGCCATGATTTACCACCAAAAATGATGTGTAACCAACAATTGTAGACGGGGATATACTGGGATACAGCAGGGCCAAAATCCTTGGTAATCAAACCTTTGGAAAGGATAGGAATTCAAGAATCGACATGGAGGGGGGTGAACCAACAAAAAATGGAAGGAAACGTAACCGACTCGTGAGGAGAAGTTTAATTCGATCTTTGCCATTTTGATGGCGGCAAATGTTACTATGTGTATACATATGCTAGCCAGCCACAGAAAAAAAACACATGATAACACATGGTATCTCAAATTGGCCATGTATCATCATGAATCATTGCTTTTTGATTGGGGTATAAGTCAACGATTCAAGCCTGTGGGACCGCAGATGGGCTGATATGTTCTTGTTTGCAAGTGTGAATCATGTGAATATTGACATCTAATTACTGGACTGCCCAATCGAGCGATCCACACCCAATTGAGCGCTCAATTGGATATGATTTTGCTCAGAGCATATGTATATATATATACATATATGTATGTGATTTGATTAGTCACAACGGGAAAAAAAAACGTGGCTGTTGAGAAACCATCATGATGATGTATGCAACACACCTGGGGCGGTTCACCACCAAGACTGTGGAGGTATCATGTTCGTTGATGAATGGTGTAAGCGCCAAACATGTGGATATGTAGATGATGTAACCCGAAATGACTGTTGCCGAATGCTTGGTAGTTAGGATTAGGACTGGTCGGACTGGGGTCTGGCGGTTGATGGTCGGCATATGTATTTATGCCAGAAATCATGGCTGGCAGATGCTTAATGATAAACATGAGGTCACAATAATGAACATGAACACTATTTGGTGTTGGCCATCAACAAGGGATATAACCCATAAATTACGGTTGGTTGTTGGAATGGGGGTATGCCAAATGGCTCAAAAGGGATCATAGGTGTCCAACATGGAAACCTCGTAATGCTGGGAGACCCAGTCCAATGATCGTCCCAATATAAGAAGGCCGCTGAAAAACTGGTAGGACTAGTCCCATAATTGCGCCATTTATTGTGGTCTCTAAAGATAGTTTTTTTCCCATTTGCACCCATCGTATTCTCACTTAACCTTGCCACAATGTCCATATCTTCAATGGCCCACCCAGATACCTCCACTGCATACGAGGAAAATGGACCTGGCCTTGGTCATGGCCAATTTGAAAAACGAGGCATCAAAAATGCATTTTCCCCATTAGGTGGCCATTAGGAAGGCATCCCTCAACCCAGGTACCTTTCCAAGGTCCCTTGATGTCCCTAGGAAGGGAGTCTGTTGGGCCCGGCCCCAGCAATGCTGGTTCGCCCGCATCACGGACGCTGCGGGACGGAAGAGGTTCTGTCGCGTAAGGCCCAAGGACTATTCGGACGCTGGGAAAAAACTCATGGCTACTATGCAATCTTTGGCTATCTTTGAGAAAAAGTACCTACCCTCTGGTAAATAAACATAGACCCTGAAAATCACCAATTTTTAATGGAAACTAGTCTTCCAACCCCTATCTGCCAGGGTCTATGTTAATTTACCAGAGGGTAATGATATTTAAAATTATGGATGGGTTTTGGTTTTACGACGTTGTTTTCAATGGATTTATGTTTGCTTTGCCAAGCGTCCTTTATTTTGGGAGACGCCTTTTTCAGACCCTGACCCTAAGCCGCCCCAGTGGTCAACCAGCAATCCCCCACATCGCTGGTTGGTGCAGTTTTCCCCATGTTGTGGGCATGCATTTGGTGAAAGCATTCCATTTTCACCAAAATAAAGGATGGTTTAAGTGCATCCACATGGATATTAAACCATTAACTGGATCCATGGATCCATTAACAATTAATACAATTATATAATGGTTTAATATCCAGTTAGTAGTATTCACCAATATCCATGGATAAAGAATGGGCAATGATGTCATACTACCAACTGGATCCATGGCGATGTTCCCTTAGGCCTCGCTAACGCACCCGGCATTTGTTTCGTGGGTATGTGTCCCTTCAGTGCCTTTGAACAGTCGGTACCCTTTGGCATTGAACATGGCAAGGGAAAACACAATTATCACTGACAGGAAAACCACCTCAAACAGGGATGTAAACATGAGGTTCCATGGCCGGATTGGGATCCAAGGGGTAAATCAATATGTTTATCAGGTGTCTTTTTTAGTAGCTTTAATCCGCATTTATTGTTGAAAAACAGGGAGATTGTGGCTACTCCTTGCTCAGGCATATATTGCTACCAATCAATGATTGTTTTTTTGTTAATTAAACACCCAATCCATGAGCCCTTCTTAGTTGTTGCTAGTGGTTCCCAAGCTCATATAATTAATTATTATATATAAATGTAATTGACCATAAAAGTTTAATACCCAAGACATCCCAAGATTGGATCATGATCCATCATGGAAAGCTAATGGATTCCCCCTACCAACTGGCCCAATAGAATCCGACCCAAGAATTGTTGCGTGGTCACCGTCAGCAACTTCCCCAAGTGGCCAAGGACGAGAAGGTGCGGGAAGCCTTCAAGGCATGTGCTGAGTGGCTCCGCTTGCAGCGGGAGAAGAAGCAGATGCTTGGAACGAGCCTGATATCACCATGGTGAGTTCTCCTCCATAGGTTGGGAGAGTTTGCCCCTATAATTATAGGATATTATAGGTCTATAATGGTATATAACCACTTATAACTGGGTCACTGCACCCACCCCTTCACCGTCCCTGGTGGTGTGTGTCACGCGTTCACAACTAGCTCTACGATCCAACAAATCTCATCCCACTGGCAATGTGGTGTTCCATTCTCAGCCGTAGAAACCACCAAGAAATGAATTTAAAACAACCCTGGCTTGGTTACCCCTTGAAGTTGTAATTATCCAAAATGAAATATAGTGACCTTATTCAATGAACTTCATAATCCCTTGTTTTTTTCCGAAAGGAGATTGCCTTAAATTGCACAAAATAGCATCAAATTACAAGATTTCATGGTGTTTCTGAAGCAACCCCCAACTTCCCAAATAGGTAGAAGAAAGGGTTCCAAAAAGTTGTAAATGATCTTTACCCCAACTTTCCATGATTGCACCTTTTATTCGATGTGAATATTAAACTATGTTTTCTTTATTTTGATACGGAAAACGCCATCCAAAGGGTGTGAACATTACCTAAAATAACCAGAATTGGAGCACACATTGAGTTGCACCCTGGAGCAGCTTTTGGAGCTGGAATTCTACGTGGGTTCAGCCTCAAGGTGTGTGAATTGTAGCACCTACGTTCGGTGTTCCACGGTAAATCAGGGTAACTTTAAACCGAAGGGTCACCAGTTCCACCAGCAGTCCGCCTTTGCCGAGGAAGGATCGAGAGCTGACGCAGGCATCCAAGAAAGGTCCGAGAAGGATAGTGAGGTCCGATGTGCCAAGGAAAAAGAAAAAAAGAAGACAGAGGCGGATTTTCTGCAGTGTTTTTGGGGTGAAGTCAGACTATACTATCTACGAATCTACTCTTACCTTGGGAGGTGATGATAATCATGATAATATTAATGATATCTATATATTCTATAGTCCCATCTTGTTTACGCATAATAAAAATGGTTACCCCGGCAAATGTTCGCATCCTTCCCAACTTGAGAATTCCTGTGCTCAGGATTGGCCACACACTTTGTCTAGTTTCGTGCGCGATGTACAGATGCATCAGATGCCGACCGGGACATGGGACCGCATCATTCCACTCGGCCGCGGAGAAGGATGGGCATAGAATCTGTCAAAACCTGTCTTGAACATCTGAATGTGTCCGAAAATAGGATAAAATAGGCATAGGCTACCGCCAATCTTGATGGATGGTCATCAGTTTCTCATGAAAATTGCAATTTTGGGGGGTGAATTCATGTTAATTCGTGAAAATTTGCGGCAACCCGCAATAGATGCATCAGACTTCTCACCATGGTTGTAAATAGCATGGCTTCCAGTAAATGTTTGCCCCCAAGCCAGTGGCAGTAGGATCATATGCGGATCATAGGTGATTGAGGTGCCAGTGGAAGTGGGAGGATGTGATTCGCCAGCCCGGGGGGTGTCCCATTTCGAAGCGCTCGACCGTGCTCCAATGGGGTGTCGCTCCGAGAAGCAACGAACCCGAACGAAACGCGACCAGATTCTCCGTTGAAGGTCAGGAGGCTCGGCGATACTGATTTGTACTGCAGGTGGTTTCAGACAAGCCGCGAAAACTTGGGAAAGCTTGGCTTCCCGGCTTCCCAAATACATACCAATTTGGGATTCATAACTTGAGAGCAAAACGGTTACGAACAGCTGTTGGATGGGGGGTGGTTTCGCATGGAATTGCCTTACAGCTGTAAGAACTGATACCTTTTAACATGCCATGTCAGGTAAAGGGGCCACAGTCGGCTAGCAACACGATACAAGAATGAATGTGTGTTTGCCTGAAAACAGAGCCCCCTTGACTGTGATGATCATCATCTTCCTTGTTTACATTGCAAAAAACTCAGGCATTCCCTTTTTGAAGGACAAACCCTTGAGTGAAGTCTGGCAGATTTTCAGAGACTGAACAGTGCCATTCTGGTGAGGACCATGGAAGACCCGTCGTACGACTGTCGTTTGATGTGTGTTTCCGTTTTTGGGCGGTGTTGTGCCATACAACATCTGATGCGCCTGCGGTGCATTTCTTAAGCGTTTTCTATATCTTGCATGAGTGCCAAACAACAGCTGTCACGCCATGGTGACATGGTGGCTCTGGGCACTTTGGTTGTGAGGGGTTCCCTGATGGTAGTAGCTTCGCCATGGGTCGCTCGTCACGCGAATTGGTTCACAGTGGACTGTCCTTCCGCCGGGCCCGAAGGACCGTCCATGCTGCATGCCTTGGCTCCACCGGGCTCAAAAGATGGCAGTTTGAACTTCGGAAGCTGGTGGAACAAATCTGGGTCAACCCACTGGTTAGATATGGTTAGAATATCTATAATTCTATATATAGATCTTAGTACTTTGATCTTTGCATATCTTTGCTATCAATGGTAAGATGTACTATGTACATCTATGTGCTAACATGTACTAACTTAATTAGTGACCTTGTACTAACCAGATACAACTTAGATTGTTTGACAGGTATCTAAGAACCATGAAAGTGGAACACACCAAAACGGTCCAAAACGTATGAAAGCAACGGCAAAACGAGAATCAGAAAGCAACATTGAATGGTGCGGCCAGCATGCAAGATCACAAATGGTCCTGTTGAGGGGACGTACTTGTGCATTGAGTATGCCACACTTGCCGCCTACATATACAGCACACAAAGCTAGATCTTCTGTGTAATTGTTGATTGCCGATTGTAGATAGATGCTGTAATTAAGTAGACAGATGGATAGATGGATAGATGGATAGATGATGATAGATGGATAGATGGATAGATGGATAGATGGATAGATAGATAGATGGATAGATAGATAGATAGATAGATAGGGGGAGAAGTGGAGAAAAGTCGTTATTTTTGCAGTAGAAACATAGAGAACAGAGATGCATACAGCTTTGCCTAGTGATGGTAGCTTCGCCCCAAAGATGCGTCCCTTGCTTGTGCCATCCGCTCCGAACAATGCCGGCCGCAAGACACGGTGTTGGTCCGGTTGTAAAGGGGGCAGCCTGCGCAGCCACAGATCCGCCAACTTGACCCATGCGAGAATCCTGAATGATTCCGACTCCCGTAACATTGGCAACAGAAACTCTTCTACTTTGAAAGGTATGTTATAAAATGTAATATAATATATATATATATGCGTGTTACCTATATATATATATGTATATGTGTGTGTGTTTGTTATATATATATACGTATATGTGATTATATATGTATGTGTGTATGTATGTGATGTAATGTAATGTTTTGTTATGTAATCTAATGTTATGTTATGTTATGGAATGTGTGTAATGTATGTAATGTATGTAGTGTATGCAATGTATGTAATGCATGTATATGTGTATGTAATGTAAAGTAATGTATGTAATGTTACGGTATGGTATGGTATGTTATGTATGTATGTACTGTATGCAATGTATATATATATATATATATAATGTATGTAATGCAATGCAATGCAACGCAATGCAGTGCAATGCAATGCAATGCAATGCAATGCAATGTATGTTAGGTTATGTTATCTTATGTTATGTTTATGTTTATGTTATGTTATGTTATGGTATGGTATGGTATATATGTATGTATGTATGTATGTATGTATGTTATGTATGTTATGTATGTTATGTATAATGTATGTAATGTATGTAATGTAATGTATGTATGTATGTATGTATGTAATGTATGTATGTATGTATGTAATGTAATGTATGTAATGTATGTAATGTATGTAATGTATGTAATATGTATGTAATGTATGTAATGTATGTAATGTATGTAATATGTATGTATGTATGTATGTAATGTATGTAATGTATGTATGTATGTAATGTATGTATGTATGTATGTAATGTATGGTATGTATGTATGTATGGTATGTATGTATGTATATGTATGGTATGTGTATGTATGTATGTATGTATGGTATGTATGTATGTATGTATGTATGTATGTATGTATGTATGTATGTATGGTATGTATGTATGTATATGTAATGTATGTATGTATGTATGTATGGATGTAATGTATGTATGGTATGTAATGTATGTAATGTATGTATGTAATGTATGTAATGTATGTATGTATGTATGTATGTATGTATGTATGTATGTATGTATGTATGTATGTATGTATGTATGTATGTATGTATGTATGTAATGTATGTATGTAATGTATGTATGTAATGTATGTATGTAATGTATGTATGTTATGTATGTTATGTATGTTATGTTATGTATGTTATGTATGTTATGTTATGTATGTAATGTTATGTAATGTTATGTAATGTAATGTTATGTAATGTAATGTAATGTAATGTAATGGAATGGAATGGAATGGAATGTAATGTAATGTAATGTACGTAATGTAATGTAATGTAATGCATTGGAATGCAATGCAATGCAATGCAATTTAATGCAATGCAATGGAATGTTATGTTATGTTGTGTTATGTTATGTATGTATGTATGTATGTGTGTGCGTGTGATTATATATATATATACATATACATATACATATACATATACATATATATATATACATATTTATATATATATTGATTAATTATATAATATACGTTTTTTCTACAGACTTCCTCGGCAAGACGGGTCTGTTGGTTTTCTGTGTTTCTGCGGATCTTCGGCTCGATTTTGATCCCGATGCCACGTCATCAACGGACGGCGCATCCTCAGCGCGCCACTGTCCGCAGCGTCACCAACCTCGGCAGAGACCGAAGGACGGGGCGCACCGCGACAGGCCGCGACTAGGAGAGCCGCACCCCCACCGCGCCCAAAAAGCGACGGCAGCCACCTGTGCCCGGATGTGCTGATGGATGATTTTGAAGGACTGATCCATATTTTCAGCTATTTCCAGGTGTCCAACTGTTTTATTTGTTTGAAGGGCTAAAAACATCCAAAAATGATATTTTTGTCCCATCAATCCCCACTTCTAGGATCAGATGTAGTTTGAAAGGTGTGATTTCCCGGTGGAAGCCTTCATGACATCCAGATGTTAGTTTGGCATATCCTGCAAGCAAACACACCCATTCACAGAATATCTATGTTTACATAACATAGCAAGCAAACTGATAGACCTCACATGACCTCACCATAGTGATATTGGGGACAGCTTTGTGGAAATATCCATATGTTTTTGCTGCGGTTGGTGCCCCTGGATGGCCCTTTTTTGGGTGCGTTGGTTGTATGTCTGCAACAGTGCGAAGGTTTCGGGCCATGCCCTCGGTAGGCACATGGGGTTTACTAAAAGATGTTGAAACCATGGGATTTGTGTTGCTTTCGGGGTGTTCACCTAATTTTTTAAACGCACCATACAAATTTAGCCTGACTTCTTGGAGTTTGTTCAGCAAAACTCAAACTGACTGGAACAGCGACTCTTGATGATTCTTGCATATTGACACCATAGGACAAGATAGAAGTGCATGATCACTCAGAAGCATCAGGCGTTTCTTGCCCTACGACCGGCACTTGTGTGCACAGACATGTTTACCAGGAGGAGCTTAACACCACTTGTTGGTGCTTAGATTTATGGTTGCCCCATGGAAATCTGGTGTTTCAGGCTGGAAATGCCACAAGAAATCCAATTTTCATGATTACAATAGGCATACCAGACAAAATCAGACATATCCCCAACCACAATGAACAAGTCAAAGAAGAACACACCCTTATAATACATAAAACAATACACACACATGTATATATATATATATGTATTAAAAAAAGAAAACGAACATATCATAAGAATCTCAGCCAGGGGATCCACCGTTGTGGCGCCATGGTATCCAAGTTCTGCGCCATCGTAGTGCCGCTTGGCATTTTGCTGCGGCTGCTCCTTTTAGCGGCTAAGCAGCTCTATCGGAGCACGGACTTTGAAGTTCACAGGTGCCGCTCTGGCGAGGATGGCGATGGCTCAGTGAATGGATGGGTTTAAGGAAGAATCGGACCATGGCGAAGCCTCGATATTTCCATGAATTTCCGGAAAAAGACATGGTTTCCTGTAAGATGTTCCCTTAAACCAATCCATTGTTTGTTGGACAACTTGAGGGTTGGATGGTTTAGGTTGTAGAGTTTGTGTGTTTCTAGATACAGCCAAATATGAAGATGATTTGGTTGTCCCGTTTTTTCTCGTTGATGTTTTTGAATCAAGATTGCTTGGGTTTTGAATAGCTTACTTAACTACTCAATCGGCAAAAACCTAGGGGGACTATGTACCCTATAGAAGATCCGATACATGTATGTATTGTGCATATATGTAGATATTGCATGACATTGCACACATGGAAGTATAATCTGTGGATATCTATGGATTCACTCTCAGTCTTTCACGTATCACGTCTCTATATGTATCCATGTCCGAGTTTCCTTTCATGACATCAGGATCAGAGGATCCCGCACGGCCCAGCCATACCCAAAGATCACCAGTTTATTGCTTCGTCTTAAGTTACTCCTAGATGATCACTTCTACGCAAGGGTTTCTGGTCAAATTCCTATCTGACAAGTAATGTTATATACCTATTTGCTGCTTAAATCCCCTCTTTGCTAGTCTTTGCCGCGTGAAATTCAGTGCCGGGGGAGATCCCCACCTTGAAGTTTCGTAGGAATTGGCTTGCCATCACGCATCAGTTACCGATCTCGGCTGCTTGGTATCCAAGATGCGCAGCCGAATCCCATCGAATCCCTTTCCCCTGTGTAGCCCCCTTCCCCCATAGAAAAACCTCATATTGGGCCCGCAAAATATAGATCCAATATTAAACCACGGTTTCGGCTATAGGGGTTATTTAATACTTGGGCCAACTTGGGCACTAGGGGGGAAGTCTTGTTCCAGATTCAAAACAGGGTCACCTGCCATGGCATATTTCAGCGTCACTGCGGAGGAATGGTACTTCGAAGAAACGTCGCCTTGGACCCTGGACTACCCTCCAGCTTTTGCATATTTCGAGTGGCTTTTATCTCAGGCATCCACACAATTTCTCTAGCATGGGGCATGGGGAAATCCTGGGATGACAAGAGCATTATTCATTCTTCCTGTTTGGAAATTGCCAGCAATGTGCATACACACATATATTCAGATGCATTCATATATATATGTTGTTTTAATGTATATGTACATGTTTTGGTGCCTGTAAATATATATATATACACCTATAATATATATATTTATATATTATGTGTATATATATATATATACATATGCATATGCATATGCATACATATATGTGTGTATAATACACATAATATATATATATATATGTACATGTATATGTATATGTATACGTATACGTATATGTGTGTGTGTGAATTTAGATATGTTGGCCATAAATGGCTGTAGATTGTTTGTTTAGATGTTTAGATGAGTTGACTGAATTTAGATACATGTTGAATATATATATACACATATATATATACATACATATACATGTTAATATGTGGGTTTTTAGGCGTTTATTTTATCTACACCGGTAGTGATTAATGCATGTCACGCCTCACCGTGTGCAGGTGGCCGTCCTGCTTGATCCAGCCATGCTGCAGGCATAGGGGACACGATTTTTTTCGGGATTAACTATGACAAAAACTATGGTGTTTAAGGGTACCGTAGATAAACCCCATTAAAAAAAATGCAAACGGGAGCTTCTGAGACAATTTATGTTGTATGTTGCCTTGTTTGCTTTTATGTTGATGTTCAATGTTTGAACCTTACCTTTGATGTTTTTCTGGGGGTTGTTTTCAGGGCATGTTTACTCAAAAGTGTTCATGCTTACCTTGTTGATATTTTTTTGATTGGTTTATGTTTTAGTTAGGGTTTGTTTAGGTTGTTGGGGCTATATTCTGAAGCAGTCCTTCTTATGCTCTCTGGTTTCCTTGTCTTGGTTTCCCCAATCACCGACACCTGTGTCAACGCCAAACACATGCATGGTGACTGGAGTTAAAAAAAACAAACAAACATTAAACTGGGGGGCACCATCTCACGTGGGGATTTTCCCAACAACAAGTCACCGGGATCTCTTTGTGCAGAAATATTTTTTGGTTCAACCATCGTTTTCACCATGGATTTTGCTGTCCACCCCATTTACGGTTGTTTAAAAAAGGGATGGTACCATAAAAAAAAGTATTAGATGAAATGACACAAAAGGAGGAGTACCCCCCGGTACGTTTTTCATAAACCATGTTGGCATTAATTCTGGGTTGGCATTAATGACATAATGGGAGATATTTAATGGACATTAGTGGGTTATAGCCTTGACAATGTGAGTTTTGTCCTGGAATGGGGTACAGAAAAGGTGCCTCTTGTTCCAAGCTGTTGATGGTTTGATGTTGTGTTTTTCCCGCCAAAAGGGCTATGATCCTGGTTGACTTTTCCCGTTTGACTTTGATATGTTGCAGGATGGTTACAGTAAACTTAAACAACCAAGCAGCTATCCACCCTGGGTCTCTGTAGCCATCTCTAACGTAGCATGCTTGGGCCAACAGTTGTGGAACCAGCATGAATGGAGCAAAAAGATGAGTTGTTCTATGTTGCACCATGTTGCACCCTACGATTACCTATCTTTGAGGGCAGGCTTTCCTGCAGTCTGGTGGCCTCCAGAATCAAGAAAGTCACATAAAGTCCACTTTTCTTAACATCAGTCCTCAGTTTATCCAGCATTCACATGGCTGCTTTCCATGATAGAAATCCTTTTTATTTTTCTGGCACTAGATCCCGATTGCCGAGGTCCAAAACCTGGACTATGCCAGCGAAGCAACGGAGCCTCGGACGCTGACTGGATGACAAAAACAATTGAGCAGTGAAGCCATGGTGGGTTGATCTTAAAATGCTGGATTTACTGTAAGCCTCCTTAAAATGGCCCATCCGCGGTTTTTATATATACCCTCTGGTTATTTAACATAGCCATGGAAAATTGCCCATTTATAGATGGTTTACCTATTAAAAATGGTGATTTTCCATGGCTATGTTAAATAACCGGAGGGTATATGCCAATGGGAATGAGTATGATCAACTATAAAAAATGATCAATCATGCGCTGTTGGTGCTTCCTCTTGAACAAAGCCATATGGCTGATCCAGTTTTCCAGGCCCATGGCAAAAGGCAAAACGGAGGATTGGGGGACCTGGGGCCTCAGTGCTCTTCCTCTCAGGTCATGTTTCAACGCAACTTGGTTTCACATGGAGATCATTGTGGAAGGGTAGCAGGGCGTTTTCAGCTAGCAGCTGGAGTAGACTTTGGTCAACAGCGCCCATTCTAGAGCAAAGTAGTTTGCCAATCTCTACATCGGGCAGGATCTATCTTAGTTGGAAAGAGTTTAATATTGGGATCAAATGTGCCACTGTCACTGGGTAAATTGTCCATATCTTGGGATATCAGTCAATCCCTATCCAGCAATGGGAAATTATACACCCATGATGAGGATTCCCATAATGGAACGGAGATCATGCCCAGGACACCATGTTTTGACCTTGGCTGTTGCTGTTAGCATCGCACAGCAGGCCAGTTATTTATGGTTAATTACGACGCATCAATATCGGTATGTTTCACTACCAACGGCACTCCACCCGGGAGCGCCACCGGCGCTTGCGTAAATCAATCTGTAAATGACTGGCATCTATCGGCTTTAATTAGTGAAGTTCTAAGTGTGGTCATGCAGCCATGCAGTTCTGGGAGTACGAATGGGTGAGTAGCCGGCCATAATGGTGACTTTCTGTATGGTGTATAGGGATGTTGCATGAGTTTACGCGATTTTTGCAATTGTCTCTGGTTGCGGGGGTTTGTTTGTTTTTATGCTCCTTTCCACTGCTGGATTACGGAAGTTAGCAGGTCTGCTGCTGGAACGATCCCTCAGACTAGTAGTTGCTGTAAAACATTTCAATAAAAATCAAGAAACGTGTTTGACAGTTGTTGGTGTCCACAGTTAGTGGCAGGGTATTGCAGTAGGCACCATCACCATCATCACCATCATCATCATCATCATCATCATCATCATCATTTCGAATCCTATTTGTACATGATATAGCTCCTTTTCATGGTGAGTTTCATGTGTGAAGTATCATGAAATTCCAGATCAACTCTGCTTTTCATCCTTGCCATGGGCAGCTGGGCTATGGTTATCCCACCATGGGATATGGTCATCCCCTTTGAATTTGCGCATTTATATAATGTGGATGAGAAAATAGACTATGCTTTTGACCATGGAACGCGCACACCACAGATATATATATATATATATGTGTGTGTGTATTGTTATATGTATTTATTATATAATTGATTCATTTATTGATTCACTTATCTATTATATACAGTATGCAAGCAGCACAATGGCTCCCAAAGGGATGGAACTTCACTCCGAAAAAAACATGGATTTCGCTCGCAAATCCGAGCTTAACTTGACCACATATGCTATCATATGCACATATACATATATATATATATATGCACATATATATGTATGTATGTATGTATGTATGTATGTAATGTAATGTAATGTATGTATGTATGTATGCATGCATGCATGCATGCATGCATTTCGTACACCCCCTATATATGTTTGGCGGGTTCTTTTTCCCATCCGATGGGCTCAGGGGGTTCGGTGATCCTGGCTGATGTGCTCCTTGCATTGGGCGCCTTTAACTTGGGCGGTGCCAACGCGGTGGCACTGGTGCTGTGGAACTCTGGCCTGCTGCTGGTGGATCACGTGTAGCTGGGCAGATATCAAGATGGGGACATAATTGAAGATGTTCTTTGAATCAATAGAACTTGCAAGGATTTGGATTTCATTGACATTTCATTGACATTTATGGCTGCATGCCCAAAAAGTGATGAGAAATGTGAGGGCACAGCCCACCAGACATGGCGGATCTTGAATGGCATAAGGTTAGACTTTGCTCGGCTAAAATCGGGGAGCCAAAATGCAGATATTAGCCCAAAAAGTTACCATTATGAATATCCAATGTATGGGAATGTGTGGGACCATTTTTGTGAACAAGTTCACAGGCTAGGTCGTATTCTTTGTTTTGGGCACCTGTTTCACAACAAATAACTTGTAAACGTGTCTTTTTGTTAACTGGCATTGTCTCTGAGATACTTCACCCATCTTCACCCTATCCCACACTCTCACTTCTACCACAAGGATCTACGGGATGGTCGGCATTCCTCACAACAGTGCAGTGCTGATTGTTGCTATTTGCACGCCTTGGGTTTTTTTCAGTTTCTGGTATACAGATTATACAGGTCGCAGAATAACCGCCATTGCGTGATTGCCAAAATTGCCAATTAATGCATCCCACCAGGCAGCACTGCAACTGTTGGTGCTTCACCCCAGCATCACCTGCAGGCATTTTCAGTACAACGGTATGCTCTTGGGCATCTTATTGCTGTCTATCTCGTGCATGGAAACTGGACGGACCTATATTGGGGCACTACTCTTTTGCCTCCTCCTGTGCATGAAGTGCCTTGAGCGCAAGATTTTGGACATATCTTTGTAGTTGTAAGCACTGCAGCGTTTGTTTTTTTGCAGTTGGGCGTCTTAATCATTTTCTGGGCGCCCCGAGGGAGATTCCAGAATCCGAAAGTTTGCTCTTCAGATCAGGGTGGGTCAGGGTGGGTGACTTGGGGATCCGAGGCACATTTTCCTCTACGTCTCTCCGGTCTTCTTTGTGTATTTGCTGCGCTTCCACTGTGGTCTCACCTTCCAGCCCCTGCGCTTGCAGATCGGCGCAGCTTGCCTCGGTTGAGCGAAGCTGGGTGACAAAATATGGCAGAACCGACCAATGTTCGTTTAACCCATTGACTCATACTCATACCATCTCATACCCAGGGTTGGAGTACCATTATGTTCCATTGGTAGCCAGCAAACCAAGCCCAATCACCAGATGCTTCAGGCGTTGCTTCGCCTTGGCCTTGTGGTGCTTGGAACTTTTCTTGCACCCTGGCTGACAGATGGTGAAATGAAAGCTGACGGCGAGATCTACAAAAATGATAGCCTTATATATATATAGCTAATCTTACGCAATGTTATCGATTGGTTAGGAGAAGGGAGCGATTCGGAACTATAGGTGTTCATATTATATAATTATGTCATATTCCCTATCGCTGGTATATAAATGAATGTAAATGATATTAAATGTTGAGCCAAGGAGCTACTAAGAGTTTCCTAACCACATGGCAGAATGAACCATCAAATTTTGGAATAGGAACTTGAACGCAGCGCCATTTCTTTGATTTAGGACATCCCAACCAGCGGTGCGAGGGTTTGCCGAACAACAAATTCGAAAAATGATCTTCGAACCTTCCAGGGCCATTTTGGACTGCCATGTCCAGATCAACCATTTCACCTGTCGAACTTTCCGACAAACCACAAAGTAAATATAGCTTTCACACATGGTATCGCACCCGAAGGATCATACTACATCATACTACATGATGTGCTTATTTAATTGTGCCCAGCATTTGCAGATCTCGTGGGCTTTCACTCGTGCGTTTCCAGAGATTTCCGGCTATGTGGGTATGGGTGCCCAAAACCAATACTTGTAACTAAAAATGATCAGTTTAATTTGTAGGTTTTAGTGTCTTGAGTTTTTGACCCACACTCACATATCTTCATTTTGAATCTGCCATATTTTGGTTGCTAAAAATCACTGTTTTTTTTTAAAGATACTTAAGTATCAGTACTTAATTCCCCCAAAAATCCACGGCGAGCCGTGGCTCGAGGCGCTTCTGTTTCCGCTTCTGATCTCCGGACCCGTCGAGAGCCAACTACCGCAGCTGCTGCGGCGGCTCTTTCCCTTCGGGCGCGGCTTGACGCACGCCTACTGGGCACCGCCACTTGGCGCCCTACTGGTCTGGGTTTGGGGCGAAATGTGGGGCAGATTGATAGGAAACCCCTGTTACAGATGATAGATGATAGATAGTGCTAGTGGTTTTGGCAAGTTGAAGGCTATGTCAGAATAGTATGAGCAGAATTGGATGAACAATTCCCGGAAGACCCATGAAGACCCTGATTTTAGATGAGTATTCCTACCACGGGTTTCCTTGAAATTCAACCAAGTGGTTGGGAACTGGGGGGCTCAATCGGCAGATAGTCCTTGAAAGCCACAAGATGGTACCCCATAATTAGCCAAGTTAGCTAAGTTAGCGTCCAGTTTACCAGTATGTTAACAAGAGTTGATGGTGATTCATGGTGATTAATTTCGATTGGTGATTCATGGTGATTACAATATCACACACGATTAAATCACCATTAAAAACAGCAATTTGCACTTCTTTAATCATCAATAGTATGTTGATTCAGAGCAACTTAAACAGTACTTAAATATCATTGAAATTCATCAAAAAATTGAAATACATCAAAACACCATAAAACACCTCTAATTCGTGAAATCCAAATACCATCAATGGCGCTATGCGCCGTCGCATCAAGGAATCTGTGGGCCTTGTACAACACCTTGGATCGGGTCTTGGCCAAGGCGTCGATGGGATATAATTGGCCGATTTGGAGAATTTTTCATTGTGATCAGATTGTGAATCTATGGTGAATCTATGGTGAATCTATGGTGAATCTATGGTGAATCTATGGTTAATAATGGTTAATAATGGTGAATCTATGGATAATATATGATATATCTGGGTAAATTTCATCACGACCTCACTGCGACCGAACCCTGGAATCATGGTTTATGTTAGGGAAATCATCCCAAAATGGCCGAACTATTCAGGTTAGTGAATTATTATAATTTACCCAGATGATATGCGTTTATGTATGTTTATGTATGTTTATGTCAATCACGTTCAATCCTCAGCCGTTGATTTGTTGGTGTTGCGTGTTCTTTTCTCTAAGTGACTGGTTGAAGACCACTTAAAAGTATTAAAACTAGGTTTGGGGGTTGATTTTGGAGCAGCAATAGCCTGCATGGTTCTGGCTTCTAACGCACATGCATGGCATATCCAGAAACCCAGTCACCCTGGATTCGTCCAGATCTTGGGGTTGAGGCAAGTCTCCTCTTCTTTAAAAACATGTTGATCCATATTAGTTGGGCCTTTTTTCAAACAGAAGCATCATCTGGTTGGTGGTTTGGAACATTTGGATGATTTTTCCATACTATATGGGATGTCATCCTTCCCATTGACGAACTCATATGTTTCAAGATGGTTATTGCACCACCAACCAGTCATTCACCCCGGGCTGTTATGGAAATCACTAGTTCAGGGCCCAATGTTTAATCCACCAAGGTAGACTTGAATTGCCGGGCTTTGCCCATCCCACAATCTGCACCATGATTTGATACAGTCAGCACTAGTCACTTTTCTATCACATTAGAATCCCATCACATTCCCATGATAATCATGATATAATTCCCATTAAAACTCCATGAATCGAATCCATAGATCCATAATCATTTATCCAAGCTATTGTTGATTTAATCACCTTCACAGTAATCACCATCAATCACCATGACAGTAATCACCAATAATCACCATTAATCCAGTAGAAATTATACTCCATTATCATCTATCATAATCCATTATAACCCATTATAATCATTTATAATCCAAAATAATCCATTGCTGGAGGGCATATGTCAGAATAAATCCCGTCATATCCCCCATTGATAGTTAAGTTAAACCCCAATCATTCTCATCAATGCCATATCATATCCCATCATATTCCCGTTGAATACTATAATTATGGGATATACATCATATTCCCACAATCATACTCCCATAGTCACATTCCCATCAATCAAAAGTCGAAAGTTAATACATCTAATGTGGTTGCCATAATTAGTCATTATATAATTATTATTATTATATATATATATGTACATATTCCTGGTTGGTGGTTTGGAACATTTTTTATTTTCCATATATTGGGAATTTCATCCTCCCAACTGACGAACTCATATTTTTCAGAGGGGTAGAAACATACCACCAACCAGATTATCATTAACCATCATTAATCACATATATATATATATTTATATTCCATATAAAATAACCATTATTAACATTTATTAACCAGGTATATTAACCAGATTAAATCACCCAAAAAATCCTAAGACTTTGGGCACCTCAGTTTTCCCCATGAAATGGACCCATGACATTTGCAGGTCATGGGTGCCTCAACTTCGGGCGGCTCCACCTCCGGCTTCGCGGAGGCCGTTTTTCAGGGGACTTCGGGGCTTGACCAAAGGCAGCTGTGGGTTGACCAAGGTTTAGCAGGATTACCCTCTGGTAAACTAACATAGCTATTGAAAATGGCCATTTATAGTGGATTTACCTATTGAAAATGGTGATTTTCCATAGTTATGTTAAATTACCAGAGGGTAAGTCTAATTGTAAGCTATTTTGGTGGTTTCGGAACCACTAAAAATATTGGGTGTTGATGAGGTTGAAGCATCAAAACCGTGGGGATAGCCCATTTTTATCAGTTTTTCACATAGCCATGTTATGCATGACCAATATTCGACGGCTGGTTTTGAAGCTTCCTCAAGTTCCAGCCAAATGGGATGATGTTCCCATCAACAGCGATCTGATTCCTACACAGCGACTGAGTCTATAAGGGACAAGCCAATCGTGATATGGCTATGGATCAATACCTATAGATCCCAGCTATTTTGATGTGAACTACAGGGGTACAAGGTTTTGACACACTGCCATATTGAGAAAGAGAGACAGAGCATGAGATTCAACATCAAACATCTGGAAAGGATACTGTATGTCAAGTGAAAGATGGTGCGATGTGCAGCCGCTTGCAGCCGCTTGCTGCCGAGAAACCGATGGATTTCCATGTAAATTTCATTAAATTTGCTCAAATGGCAATCCATTGTTGATGATTATATAATCCTATTGTTGATCCCATTTTTCAATGAACTAAAATAGAAAACCTGGTTGGTGGTTTGGAACATTTTTTTTTCTCCATATATTGGGAATGTCATCATCCCAACTGACTAATATTTTTCAGAGGGGTAGGTCAACCACCAACCAGAAACCTTTTTATAAAGTTTATCCTGTTGATGAATCCAGCATGCTTCTGAAACGGTTGGTGAAACTGGCGCTTGTTCACCTCCAAGTCGGCCAGGTCTATGAGTCAGCAGTTTTGTGGACGGTGCCACCCAAGGTTTGGGGCGGTTGGGTGGTTGGGAATTTTTCGTTGGCTGAATGGGTATGGCTATATGACATGATATAACATAATATATAACAATATATAACAATATATAACATATTAAAGCCATGACTTTTTTGCACTCAGATATAGTGATATATAGTGGTATCAGACGTGGTATATGAGTCGTATATTCTCATGCCATGGCATATCCGGTTTTTGAACATCATTCCCACTGAGACAAGGGGTCACCAGGCTCCAGGTGGAATCAGATGGGTCACCCCAATTACGGTTACGCTTATTCCACCTCTTGATTTTGCACAATACCTGGTAATTGCACCATATTTTTCACATAGCCATGGAAAAAATCATGGTCCACTTATAGATGATTGACCTGGAACTTATATACTATATACCTATGAAAATTGCCCATTCGTCCCCGAGGCAACTTTCGGCTTGACGCTGCTGGCCTATGGCCCTCTATTGTGGAAGATTTGGCAGGCTAGGGATGTTCCCAGGCAAACGGGCAACTTGAGTTCGAGCTTTCCCAGTTTGAGTTGCCACATATTCGGATGATAATTTGTGTTTTGCTTGCTTTGTCCACATGCATATGCGTGCACATGTGTATGTCTACACATATTCAATGTGTACAATATAATAATATGTAAAATGTAATATATAGAATCACGTGCCATTGTTTAAGAACGATGCGTGCATACAATACATACACTGTACATGTGGCATCGGGAAGCGACAGCGATGGGTAGTGTCAACCCCAGATCTGTGCTGGTTTTCGGGACAGCGCGGATTGATCTTCCTTCAGTGTGTTGAAAGATGTTGAAAGCTCAGGGCCCCGGGTGGAACTACAGCAACCTGGTTTCACACATATTGAACTAGGATGCAAGGAAAGGATGCTTGGCCCAGGCTTTTTGCGCATACTACTTTGCTGAATATGTGGTACAATGTGGTACATGTTTCCATTCCCCAACCGTATTTTGTTCCTACTCTTCATGATTCCTTTGGGCTAGCCCACTCTTATATTCCCATGTTCTTCCCAAAGTCTCACACTACTAACGTATAAAGTATGAAACCCATTTTCTTAGAGTACTTGCCAGTGCCATCCCATTCTTTCCATTCTTTTTCCCCTAGTTCCCAAAAAAGAACGAACGGTTCATATTCCTTCTTGCATCTTCTTGCCTAACATTTGTCATCTTTCAATATGTTTCATGGTTTATTCCCAGTTTTTATTCCCAGTTGTTTCATTGTTTTCTATAGTTTCTCCAGTTCGTTCACCAGTTTCCCCCTCGTTTTTCCCTGTTTTTTGTCGCCTGGTTGACTTCTCCGTGGTCGTCCAGGCGCCTGATCGACAGGGCCTGGCACTCTATGTGGCGCTGGGCTCGGCCATTGCCTTCACCTTCGGTTGGCACGTGCACGAGAAGGCCACGATGCGCCACAGCAGGGCGATAGCTGAGCTGGATTTTTGTCGATGGTACCACGAAGATGTAACCATCTGGAGGTAATTTTTGTAGTAACCATTCATAACCATGGGATTTGATGGATTTTGGCTATGCATCTAGGCAATAACCATGAAAATTGATAACCTATCGAATCGTATCATATCCCATAGTTTACCCGTTTACCCTCCGGTGTCTTTTTTGCTCCGTGGCAAATCCTCTCTGTGTCTGGATCTTATGGCCTGATATCATTGGGGGATGTGGCTGCCAAGTTTGAAAATGACGAGGATGATGAACCAAAAAAAAGCGATCCTTGGGATATCTTGGGATGGGCGGAGAGGATTTTCTACATGTTTAACCAGTTAAACCATGGTTTGTTTGCCATGGGGCCATGGGGGTTCGATTGTGACATTCCGTGGTTCGAAAGCTCCAGTGAAAACGCCAAGTTGTTCGAGGAGGTGAAGCATGAGAAACATCAGGGTCCGATGGAACATGCGATTCACGATAATTACTAGTTAAGAACTTCATGTTTGGTTTCTCTGTCATAGTGATAGATACGTGGTACATGTGTATATATATATATACATGTGTGTGTACACATAGTATGCATGTCATGGCCATTATAGGTAGATAGGCCCTCACAAAAAGACGGGCAAGTTCACCCAGGATCTTTGATCCCTGATTTTTGCAAACATCCAAAAATTGGAGACGTTCCAAATGTGTTGTTGGGCTTTTTGTGACCATGGTTTGTTGGACAGCAATCGTTGATCTGTTGATTAATTAATGATTAATGATGTTGCTTTTGGTGAATTGGTGGGTGAGTGGTTCATGAGTGGAACATGCTACAGCACTTTCATCTAATAGAAAATTTCGAAAAAGCAGTAGTAGACATAGGGAAATGTTAATGAAGACAATTGATTGGAGGGAAGTTTTTCTATGAGTGATGAGTTCACTATTGGAACAGGGGTTCAGTCACCAACGATACATAGGCAAGTGACCAACGAACATGGGGAGGTTGACCAGAGTGAAATGCAAATTTCAATCAGTATGCCTGAGTAAACCTAGATGAAAGGTCAAATCATGCTCTAAAATCCTGGTGGAATGTGGTGCCTTCGTTCAATGTTGGGCCCTATGTGGCTAGATGGTGAAACCAGTTTTGAACAAATCGATGGTTTCTAGTTTCCAGCGTCTAACCACATAGGTGTGTCTGAAAATGGGGTATACCCATGTATACCCTTCAAATAGCCATGTTAATACGGATAATGGTGATTAACCATGATTAACCAATGGATTTAGAGGTACCCTATTTCAGACAAACCTCCATCGCTTTCCAGTTTCACACCATGTCGAACCGAAGAAATCCCATGGGGAACCCCGGTAGGCCATTTTGATGGTCACCATTCCTTTGCTGGCAGCGTTGCCGGCAAAGGATAGAGGAGGCGCGGCCGGCGCGGCCACGTGGATGATGCTGTTCCTGTTTGGTCAGACATGCCCAAGAGGGTAATCAAACGTGGCAATTGAAAAGCCACTTGTGTTTGACCTCGTCATGAAGTGTCAAGCTTGCCATTTTGATGGGGGAATACCTACTACCCAGGTGCAGGTCAACTGCGGTGATGTACTCAAAAGCTTCAACCATGCCTGATCATCTTTAAATCACCAATTTTTACAGATCAAAGCACGAATTGTCCCAAGTCATATCATGTTATGTTTTCCATTCCTCATATCATGTTATGTTTTCCATTCCTCATATTTGTTGATTGTTTGATTGGAATTTTGTTGGCGCAAAGTGGCGAAATTCCAATTTCATCATTTTTGCGGCTGAAAACCCACAGCTTTCACGGTGAAAACAGCATTTTTCATCATGAAATCACCCATTCGAATCCCACATCGCTTCCCTCCGCTGCAGAACTGCCAGACCTGCGCGACGCGGCCGTGCAGCTGTCAACCGTGGCCACGTTTTCGGTGATGCCTTTGCTGCCGCTGAAGCAACCAGAGACGGTGCAGAAATTGGGAAATCTTTGGTCAGAATACCACCGGGCAAACTAACTTTGCTGGGGGAAATCACCATTTTAATGATTTGAATGGGAAAATCTTCTATAAATAGTAAAAATCTATTAGTAAACAACAAAACCAGTAATCTATAGTAAATAACAACCCTTTTTATACAGCCACAATCTACTAATGTGGGTACAACAATGCCATTTTCGCCACCCATTGTTTTTTTTTCCACCTTTTTTTGATGGGGTATCCTCTGGGTAAAACTGATGATTTTCCGTAGCTTTTTATTAGTTTACCAGAGTGTAATCGATGAGAAAAAATCACAGAAAATGTATGAAAATGTAACATTTAACCACTTACAGTAATTACTACCAGTTATTACCGGAGAGTTATTTATGAACAAAAAATGTAACACTGGCAATTAATAACCGGCAATATCTTATAAGGGGTTTAACTTTGTGATTGCCAACTTTGTGTGTGTTTTTTTAAAGTAGCAACACTAGTAAGGTTGCCCGATTTTGTCATAAATAGTTGCTATATGCTATCAGAATGCGGGCGGTTCTATTATTGCTTTACTAGCACTATATAATGTAAATTGGTAATTTGGTATTTTTGCCGGGGACTTACGATTTGGTGATGATCAATTGATGTTTTTGTTCAGTCTTAAGTTGGTATTGGTATATAAGTAGTTCTGATTTATCGGTGTTATTTCGTCGTGTTGTGTCAGAAGTGTAATTTTTGCAAATACTTGGTAAATGGATGTAAATGTTATTATTAGGTATAAACATGGCAATGTAACACGATAACAGTAAATGATGATACCCATTACATTGGGATAACTTGGTGGTTACACAGTTTCGCAACACTGGCAATGCTGTAATAAAATGTATTTTTATTGGGATGCAATCATATAATGTGAGAAGCATGTAATTATAATCTAGTAATGAGATGGTAATTGTTGATTTGGACAATTGATGTGGTAAACCCAATGATAACCCCAACTCTAGCATAAATGGGTGGTATGCCCCAGATGAACATCAATGGGTGGCATAAACCATCCTCAATTCATAGGTTTATTGCTGGGTTTGCCACATTATTTCACGAAGCAAAATGTGTTGGGTAAGTAGCAAGATGGTGCACCGTGGCGTTTTTTTTTTATTACGACTTATTAAGTATATAAGCACTTAACTACCAACGAAGGGGTGCTGAACAAGCAACAACTTTATATATATATATATATATCAGCAAATAAGATATATATTGCAGCAAATAATTGGCAAACACTGGTGATTTGAGGTGGCTAAATGGACATTTCATGGCAAACATCGGTGAACATGGGTGATTTCATGAAAAAAAAAAGTGTATTGAACAAACCAGCAAAGATTGGCATTCTGAGTTAACGACTGGCCGGCAAAGATGTTCAAACATGCGCATTCAACTCGCAGGAATATTTAACTCGCAAAAATGGCCCTTGGAATTGATCCAGTCAAAATCAAAATGTGTAATATCCCATTAATCAACGGTTTACATCGTAACTTGATTTGCCACAACATTTTGGAGTGGGACCTGAGTCGCTATGCCATAAAGAAGCAAACCGGCTCCAGGCAGGGACGCAGTGTAGTTTATTAAGTGAGAGGGAAAATGTAGGGACACATGGATAGATGGATAAGCAGATAGATGGTGTGAGATAAGTTGTTTTTTAAGCTAAGTAGTGTGCATATATATATAATATACACATGTATATATATATACATGGAGAGAGACAGACAGAGAGAGAGAGAGAGAAATGCATTGTCATACAGCATGTCACACTTAAAAAGCTAAGCTGCGCTTTACATTTTGTTTCTCAAAAAGCTGCAAGAGTCATGCTCATCACCCCAGGTGCTGAAATGGGCTCTGTTTGTCTTCGGCCTGGTAATGGAGCACCACTTGTTTTGTGACTTCAAGCTGGGCACAGGTCAGGAAGATGTCACCAAGCAACTCAAATGGGAAGATCTCACCTGGTTCGATTTTTTTGACATCCCCCCCAGGCGGTGGAAATTCAAAATTTGACACGCATGCCATGATATGTTTCAGGTGTCCCTCCATTTGTCTACACACAGCAACCAGAACACATTTCCCACTTCTAAATAGCCAGTTAAAATCATCATCACCATGATCATTGGGTTGATCAAAAGGGACATTTGCAGGCAACTAGCAGATCCTGTTTCTTTTAATCATGACAGCCTTATTTGGATATTAATATAATATATATATATATGTATATATATATAGGTACCATTACTAGTCCCCTCGATGGATAATCACTAAGAACCCCTAGACTAGTTAGATGTTGCAAGCATGCTTTGATCATATGGCTATAGATGAAAATCTATGAAATTGCCATCTGACTGGGGGAGGAACCATCCAGCTATACTTGCTATGACTAAGAGTACCATTAGTAGCTTTGATCCAGAACTCCAGAAGCATATGAAGGGACCAAGTTTCATCATGAAATCTATGGGAACTCAAAAATCCGAAGCCTTCCGAGGCTCCGACCCAGCAGTCGTTTCGGCTGGTTGCTGTTGGCCTTGGCTGGGCTGGGAGTCTACCGCGATGCAGGCGGTGGCGAAGGGCTTCCGGAACCTTGGGGGTTGGGGTAGATGATGGTGCAATGCTGGTTCTTGTTCCCCACCTGCCAGGTGAGGGTTGTTAGATTTTATGTCAGTTGCCTCCTCCTGCCTCCTCCTGCCTCCTCCTGCCTCCTCCTGCCTCCTCCTGCCTCCTCCTGCCTCCTCCTGCCTCCTCCTGCCTCCTCCTGCCTCCTCCTCCTCGTCCTCCTTGTCATCCTTGTCGTCCTTGTCGTCCTCGTCGTCCTCGTCGTCCTCGTCGTCCTCGTCGTCCTCGTCCAACTGCGACCCGCGATCCACAGTGTTCCCTGCCGGACCTCAACCACGACCATCCACGCCCAGTGTTCCCTGCCGGACCTCAACCGCGACCATCCCCGCCCAGTGTTCCCTGCCGGACCTCAACCACGACCATCCACGCCCAGTGTTCCCTGCCGGACCTCAACCGCGAGTATCCATGCCAAGTGTTCCCTGCCGGACCTCAACCACGACCATCCACGCCCAGTGTTCCCTGCCGGACCTCAACCGCGAGTATCCACGCCAAGTGTTCCCTGCCGGACCTCATGTAGGAAGATATGGGACAAAGAATGTGCAGAAGAAAAGTTAGAAAGAATGTCAGAAAGAATGTCAGAAGATATGCCAGAAGATATGCCAGAAGATATGCCAGATAGAATGCCAGATAATATGCCAGAAGATATGCCAGATAGAATGCCAGATAGAATGCCAGAAGATTTGCCAGATAGAATGCCAGAAAATATGCCAGAAGATATGCCAGATAGATATGTCAGAAGATATGCCAGAAGATATGCCAGAAGATATGCCAGAAGATATGTCAGAATATATGCCAGAAGATATGTCAGATAGAATGCCAGAAGATATGTCAGAATATATGCCAGAAGATATGCCAGATAGAATGCCAGATTGCCAGATATGCCAGATAGAATGCCAGAAGATTTGCCAGATCATATGCCAGAAGATATGCCAGATAGAATGCCAAATAGAATGTCAGAAGATATGTCAGATAGATTGCCAGAAGATGTGCCAGTAAGAAAATGTATAAATGTCATGGTGGGGATCACACGAAGTAAAGTAATTTTTTGAGTCACCCTTTCCTCCATGTCAAAGCATCAAGCATTCAGTCTGCCATGATTTGTGCAAAAAAATAGCCCTGGTATGCCCTGGCTAAGCGTGTCCCAATCGCTGTCCCAATCTGCCATGAAGTCGTGCTTTCGAGGTGGGCACGAGCTGCTGTTTCGTGGCATGGAATTTCTGCCGCTACTTTTGACCTCGGACTTTTGTGCTGTGCTCGTACTTTGGCCCCTCGGTGAGTCGTCAAGGAGTCAGACGGAGGGCTGGATGAAGTGCCATGACCGTGATGGAATATACTGGTTGGTGGTTTAGCTATTGGATGGTTATTAATATCTGGTTAATAGTGATGGTTAATAGATGTTAATAGTGGTTAATAGGGTATAAACCAACAACAATGGGAATATGATGATTATATACTGGTTGGTGGTTTGGAACATTAGGATTATTGTCCCATATATTGGGAATTTCATCATCCCAACTGACGAACTCCATCATTTTTCAGACGGGTAGGTCAACCACCAACCAGTATTATTATTAACCATCATTAACCATATATATATATATCCATACATTAACCATTATTAACCAGGTATATTAACCAGATTAAATCACCAAACAATGAGATAGTGCTGTTTGATGAAATTTTTCATGGAGCGACATGCCCGGAGCCACACATCTGATCATGACCGACCGTGATTTGGCAAGTGCTAACAATGGACAGTGGCAGACTATGATAGGCCAAAACCATCGAAAACCCTAACAGAATATATCAGTACATATATCAGGGATAATGACATATCAGGCATCATGGATATGTCATGGATATGTCATGGATAGTATTTGAGCATCAGGATGTGAATCGGCTGTTCAAAAAAGCCATCCCATCCGCTTGGATGGACTCCTGGCCGTGAGTGGCGACTCGATTCTTCAAGGAAAAAAACACAATAGTATACCAGTACCCTCTGGTAAACTAACATAGCTATTGAAAATGGCCATTTATAGTGGATTTTCCCATTGAAAATGGTGATTTTCCATAGCTATGTTAAATTACCAGAGGGTAATGGAAATGCAGTGTGCCCTCCGGTCATTTCACAGTTTGCTATTGAACATGGTGATTTAGTTCGTGGGTTTACCTACAAAAAATGGTGGTTTTCCATAGCTATGTTAGTTCACCAGAGGGTATGTATATTATACCCTCCAGGAAATTAACACCCTGCCAGATAGTCCAGATAGGGGTTGGAAGATTTGTTCCCACTACTGTAAACATTGGTTATTTTCGGGGGCTATGTTACTTTACCAGAGGGTAACAACAAAGCTTTCCCTCCCACCCCCCAAACAAATAAGAACTTGAACATTTTGAATGGAAGTATCGCATAGCACTTGGATATATCTCAACATGGTGCTAAGCGAAACACACCGAGTTGGGCCAAGCGAACAGGTATTTCTGGTCGATTTTTCGGCTTCTGCCTGAGAAGTCCGGGAAGCAAGAGTGACAGGTCGTGATTCAGTGATGCACCCACTTGGATCAAGTCTTTATCGTGAATCGCCATGGCCAAAGACCGCCAGCGTCACGTAGCGTGAAAGAAATTGAGGTGAGAACCACGTGACTATGAGTGAGGGATATATATATATAAGGATTATATAATAATGATTAATAGACAACTGATGTTTATTTGTTTATTTTTGTTTATTTATACTTGCCAGTATGCAGTTGTACTGATATATAATCATATATAATCTACATAATCATATACAGTGATCTGCATCAGATGTCCAGAATTCAGAACAGGCCAAAAAACAGCTTAACCTATTAGGTCACCCTTTGGCCACCTGGAAGAAACCTATATAATTAATTATAATTATTAATACCTGGTCTTTTTGAATCGAAATGAAGCGTTTCATTCCGCTGTTGATTCACCAGGGAGACAGACACCACGCGAAACGGACGAAACGGAAAATAACGGCGCAAAGTTGTTCACCCCGCAACTTGGCACCTAATATTGGCCCAAGCCTATGGGCTGTCAGAGCTTAAGGGGGGCAGATAGCTGGGCGCTCCCTGGCCTCCATGTTCCTTGGCAAAAAAGCTGGGGGATGTTCAAAAGCATGTGGGGCAGTGAGCTCCCCTTTTTTGTTTTGTTCAGTCTTGACTCATCCTGACATGATGTGGTAGGTCAGAATATACAGGAATGTTATGGAATGTCTTGGAGCTGGCAGGGTTTCTGTGGGTACAGCTGTGGGGAATCACACAAAATGACCCATTTCTAACCTATAACGACCGGATCTCGTTACATACGTCCATACATACATGTGTTCTTTTGCATGCATGCAAAATGTACATTAATGCACACCCTATGTATTATATATAATTATATATATATGCATATGTGTGCGCGCAATTCCTGGTCGGTGGTTTCTATATATGTTTATTCAACCTACCGAGGATGATGATCCCAATATTGAGTTTCCCATTGTTCAAATTAGATGGCCATGAGTAAATCCAATTGTAGCATGCAATTTTAAAATTACTTCTAAACAAACTGTCCATAGTCACCCCATAAAATTCCAAATAGTGATCATCCGATAATTGTCCTTATTATCAAATAATCATCATCATCCCAACAGTAATATGAGAATATCTTCACCCTACACTCAGCCGCTGCGCAAGCGCAAGCTGAGGCCGAGCATTGCCGGCATTGAAATCGAACCACTCATTGGAGGCGATCGGAAGAGGCACGAATGCACCCATCTCACTTCTTGTGCCGACCCTTGATTTTTATTCACCCCCAGATTGTTTAATTGAAAGGGGTACCCGGTACCATCAATGCAGGAAATCATCACTGTTTGAGGGTAACCTCCGAATTTTATTAATTCGGGGTTGACATTAGATGGACCAATGGGCTTAGTCAGGTGGTTGGTAAGTGGATTGTGACATGTTATGACCCATTGTATATCCAGTCAGTTTAATAATATGTATGTTATGTAAGAGTGTGTTTAAGCCAATCAGTGCCAAGTTAGCAAACTTCATGGCCCAAGCTCTTTGCTAAGCTGTGGCCATGTATGACCTGACAGGGGAACCCAACTAGTGTTCACATGTGCTTGTTTTGGGATCCCCGGATTGATGCTGGGATTTGAGATGTCGGATTCGTCCCATACCTGGTGTGTTAGAGAAAGGCCTTCATCCAAGTGAGGGCACTGGAGGTTCATACTTTTTCACTGAGGACTAGAGGTTGCTGGGTGCTGGGGCTGAAGATGGAATGGTAAATCAGCAGTAAACCAGAGGTGCATATAACCCTTGACCAGGTCGGACTAGGCAAAACATGGCAAAACGCATGCTTTTCGTCACGTCTTTCGAAGCTTTTCGTCACAACTGAGCTGATTGGGGCCGCAACTTTTGGATCATGCCGACGCAGTGACGCAGTTGTGGTGGCATCGCGATCCCATGGTCGGTTTGAGCCCCTGGAGGCCCCTGGCCATAAAACAAGTCCCCAGAACGAAGAAATGTGAGGCTATGTATACCATTTGGTTATTTAACATAGCCATAGAAAATCACCATTTTTAATAGGTAAACCATCTATAAATGGGTCATTTTCCATGGCGATGTTAAATAACCAGATGGTAGATATGTATAGTTGATCTCGTATCCCCCCCATCCGGTCCCCCTCTTAGATCCTGCCCTTTTCCCACGAGTTCGTTGATGTCACCTCCATTTTTCATACCAAATCCGTCACCTTTTTTTTTGAAAAGGATAGGTTACCCCATTGAAATGGCCAGTTGGGGCTCTACCCCATTTTCAGAGACACATAGACACACCCAAACAACATGATATAGTTTCTTTAAAATAAAGTATCCAAAAAATGAATGAACATATAACATCATAGAACTATCCCATATAAATCCCCATGATTCCCGACCAAACATCACTAGATTCACCAAATTTTGAATGATAAAACGAAGCTTTGGCGAGTCGCCATGGACGAGGAAGGACAGGAGTTGCTGGACTCTTCCGGCGCCGCGGTTCCGGTTCCGACACGTCGTCGACTTCGCTGCCGCGTCAACGGAGGGGCGCTGGCGTTGGCGGCTGGGCTGACCGGGGCTGAGCCATAGCTATAGCCGGTATGACAACAGTTTGCTAGGAAAACCAGGGCCCGCGAAAGTAGATAATTTACTGGGTTGTTAAAAAAAAACAGAAAACATTGTGTTTTTAAGGGTGCATAATCACTATAAAATTGGAACCCATGATGTCAAGAAAACCCTAGGTTTAAGGTTTGTTAAGGAAATCCAGACATTTGGGGTGGTAAAGACGGGCTCGACGGAATGTTAGAGTACTTAATTTTATAGTGTTTGAAGGGTTTTGGGGTTAAACGATGGTTAAGTGATGGCCTCTACAAACTTGATATTTTTCATTTTATAGAGGTAAGCCCTCCCCAGGAGGGTCATGGGTTCCCATTTTATAGAGGACCCTGTTGGGGGGATGTACCCCGGCGGTTTATCTCTATAAAACTGGGACCCATGACGTTCCCACACTCAAAACAAGGGGTTTTCATAACTATGTACGATTACCAGAGGGTAATCTTACATGCAAAAATTGAGATGTGTGAGTGTCTATACCGACGTATGCCTATATAATTATGATTAATTATGTATGTACATTTGAATTTGCGCATGCAGACAGGTGCATGCATGATATGATAAGCGTGCTATGATCTGGTATCATTTGATATACTATGACAATCTGACATGATATAAGATATTTGAAGACAATGTGTGCATATACATCACATCTCTTCCTCCCCCCTCTCTCTCTCTGTAGACATGTGTGTACATCTGTGCCTTTTAAAGATAGGTAGGTCAATACTTGATGCTCCACAATGATTTGGCGTCAACTGAAACCACTCTTGGGGTGTCCATGAGTTAGACGAATGGAATTCAACTGGTTGAAGCTGTCAACTCAGATGGCAGTGGTGTCCAAATTTGCTGCTTACCCTCTGGACGCCCTAGCATCCCAAGCAAACAAAAAATGCTGATTGTTGAATATCACGTTCCCCCCTTGAAATGGCTACTGGTTGGTGGTTTGGAACATTTTTTAGTTTCCATAGTATGTGGGATAATCCTTCCCATTGACTAATATGTTTCAAGATGGTTAAAACCACCAACCAGACAATATCTGCGGGGCCCCAGGGGCCACAAATTACTTCTGCGGCCCAAGGTTGGCTTAGTGACTTTGGCCTCAGCAGTGTTTGTCACCTATCGGGCATGGACAAGGCTGGGGCGAGCACGTGGCTGTTGGAAGAGGGTTTCAAATGATCTTGATGGATTCTGTATGATCCTGCACTTCAAGAATACTTTCTGTACAAGTTATTTATCACACATTCCGTGGAATTCGTGTAGATATTTGTAGATCATCTTATTATCACGGATGTTGATGGTTTCTTAATTCCAAAATCTTCCAGCTTGCTTTGCAAGCTCAGTCTCTGTTTGCACCGGGTAGCTCCTACTGGCCGTAGGCGCAGCAGTGCGTTGACGGATGCAGTGGCGTGTTATTCAGCTAGCGAGCAACGCTTGAAGTTTGGCTTGTCGGAAATTCCTCCTGGGGCGTGTCCTCTGAAACCAGGCGCGGCTCTTGGACTTCGCTGGGGATATACGGTAAGCAAATACATAAGAATTATGGATATTCACAGGATGTTTTGGCGGAAAGCGTTTAGCCAATCAAACATGTTGAGTAAATCTGTTGAAAGCTGGGGATATACCGGAAACGTAAATATGACCAATAAAACAATACAGGGCCAACTTACTTGATGGATAGTTTACCACTATCATCCACGATCTAATCGTTTAGCATAAATGGGGATATATTATACATATATCATATATTTACATAATTATTCATGTATAAAAGCCATTTTTTGTTTCTAGAGTATCTAAGATTTGCAATGTTAGGCAACCAGAGATGATCATGATCAAAGACGGGGATTGAGTCAATCCCAGAAAAAGGGGCTCCTAGCTGTCCTAGCTGTCCTAGCTTCAATCAACAAAAGATGAGGATTTTACTTTTAACCAACCAAATGGAGAAGTTACCAACCGAAATGGGATTGGATTCAACGTATCTCCCATAAAACTATGAATTCACATGCTGAAAACATAGTGATCTCTACAGATAAGGTGAAATTCTATAAGAATTTCTATGGTTGATGAGGGCTTTGCAGACCTCCTCCTTCACGGATTTTACTGTACATACGAGGCCGATCGATCCTAGGAATAGATTTTGTGAAGTGGTTTGCTTCACCCCCATGTCACAGCAGTGTCATCGCCTTGGTTTTCTGGTTCATCAAATTGCCTATGCACGATTTTCTCAACATGTTTTTCACATGTACGCATGTATGCGTATGTATACGACATGTGTGCATTTTGTATGCGACAAATGTTTACACATGTAAATATCTATGCTATATATAAAATATATATTGATTTACATATCATATGTCCATAGATACATCCCAGGATTCATGGGAATTTCTGCCTAAGCCACGCTGAGCCGTTTGAGCCGCTCAGGCTTTTGCCGCGGTGCAGACGACAAGTTCTTTGGCCGGTGGACTCCATGGACAACGAGGATTTTTTTGTGGAGTTCACCATGGATGTTACCCTCTGGTTATGTCAAAATAGCTATTGAAAATGGCCATTTATAGTGGATTTTCCCATTAAAAATGGTGATTTTCCATAGTTATGTGAAAGTTTACCAGAGGGTAGATCATTAAGCAATCTATGATCATTGGATTGGATTAAGGGAAAATCTTAACCGGAAACCATGGGAAATTTACCATTAAATATGGGGGGGGTCCTGTAAATTTTCCCTTAAACCAACCCAGTGATATGAAATTCTATGAAATTCTATGAAATTCTATGAATCTAGATAACCAAATTTATGTTTTGATGTTTGATTTACTGTATTACTACTGTATTGATGTGGCTCTATAATAACTGGACTGTACCAAACAAAAAATACTTGATTTATAGATATTTTAGTTGATTTATCATAGTTGGTTGTTGATGAATGTGGCAAACCCATCCATCACGAGCAAGAAAAAATGGGGATAGGTTATCAAACCCATCTCTGGTAGCATTGGCGATTGTTTATTATTGAGTTTACCATATTATGGGGCTTTCTTATAATGCATTCAGGGAAAGCCCATCAACCAACAATGGTTTGGGTATCCCCACGTGCTATCTACCGCACGGATGGCTTTAGAGTTTTAGAGATTACAAGATCGTGTGAATGGCAAGATGGTTGATACTCTATATAATTATATATATACACACATAGAGATCCATATAGAAGCTCAGACATTTGCCCAGTGAATGGTTGAATACCAGACTTGTAGGTGTATTTGCCATGTTTGATCTCCGAAGAACTGGTGGCGACCGAATTCTCCAAGTGAACTGCCGATGGCGTCACGGTCACACGCACCCTGATTCTTGATTGTAAAATTCTCGAAAAGGTAAATTGCCATCACAGCTTGTATCACAGGGAACAGGAGTTCCATCTCCAGAAGGTCCCGTACATCCGAATTGAGGGCCGCGTCCAAAGATTTCACGGCACAGGACACCTGGTAAACCTGCTTGATTTATCGGAGATTTACTGGTACATAGATACATACATTATATGCATATATACATACTGTAGGTATAGATAGATAGATAAATAGATAGATAGATAGACAGACAGATAGATAGATAGACAGACAGACAGACAGATAGATAATTCGATATGTAAAGAGATCGAGAGATCGATCGATACAAAAGATAATTATATGATCAATACAAAATTATCATATAACTATATGCAATTCTATATGAATATATGATAATTATGTAGATGGACAAAAGTTCCTAGAATGGCTAGCCCACTTCAACAAGGCAGGCAGGGGGTCAACATCCACCGGACGACTGCTTCGTTCGTTGAGGCTGGAATACCACGACTGCGATGGGGACGATGTTCTGGATCCCTACTGCGTGGCAGCAGACAAACTTTCCTTCGGCTACATTGGCCCCTTGCACCCTCCAAGCCAAGTGGTTGTGTCAAATGGGATCGTTTGCTACTACTTATATTTGATTATATGTATCATAATTATCTATATAGTTATATATATATATACATACCTATATATATATATATATTGGTTATTTGATTGGGATGAACGCTTGATGGTCAGTTTCTGTTCATGATGAATGGCAGTTGGTGATAAAGTCGATAGTGGTGTGAGAATATGAAAATTCCATGACACTGCGAGGCTGCGTTTGCTTTGTCCTCAGTGACTATCGGGGAAATGGCCGCGCGTAACAATGCACCTGACATGGGCGCTGAGTAGAGTCGGGAGAAAGACAAACTATGCTGATTTGTTTGTTTAAGAAGTTCATGGCGACTGACCGGTGTCAAGGAATCAGGCCTCAATGGGCCCATTCAGCCCATTCAGCCCATTCAGCTGGATGCTTATGTTTTCTCAGTTCCAACCTGGATCATCCCACCCAAAACTGACTTCTAACATGTTACAATCCCACCTTGTATTCGTGGCATGATCCTCCTAAGGTCATGTATAGATCTTCGATTACGGTGTTTTTTTTGTCGTCGCGTCCCAAGGTTCGAAAGATGAGTGCGAGAATAATTGGCCCAACGGCCTGTGCCTTGGCCGCCTTGGCCCTGGTGACCTTGATCTTTGTGGGTCAAAATTGCAAGCCATGGCATAAGACATGGATGGTTTATGATGGTTTGGTCTTTTCAGGCTAAGATCAGGCTAGGAGTTCACATGTTGGGAACATATGACATCGAATGTTATCTTTGGTCGGTTCAGAAAAATATTTTCCGCCATGTTGAACAACCGTGTTATCCGGCTACCGGCGTTCAAAAATTGTGCGTCTCACCCCAAAAAAAAAGCTGGGAGGATGATCCCGGGCTCAAGTACACCCTCTAAATTTGATACAGAACCCCCAAAAAAATTGGGTTTGGAAGATGATGTTCCTATTGATCATAGCCAGCTTAAGGGATTCCTTGTGAAATTCAGGGGCTGCAACTCATATATTTTTCAGCAGAGGAGCCGTCGCCAGGTGCTTAAACCAAGATGAGCCCTCCATTGCCAACGACGACGAGATCGTCCCAGCATTGGAGAATGAGTCGCTTGGAGAAGGATTTTGTTCTTTTTGGTGGGAAGAACTGAGATGACTTTGATGGGCACAAGCCAATTCAAACCCCCAAAAATGACTACGTCACTACGTATATACATGTAATAAACTGATTATGATGATATATTATATGTGCGTGTGTAATGAAAGTGTCTAATTATATAAGTGGGGGCTGTCCTGGTGGTTTGGATGGTCGGAATAGAGTGCAATAGTTGTCATGTATTTGGTGGTCTCTGGTTGGGGTTGTGAGGGACATTTGTGGAAAACAAGAAATTCAGCGATTGAATTTGTGACTCCAGGCCATGGTTTTTTCCATTTTTTTGATTTTCCCTGTGGCTCATTACTGGTACAATGGTGGTCAGATTGTGCGTACAGCAGCGGTGGATTCACACCGTTTCTTTTTGCACGTTTTATCCAAGTGAATATGTCATACGTACATGTCTGCAGCCATCAGATGTTTATTACTCGACCCATTGGGGTACTCACGGGCACTCTCTTTTTCAGATTGGTTACATATCTTTGCATCATGCATGAGTCTGCACAGATTAAGCTGCTTGGACACCGGCGCTTGCGCCAGATAAAGGCTGCCCCATCGGGCCCTGCCACCAGCCCCACTCCGTTCAGGCTGACGATCATTCACTTCAACGATGTTTATGAGATGGCCGGTGTGTTGGAGGCTGGATGGAGGAAAAACAGAATGCTCATACCCGCATCACAGGTTCCCATAGGGATTTTTTGACCAAGAAATGTTATATGTGCAACATATGCACATATATGTACTGCGCATACATAGGACACAGACTAAGATAGAAGCTATTCCCAACCATTCTAGTTATGTGCCTTAAAGTTGATTTGTATGGTGACTTAGATATGCATCCAGGATTTTTTCAGTGACTACCAACATATCCTAACTATATGCATTTTATGTATATATATATTATAAATAGTTGGGGTCGTCCTGCGGCACCTGGGTCGTAAATGTTGGCAAAGTCTACCGACAGCACATTTGCAGGTTGTTCTTTTGGTATTGGAGGTCATTCCTGATCTCCTCAAGGGCTTAAGCAACTATCCCAAAATGGCCGAGCATTTCACGTTTATGAGTTATTCATCATAAGTTAGCCTCTGGCAATTTACGCAGCTATGCACAATGGCACATCAAGTTCGATAATTTACATATCAAGAATAGTGAAAATGTCTATATAGGTACCAAAGGGCATTCAGATTTAGATCGATGATTTCCCCATGATATACCCAGTATTTCTTCCATCATCCCGTCAAACCCCCACTTTTCAATGGAAATTTCAGGATCCTAAAATGGAGGTACTGTACCATCTAAGGGCATATGTTGTGGGGATATTCCCTTACATAGGCCTTATATAGGCCTTATATAGGCCTTATATTATATATGGTAGGTACCTCCATTTTAGGATCCTGAAATTCCCATTGAACTTTGTTTCACCATTTTTCCCATCAATTCATCCAGGATGGCATGCGCAAGGGGGGTATGTCACGCGCCGCCTATGTCATTGAACGCACCTTGTCCATAGGACCAAGGGGAGGTCCAAGTGACACCTCTGTGGGGGACTGCTATGTTTGCTGGGTTGATGTGTTTGCATTGGGAACATGTATGTAATGTGGGTAAAACAATAATAAACCACCCATTTGGGAATGGTGTAATACCACCTATTTATATCTATTTATGGTGATGACCGGGGGATGGTTTATTCTTGCTTTTCCCACATTATACATAAACTGTGTTTTATGTGTACATACATGTACATGTGTGTACATGGTGCGTGTTTTGTCAACTCTTTTGGAATCTCCGTGTGTCACCGCCAGCTGTCGGGACTGCAGATGGCCAGCACCTGACCCAACCCCATGCGGAATCCGTTGAGGTGCACGAAAGCGGAATCCGGATCGAACCTTTGTGGTCTTCGCAGGTGGCTATCCCAAAACAGTTGGACACCTGGAATATCCTATATGGAAATCCTTAGAGTAAAGGATGTGGTAAACACCAAACATTGTTTGAATCCTAAAGTAAAGGATGATAAGGATGTAGTATAGCCGCTAAACACCATTTAAATCCATTTAAAATGTCTCAAAAACACACACAAATGTCTGAGAAATCGGTGATACCATCTCCAATTGGGGGTGGACCCCCCATCGCGGAAACCCGACGGAAGCCCTATGAGTGATCGGGGAACCACGCGCCAAGGATTGGCCAATGATTTATCCATGTGTATCGTTAACACCTCTACTGCTCTACTTGAATTTGTCTATAGCTTCTTGGATTACCATCTGGTTATTTAACCTAGCCATAGAAAATCACCATTTTTAATAGGTAAACCATCTATAAATGGTCCATTTTCCGTGGTTATGTTAAACAACCAGAGGGTAGTTGTTCAGTTCTTTCTTGACCCCCTCAATCAGGCCCATTCGCTGGTTGAGTCCAGAAAAGGGTAACTATGTCCCAGCATTGTCCTAAAAAGATCTAAAAAACACTTTTATAAAATGAAGGAAATGACGATAAACCAATCAGATGTGAGGGATACTCCATGCTTGATCCTCTTGGGCCCACTTTTTGCGTTGCTTCCAAGGTGATTTGCTGTCACCTTCAGTTCTAAGCGATCTCTTTCAAGGTCGACAGGTGCGGATCCGGTGATCCGCGACGTATGACGCACATGTTCTGCCAATCAGTTTTTGTTTTTTTTTGTTTTCCCAGTTAGGTGTTCATTTTGGGGACCAACTCCCCTATCGGCACCTGGCATCACCTGGCGCCAAACATAGATGACTGGCGAAACATGAGGCCTCAATATCTTGGATTGGCTGGTGTGACACGAGGGCCAGTTTGAATACATTGAATATATCATTCTGGGTAAATTATAACGACCTCACTGCGACCGAACCCTGGAATCATGGTTTTTATATGGGAAATCATCCCCAAATGGCATTAATTCAGGTTAGTGAAATATTATAGTTTACCCAGATCATTGAATACTTGCAATCGGAACCTCCACATAATTGGGGCAGTATGACCCGACAGCCAGTTATGACACGTCGCATCCAGCTATTTATAATGGTTGCCCTTACTATCTTTACATATCTTTACTATTATAAAATTTATAAACGAATGGTGCCAGACTCCGGAGGCTGTGGATGTTTTGAATTATTTGAATTTGACGGCGGCATCTCTGGGCAATCACGAGCCCCTGGGCGTTGTTTCAACTACCTACCGGGGAGGTGTCCTTTGGGATGATCCAACTGGGCGTTTCGTGGGGGATCGGTGTATTTTTTGGTCTATTTCAGTGGCCGTTGTTCGGGCAAATCCATGGCAAATCCATGGCAAATCCTGCAGCCTATCCACAGCCTCTGCATATTTCTGGTGTACGTACCCTCTTGTAAACGTTGACATAACTACTGGGTATGGAAAATCACCATTTTTCAGGGGAAAACTCACTATTTCTATGGCCACTGTCCTGTGCACTGGGGATCCCACGGGTTTTTTCGCAGGTTTGATCCCAAGGGCCTTTCATCTCTGAACCCAGAATTGCGGATAGTGTATGCATATGCACACAGACACAAATATACAGTTACATATATATATATATAATATATATGTTATATATATATATGTAATATATATATATATATGTACGCACATTGTTTTAAACAAATATGTGTATATATGCATATATACATACATTGTGCTTCAGGTTGGGGAGCTAATGCTTGCTTACATGCTGTAGCAGCATGAGGTTTGACTTTGGCCTCGATGTCCTTCAGCAAAGGATGAAGGCACAGCACAGCCCCAGTTGGATGATTGTCATTACCGGTTCGCCCTGTTGGGAACTTTTTGAATCACAGAAATCCCCATGAAAACCAATAATATGTATACTGATTTATGCTGATGTATACTGTATAGCTGTAATTTATATGCTGCTCACATTGCTGCGGCGGAAATTGACACCCGTCCGACCAAGACTTGGAGGCTCCATTCGGGGCGCCCCGGCGTACACTGCCAGGAGTCGAAATTTCCGTGGCTGAACATCAATCTGATGGATGAGCACGGCCAGCGGCGCGACATCGAAACGGATTCATGCGTCGGCATATCCAAGAAGATCTGCGGGTATATACCACAAGATTGCCGCCAATGGGAAAATGGGGAGTTAAGATTGTCCGAGTGTCCTATTTTAAGATAAGACTGTACTTTGGGGGTGAAGTGGCAATTGACCAACTGACATGCTGACGTGCTGTACTGATATTTGATGAATTCAATGATTTTGAGGTACAGTTTTCCGTCTCTTCACGTGACCAATTGACCACCCCCTGGTAATTTAACATAATTTAACATATCTGTGGAAATTGACAATCATTACCATATTTAGATGATTTTCATTTGATTTTCCTATTCAAATCGGTGATTTGTGTCGGTATTGGTCGAACAACTCCAATCCGTGAAACATGGCAAAAAGCTCCAATCTCCCTGGTGGAGGTATATAGAATAATTAGAATATAGATATGTATATATGTATTTGCACAAACACACACACACACATATATATATATATACACATATGCATCTATGTATATATATATGTGTGTGATTATACATATGTGTATATATATACGTATATATATATACATATACACATATATGTGTTTGTGTTTGTGTGTGTGTGTCCATAGCTTTGTTAAATAACCACGGGATAGGAGGCAAAAAAAAACACCAGGGTGTTTTGGCACCGATTTCTCAAACTCCCGTGGAGCTTGCTGAGGCTTCTGGCTGGCACTCAGAAGCATAAGATCATAGAGACTCGGTTGAGGTGAAGCTATCAATGGAGAGGATGAATAGAGGGGTGGATAGAGGTGTTGATAGGAAACTATTCACCAAGATGCCTACTAAGACGTTCTTTTCCCAGGTTTATGTTGAATAGATGTGTCACCTCCTAGCAAAAACAGATCGAACATGTGTCATTGATGACAACTGGTATGCCATTTCCCGGGAGGGCATGACGGCCTGGATCTGCGTGCCCTGGTGCTTGCTACATAGCCAGGATTGCCACATGGCTGTTTCCTCGGGTCAGGTGGGATGGCACACCCATCGCTAAAAAGAGGTTCCAGGGGCGTGGCTTCGGGGTTGGGGGCAGGGACAACAAATGACAATAAGGAGTCCGACTGTAGAATATTTTTTGTATGATTTTGGGAGAGGACTCAACGCAGAATTTGCCAAAGGGGTGTTTAAAATCAGTCTGCATTATTTGCCCTTGCTGATTCCAGTTAAAGCAATATTTCAAGTCCTCCACGGCTTTTGAACATGTGTTTCCCCCTCATGAACTCCAAGCAACATCATAGGTGCGGGCAAGAAATCTGTCCAAAAAGTATCAAAAATTAGGGTGCTCCATTACTGCACATGGATTTTTTGTCATGGTCCTTGGCCCTTGGGCCAGGGGTATGTGATATCATATTGGTTCTATCTCCCCATTTCAGGAAACTTATGCTAAGTCAAAACAAAAAAATGATTCTTAAAGGTGATGGTTCCTATAGGTGGCGCTTGTTCACTTTACTTTGGATGCTTTAACTTAAGGTTTAAGCAATGTTTAACCAATGGCCATCCATTCGTCCATCCATTCGTTTCTGGTCCCGCGCTGGCCCCGAGGATTTCCCTTTCGCACCGCGCTGGTCCCAAGAGCCCAACACCAAACAGTCACGGCTCTGTATATTTGGCGCAGCTGCTTGGTGGCTACTGATTTAGGGGACCCAGATGGACCCCGAGTTTTGATGAGTTTTGCGGATCAAAAAGTTGTTCCCTTTTTAGAAGATAAAATAGATTAAGATAGGGCTGATATCTTTCTTTAGAAACCTGAAACATCCAAATTTGGGCCGACGAATTCTAGGCAGTTGAATGGGGTCTCTCGATAGCAGCTGTTTGACATGTTCGATTTACCTCCATCAGGGATCATTCAGAAGACCAGATGCAGAGCCTTCGCCACGTTTGAGCGGAGCCTAGAAGCCAAATTCCGCGACAGCCTGAGGCTTACAATCTGGTGGAGACACTTTACAAAGACAAGGAGACGCGATGGCAGGTGAGAACCCTTACAATTCAAGCCCAAAAGGGACTTGTTGATTGGTTTCACATGGCCATGGCTTCTGTAGACTCGTTGTGTTCCATATGTTCCAGGTTCTTTTCCATTGTTTTCTTTGCTTTCCATAGTATCAACCTTGAATGTTTGTTCACCCCTGGGCTGTTTCCACGCTTATATAGCTCCGTAAACATCATAGTAACCCCGTAACCTCCCAAAAAATAGAAAAAGAAACAATCCTATACCAAGAAGATGGGTATAGTAGCATCCTTCAAATTTTTACCTCCAAATAGTTGAATTATGTTGAATTATTTCGTTGTGTTTTTTCACAAACCCGGGGTGAACATGCCCCAGCAGTTTTGATGACTTGGTTCCAGGACCGGGTGACCCATCGAGACCTTCAGGAGGCCGAGGATTTTCAGTTCGCCCTAGCAACTGCAGCAACTGTCCTTGTGAGGCATCCCTTGAAGAAGCCAGAGAATTGCGGGAGAAGCATCACTGCCAAGTGGTCCCTGGGTAGAATGGAGGCGATCATGACATTGGTTCAAGAGAAGAAAATACCTTTGCATTGATTTCGCACAGACACTCCCCAAAAAAACATGATTTCCAGCATAGATGTCCTTTTCCCATTGGTTGGTTGATTAATAGAGGGGTTTGTTTATCCCTTTAACAACAGGTAAATGATGATAGATGGTATACCAAACCGGCCCCTCACTTTTAAAAAAGGACATTATTGATTTCCAGTAGGTTTTCACATCAATGAGGTGATGCTTTGGCTAGAACACCTTGAGCATGTCATGTGTTGCTGCATATCTCGCTGCTGGAGCCTATCATGACTTGTCATCCCAAGGCTCGCCCCAAGGCTCCATTTTGATTCACCGGGCTGTGGGGGTACCATTCCATTGAAGCAGCAATTCATGTCTAATGAACCAGGGCAGATCTTAATCCGCAGTTGACCTTAGTCCAATAAGAAAACCCCGCCATCCCCAGCCCCCTAGAGATTCTTAGAGTTTTTTTTGTCCCAGTAAAACTCATGTTTCCATTGTTGTCATGAGGTTTTATAGATGATTTTCCCATTAATACAGCTCCAGCCCAGGCCCCAGCCCCCAAGGTCCTGGCGTTGACGCATCAGTTCGCAAAGGACGACTGCGCGTTGGCCAAAGCCGCAAAAGAAGATGTGGATCTGATCCTGGGAGGCCAGGTTTGTGGGTTTCTTCGGGAAATCTTTGGGAAATACTTTGGGAAATTGCAATCAGTTTTCCCCAAAGAATTCTCCCATTATCCCGGCAAGAGTCTTGAGACCCCAAACAGTGTGGGGGAGTGGGAGGATAATGTATCATAATGTTGATGATGAGGATGATATGATGAGGATGATGATGATGAGGATCATGTTGCGGACGATGATGTTGAGGATTATGATGTTGAGGATGAGGATGATGAGGTTGAGGAGGACGACCGATCCCAAGACCGGGGACGACACTTTTGCAAGCGTGTGCAGTCGAAATGCAGGCGGACATTTCATTCACAAGGGCCACTTCGTGCGAGAATTTACAGGTAAAATGCCGCAGACCAAGACCAGGGACCACACTTTGTGCGAGCCTGCGCAATCGAAATGCACGCGGACATTTCACAATCTGGTGGTTCCAAGTGATCCCCTTGCCATATACTCACGCCCACACACATGTATATATATATGCAATATGCATAGTTTGTTTGTTCTTTGTTTTTATTTATGCATTTATTTTTAAAAAAATTAATTATTTGTTTGTTTTGATACATGCTTAAATGTGTGTGTGTACGACAACCTAATTGATGGTGTGATGGGACATAATTATGCATTTATGACCAAAGGGGAGTTTGTTATAGTAACATGTGTTTATTGTAACACTTTCATGTTTTTACTCGTCTGTACAGGTCGTTTTTTTTGGTGTCAATCTGGTGCCAAGAAGCTTGCAACTTATGCACCAGGTCACGATCACTTCACGGACTTGCGCTCGGATTGCGGACACGCAACCTATTTGAAGGAGTGGAACTGTTAGGAGTTCTTGGGTACCCCAGGCCTGGGAAATTTGGTTAAAATAACCCTATGAAGTGAAGTGCTCCCATTTCTTATGCATAATTCATAATATATATTTATAATTATATAAAAATATATATATATATATATTTATTTATAGTATTACACACAGACCCCGAGGTTTGCCCAAGCCCAGAATAGCGTAAATTACAAGGATTATTTGTTCACACTATACATCTAATATGAATTTCCCACCCCCGTTAAACTTCTACATTCATTGAAGATCTTCAATAAGGGTTTAATTCTCCCACCCCGGTAAACTCTTACATTCATTGAATTTCATTGAAGATCTTCAATAGGGGTTTTATTTTCCCAGCCCCGTTGAACTTTTTACATTCATTGAAGATCTTCAATAAGGGCTTAATTCTCCCACCCTCGTTTAACTTCTACATTCAATCAAGATCTTCAATAAGGGTTTTACTCATGTTGTTTATGTGGAGAATATCGGTGATCATCACCATCACCATCACCATCACCATCATCATCATCATCATCATCGCCACCACCACCACCACCATCATCATCATCATCATCGTCATCATCATCATCATACCTTGCGAGTCCGGGCAAACCTCAGGGTCTTGCCGTAATATGTTTATTAGTATTGATTGATTTGTTCTTGTATACTACCGTTACATATGTGGAATTTCCTTGGTTTAATGGGTTTATAGCCATTTACTAGTTGGGATGCAAATCCAAGTCGAATCCAGCCTGTGTACTTTCAGAGGGTCGGATGATGTCAAATGGACACCCAACACGTCGCTGGATCCTGCTACCAGCGACCTCTTTGGCCGACCTCACACGAATAGCCTTCAATCTGATGTTTTGGTGCTGTGTTTGTTTGATATAAATATACCCCCTAGAGTTTCCTCTGCAAAATCCCAACCGGTAACGGCTGTACGGCTCTACAAAGGGATTTTGTAGTAGAACTATTTTAGGGAATATGGGCATGACTCTCATTGAATGGTATTGACAGGTGTGGTGCAATATGCTTTGGATTTTTGACTTTGTAATTAGTGGCCAGTCTGGTGCGCAAGCGCTAAAAACACTAGGCACAGATGAAAAAAAATGCGGAATGGGGTAGCAGCGGCGGTCAAAAAGGCTGCAGGCAAAAAGTAGGGTAGGAATTTATGAAGGCCATTCATGAATCCCGGCTGGTGGCATGTCATGCACAGATTTGGAACTATTTCGTTCAGTCTAAAAGAACTAAAAACACCGATTGGTGTAAATCACGTGACCAAAAAAGTTTGGTCAACATTCCTTCGTGAGTGTGTTTGAACGGTTTTGTATGGTTTTGCAAGAATTTGTTGTTTTTCCGACTTTTTAATTTCTGCAGGGTTTCTGATAGCCAGGGAAGGGCAACATCCCACCCGACACCACCCCTTGTTCGATTTGCAAGTGCCAGGAAAGGGTAACATCCCACCCCGCCCCACCCTTTGTTCAACGTGTATATGTGCCAGTGTTTTTGTGCCATTCTTGCTTCGCAAGTGCCAGGGAAGGGTAACATCCCACCCCGCCCCACCCTTTGTTCAACGTGTATGTGTACTAACCTTGGTTTGCAAGTACCCGGGAACGTTGACATCCCACCCCACCCCACCCCTTGTTCAACGTGTATGTGTGCTAGTGCTTTCTTGGTTTGCAAGTGCGATGGAGCGTTAACATCCCACCCCATCCCTTTTCTTGTCTGGATCCAAAAGGGGCTCGAGTCGCAAGTGATCGATTTTTCGAGTCGCAAGTGACATATATGAAATGTAAATGACGCGGGGTCGCAAGTGACAAATTTCGGAGCAGCCCCGCCGTTGAGGGCTTGGATTTTGTAATTGTAGAGAATGCAGGGTCTGATTTGGCCGATGTTTGTGATTTTGATATTTTGTAGAGGGCCTCCCCCACACTTTTTCATTTTGCATCTACAAAATCCCAGCTGCCAACCCCACCCGAATTGCAGAGGTGTCACATGAGTTATAATCCAAAAGAAATCAAAGGAGATTTGCCTGGATTTGTGGCAGGCGGATTCCGATCTCAAGACGCAGTGGGTCATGACTGTACTGTTGACAGATGAAGGGACCGCAGAGCCACTGGGCAAAAAGAAACAACTCCAGATGGAATGAATCCGGGGCAAACTGGATTTTTATCGCATGATAGCACGGTAATCTTAGTACGATTGATGATCGGTGATGGCACTACTAGTATCATAAGCTGTTAGTTTGAATGTGATGCCATAATAATTGCCATCAATATGATCATGTTAATAATACGGGCAAACATCTCAGTTTGCACGAGGCATTATCCAAACACTGCAAATAGTCTGGCAGTCCTGAAAAGCTCAAGCAGGGGACTGGCGCACCCAAGTCTATATATATATATATATTTACATAATATACAGTATACCGTATACATACAATTCACTCGTATTAGTATTATTCTATTGCTCTAGTGACGATGCAAAGCCGAAAGTCAAATCCAATATCAAAATAGAGGTCAGTTATGTCTTTTTTGGGGGCGTTACTATGATACAAGTTTGAAAATGGATGTCTTTCAACTTTGGAAATTTCAAGACATTTGGACATGGATGTTGGATGATTTAAGAATTTAGTTCTCAACCGTTGAATTTTGCCCACCAGGTCCATTGAAGGAAAGTTGCTGTCCTTGACCCTTGGCTGTGCCTGGGAAGGACGGTGGATAGCCAGCAGATCAACGAAGTGGCCCAGCACGAGTCATGTATGTTCCACACTGAAGCACCACATGATTATTTAATTGTGAAATCATATTTGATGCTCAATAAAAGTCCTAGACAAATGTTTGCCAAAATATATATATATGTATATGTGTGTGTGTGTGGTAAGATTATGACTATATGTAACAGCCTCAAAGATCTTTGAAAGATATACACCCGTATCAATCCACAACAAATACGAATCCACCAGCCAGCGTGTTGTTTGTCTTTCAGATCACCATGGCATGGTGTCAAGATCTAAGGACCGACTCTGATCCCTTTTCACCGTCAGTTCATGACAAGGTGGTGCACTGGGAGGAGAGGGGCCAGCAGGAACTTGGTCACTTGGTGTGGATATTTTGAGGGGCATGGGCTGGCAGGAGGACGCTTGCTAAATAGAGTTCTCAGGTCGTTTGAGAATGTCACAGCAAGTATCATGCCGTTGTATATATACATATATACAATATATATATATATATTCATATAGTTGTATATGTATGTATTATAGTAACCCACAAGAAGATTTTGACTAAAGCTGTGGTAAATGACATTTCTGTCATTTTGGGTTGATGTTTATCATATGTACATACACGTTTAATTCTTATGCTATACTACCAGTACCCGATGTCAGTTCAAAGATTGTCTTGGGACAGTTGAACAGGGCAGCCGGGTCTAATTTCAAGGAGAAACACATCAGAGCGTCTATGGATTTATCAGATTGTGCGTTAACGAGGGTGGGGCACCAGCTAGCTGCACACCCAAAACTTAAAGTGGGACCCCAAAACAGTGGGACAACCATTTTGCCAAATCTACTTTTTGTGGATTTCAGGATCCTAAACCTGTAAATTTTCAATACTTGGAGTATTCCCTCAGTTTTGGGTGCTGATCCAGCTGAGGCAAAACCATTGGCTGCACCAATGTGTCCCTGGACGCTCGGGAAAGCCAAGTTCGACAGAAAGAGAGCCGCGGCGCCAACAGAACATGGTTTTTCCGCAGAGAGGAAGGTCTCAGGAATCCCAAAAATAATTTGGAAACCATCAGGAAGAGAAGCGAACATCAAGATAATTTTCCAAATTCATTTTATTGAATATACTTGGCAATGTTCAATTATTTACTACATTTTACGGTGTCTGAGCTCTGTAATAATCAATACAAGCAATGAAAACTATCCAGAGATGGCCAGAATGGACACTTCCATTGACTGTCAGGGGATCGCGTTTTATTCTCTGAATTTCTGACTGACTTTTTGCTGTCACAATTAGGACGGTCATTGGCAATTTCTTCACAGATGCGGTGATGGGTATGCACAAGACAGATGCTGGGACCCAAGGTAGCGATGCCTTGTGGAAAACACCTTTTTGTTCCTCCAACATGTGCACGGAATTGTTTTGAAAAGCGTACCCAAATCATAAAAACTAGCCCAGATTGTTCGTTTTGAGAAATTTCACGAGCGTGGTCAATTTGACTTTTAATTGATCCCATGTAGAAAACAGTTTCAAAATCAAGGTCCAATTTGAAGGTTCTACCCCTTGATAAAGAAAACTTGTTAACCCTGGGGTGTTTTTAATTAGGTTCCGTTTTTAAAACCAAACATTTTTGAATTTTTAAATAAGGTTCAGGTGTTAAAAGTAATGTTCAGGGAAAGCTTCGAAATCCAATGTTTGACAATACTTGAATCAGATTTTACAAAGGAATTTGGTCGATTTTAAAATCGAAACTTTTAGTTTTGTCAATTAAGATCTGAAATTTAGTATTGGGGAAAGCTTCGAAATCCAGTCTTTGACAATACACATTTTGATCAAATTCTAACAAGGAGCTTGATCGATTTTGAAATCGAAAATGTTAGTTTTTTTAATTAAGATTTTTTGTTTAATCACGGAAGCTAGCGGTAGCTAGCTGAGTTACTCTTGCTTCAGCAAGGGGAGGGGCAGGCCTGAGTCCAACACAGTGATTTTTCACTTGAACCCCCCCCTCCCCCCCCCAAGCTCCCGGGGCATTTTGAAGCAGTCTCGGAAGCAGATGGTCACGGGCTCGAATCCTGCCAGGGCCGTCCCTTTGTAAATCTCTAGCTCAGGATTTGTTTTTTTTCCTGTCCATTTGATGTCCGCCGACACTGCCCAGATTTAAGCCACATTCAAATTATAATTGGGGATGGGGCCCGTCACCGTCTTCTTACGTTCAGATGTTTTGCGACTTGCAACGCGAGCTTAGATGTTGTTCGGGTGCGCAAGATGTCTCACCAGCACATTCGGCTCGCTATACTTCTTTCTGGCTCGGGTCACGACTGTGTCGATTTGAGCCCCATTGAAAATCATAATTTTCGATGGGGCCCAAACTTTATAGAGTCACCATCTTCTTTGGTTCACATGTTCCAAACTTTCTAGAGGCACCATCTTCTTTGGTTCTGCTGTTTTCCGTCTTGCAACGGACGCCTACATGTTGTTCGCATGCGCAAGATGCCTCACCAGAATTTGGGCTCCATAGCGTTCTTTCTACCTCAGGTCAACACTGTGTCGATTTGAGACCCATGGAAAATTATAATTTTTGATGGGGCCCAGACTTTGTAGCGTCACCCTCTTCTTTGCTTCAGATGTTTTACGACTTGCAACGGAAGCTTCCTGATGGTTCCGTTGCGCAAGATGCCTCACCAGAACATTAGGCTTCCAGACTGTGTCGATTTGATCCCCATCGAACATTCTGATTTTGAGTGCGCCCATGGAAATTTATACTTTTTGATGGGGCCCGAACTTTATGCTGTCACCATCTTCTTTGGTTAATACTGGCAATTACTTGGGGTTAGGGTGGAACTCTTCCACAAGATGCCTCACCAGAACATACGGCTCCATAAATTGTTTCTACCTCAGGTCAGCACTGAATAGTTTTGAGCCCCATCAAAATTATAATTTTGGATGGAACCCAAAATTTCCCCGGTACCAGGAACTTCTAACAGTTTGGCAGTCCGCCCAATAGCATTCTTTGATCCTCGGTCCAATCAAAAACATTTCTTGATAGGGGCCTAGGGGCCCTTTTTTTCCACTACCCATGTTCTTTGCGTCACATGTTATAGGACTGCAAGCTGAAAATTACACTTCTTCTGCGACACCCTCTTGAATCCTTCCATATGGATCACTGTCATATACCCTTCCCTGCATGTTTCCGAGTTCACCTCACCTAGTTCCACATTCATATAACCTTTAGCTTTCGTTCACCCCCCCCTGGGCCTCAAGTATTACGGGAAAGCTTCGAAATCCAGTTTTTGACAATAAATATGTTAAGCAGTTGTTTAAAGGAATTTGATCGGTTTTGAAATCGTAAATGATAGTTTCTCGAATGAATGTTTCTAATTCCATATTAGGGACCAGCTGCCCCCCCGAATATTAAATGACCTTAATTAAAAAAGAAAGGCCCCTAGGTTTTATTATTTAGGGAGGGGGGGCGTTTGATGTTAGGGCGACGGGATTACATACATAATCGTTTATGTAAATATATATATATGTGTGTGTGGTGTGATATGGAATAGAATGTAATGGAATGGTATGGTATGGCATGCATGGATGCATGCATGCATGGATGTATGCATGCATGCATGCATGTATGCACTTACTTGTGTATTGTTATGTTATGTCGCGTTCTGTTTTGAAACCTAATGTAATGTAATGTATGTAGGTATGCATGCATGCATGCATGTATGTATGTGTCTTTGTATGTGAATATGTATGTAATGTAGGCAATAGTTGTTATTCTAATGCTCATGGCAACGGCAACAGTAACGGTAATGGTAGCCGTGATGGTAATGGTATCGGTAATGGTATGTATGTGTGTATGTATGTATACATATATAGAATCACATAGATACATATAGATGGATATAGCCCATCTATTCAAGTGTATACCACTCATATTGTGCAATCATGGTGGGAGCTTCCCATCCGTAGACCTGGCCATTCGCCAAGGATGTGGTCTTAATTCCAGGCGGCACCATCCGAGGGGACAAGGCGGGGCTGAAAGATTGAAGTTGGGAAACGATCCCACTAATCAAAGGAAGTTTAATTCGAAGACTTCCGGGTTACGTACGAATGTCCAAAGGCAGTCTTGTCATCATCATCATCATCATCATCACCATCATCATCATCATCACCATCACCATCATCACCATCATCACCATCATCATTTTCATCATCATCACCATCACCATCATCATCATCACCATCACCATCACCATCCCCATCGTCATCATCACCATCATCATCATCATCATCATTTTCTTCTTCATCATTAGCACCATCACCATCATCATGCCATCATGCCATCATGTCATCACATCATCATGCTATATCATATCAACAGGTTGTGATCAAGAGATATCAAGAGCAGCTCGCACGTGGGAACAGTAGAGGAGAGTAACAGTTCGGGAACGGGCGAATGAATTCACAGGTGAAAACACTCTCGGGCGTGAAACCTTTGTTTTTTCGGGTAATGAAGTTGTCGACAAAAAGTGCACGGCACTATATTTGCACTCCAAAACCGCAAAAGAATGGTGGGATCGGAGCAGTTTTGGAAGATGAGGTCGGCAAAATGTGCACCCGACTGTCGCGAGAGTTCGATTTTTTAAAAAAATGAAAAAATGCATATGCTCGGAGTAGTGCGGCATCGCATTGACAGCGCTGCGCGAAGGTTGCTTGATTTGGTGCAATACTCCTCCTCTGCGTCTTTGCAACCGGCTGCAACAAAACTTATTGGCACGGCTGCGCGCAGCAAAGCATTAGTGATGCTGCGACGCTCCTGCTATTCGGGATTGCAGCTGGGGGTCTCCAAAGGCATCGTAACAGCTGCGCGGAAGGTAGTTTCTGAGCACCATCCATTCTTGTGCTCGGCGGAATTACAGCTGAACGTGGCAGTTGCAAAGTGCACTTTAACAGCTGCGTGAAGAGAAGAATTGGGTTGCCGACAGAAGAGGTAACTGAGGCAGCCTAGAGCAGGGTCAGAGAAGAAGTAGCCTAGATAAGAAGCTGCTGAAGTAGCTGAGAGAAGAGGTACTTCAGCAAAGCGGTCGCTCAGTGAAGACGTAGCTCAAAAAAGAAGTTTCATCACTGATTCATTGATTCATCGACTCACTATTCATTGATTCGCTGAATCATTGGTTCATTGATTCGATTCACTGATGCACCGACTCACTAAATCACCCGTTCAATGATTCATTCGCTGAATCATCGAATCATCGATTATTTCGGTTCGTTTGTTCGTTGATTCATTCATCGACTCACTCATTCACTGATTCATGGTTTCATTGATTCACCGAATCACTGATTCATTAACTCATGAGTTCACTCATTCTTTGATTCATTGGTTCATTATTGCTTCATTCGGTCAGTTGTGCATGGATTCTTTCACTTCAACAGTTCACTGCTTCCGCATCGCAAGAACCTTGATTTCTTATAGCCTTTTCACTTTTTCGAAGCTTCCGCCCCAGCACGGGCCGGGCACTACCTGGACCAGGTATAGGCATGATTTACACCTTCTGTATCTTTTTGATGGCTACTGTGCATAATTACCCAATCAACAAGTGTCACAAGTGTCACAAGTGTCACGGCATGAGTGAGACATGATAGGCATGTAGATTATGCCAAGCATTTTCCAGCCGGTCATGGCAGGTTTTTCCTGCGGGAAAGCTTTCAAAGAAGTCCGTGACGGAGATGTCGCCAGGCTGCTACAGTCAGGGCCCGGGCCTTTCAGCAGCCAAGATGCGGATTTGATCATAGACAACAGAGGTTTAATAAGGGAATAAGGGCATTGGCTTTGTTCAGGGATGGGGCATGCCCAAAGATCGCTACTTTTCAATTTATTAATGTGGACAATGGTGATAAAGCAGTGCCTCATTATTGGATGTACCAAATTGCGAGGCCTCATGGGGCTTGCAATATTTATCTGATATGTGGCCTTTACGTAGTTATTCAACTTCAGCATGTGGTTCCTCTTTTTCACATCTTGGCCTTGTGCTTTTTGAGTTATGTTGTTTAGATGATGCTGTTTTTCTTTTAATAGCGATTCTTTTTCGTGAGACTTTTAGTAGTATCTTGTCAGTTGCTCGATCACTATATTAGACATACATGGATGCAGCTGCAAAACCTCTGAAGCCTTCATGGGAGAGAGAGAGAGAGGGAGAGAGAAAGATAGATAGCTAGATAAATATATATATGTAGATATAGATATTATCTTTGTAGATAGGTAGATAGATAGATAGAGATAGAGATAGGGAAAGAGAAAGAGAGAGAGAGAGAGAAAGAAAGATAGATAGGTAGGTAGGTAGGTAGATAGATGGAGAGCGAGAGAGAAAGAGAGATAGATAGCTAGATAGATAGATAGATAGAGAGAGAGAGACAAAGATAGATTGATTGATAGATTGATAGGGGGGAAGATAGATAAATAGATAGATAGATAGATAGATAGACAGGTAGATAGGTAGATAGGTAGATAGGTAGATGGATAGATAGATGTATTGTACACGCTACTCTTTGACCTTTTCACCCTGCAGCGCTTTCAAGTTCTTCAATATCGTGCATTATTTCTTGAATGCATCGCAGGCCTAGGCTTGGCTTTGGTCCATCTTTTGTTTGATAGACAGCAACAATATTTCAACATGTAAGATTATCATCAATTATCTGTATGATGAGCTTGCGATTGGGTTGCGCACTGCCTTTCGGCCTTTCGGAGGATGCCTTGCCTTTGCATCTCACCTTGTGAAAACAAATTGGGGACTTCATCCAAAAAGCGGGTTAAATGGTTACAGGCCATCAAAACAATCCATTCCTACAGCCCAAATCAGCCAATTATTGGTGGAAAATGTCATCTCCATCTCCAGCCACTGCGCAGTGACAGAGCAGTGCTGAGGCACCCATTTGGCAACTCAATTGTGAAGCTGTGGGTGAGAGCGGGTGACATCAAGCTACTTGACTGGCACATGATCCAACAAGAACTGCGAGTTGTAGGTGTATATTTAATGGTGAGATGAGTGATCTTGATTTATGCTGTGAGGGAACTCTTGTTTGATCTATTTTCAGCATTTGCTGCGGACTCAGAGGCATGTCTGTTCAATCCCTTACCAAAATTGTGATTTTACAATTCAAACTGCAAGGTTAAGGCTGAACGGATGATTCTTCAAAGAGAAGGGCAGCACACCAAGCGACGCACAGACCCTATATATATATATATATAGTGTATTCTTTATGCGCCTTTCTTGTAGCTGACCTTCTACAGTCACCTTGAACTTGTGAGGCCAGAATTGCATTGTTCACCCGCATCCAAACCTAACACCTCACAGTTAACACTCTCAAGACTTGGATGGTAGATCCAGTATGTGCTGTGAATTATTTGGGATCCTGGGTAGCAAGTCCGCTCATTGTGACGATGCCATGTGGTCCCATATGGTCCAATGGGTTTTGACTCATTCATGACCCCCATAAATCCCAAACCCCCATAAATCCCAAACCCCCATAAACCCCACAAATCCCCATGATTGGATCCCCATGTCATGTCCTGCGTGAAATCATGACACCCCCATCTGCTTAAGTCCCCTTCGCTGATCCATCGATGCGCGTGCTTTTGAGGACATACATCGATGAAGAGCTGGAATGTTTTGAGTCCTCCTGCGGCCGGTTCCTACATGTGGCAGGTTACCTGGATGGAAAATGAAGGAAATTGGTGCCGCAACTTGGGAGGCCGGGATAGCAAGCTCATGGTTTCGTGGAAGGGTTGTTCAGAATATGTGTTGCATGACGTGTTGCGTGGACATTCCTGAAATCATTACCGTACTCTAGATCATTTTGTTCTTCAGCGCTCAGAGGCTTGAAAGGCTTGAAAGGTATCTCTGACCTATGGTCGGCCTGCATCAAGCAGGAAACGGGCATCCTCCAGTGCCGGAACAGGTCATTTATTTGGGCTTCCATGCTCCCTAGCAGTATCACTTGATGGATGTCTCAGCACCTCCCAGTTTGGGAGGAGAGCCATTCAAATTTGAAGTATTTCACAGAAGCAGTTTCTTCTTGAAGTTGGTTTAACTTTCGGGGTATATAGATTAAGGTGGCTGACATGTAGCCATTATGGAGCGAGAAGATGCTCAGCCCGAAATTCTGTAGCCCCATTTTTGGGGTATCTAAGGTTATGGCTCATGAAATGATTTGTTCACAATTTCGTACCTCAACCCTGGCCATGCTTTGGGACCCAGGACTGCAATACACCTTCGACCCGAAGGCGTCAAAGGGTCATCGGGTGACGCGCTTGCGCTACGCTAACGGCACAGCGCTGAGGGAGGACAAAGAACTCACCGTGGCCATGATCGATTACTTCTATGCCAAATCGGATCCCCGGAGAAAGCACATTTTTTGGGTGGATGGGTTGGTGAATGGTGAGTGGTGTCATTCTGCTCTATTGTATATACTTTCCATCCAGCCTTGTAGGCGATGAACCCGAACCCAGGCAAAAGTGGCGATCTAGCTCCAGTGGATATCTGTCCAATCGCGCTACAGCTGGGTATAAACCTCTTGCATGCAACAGATGCATAGCTATTTGTAATCATAGGAAGCTTAGAAGTCCAACTTGTGGTGAGAACAGTCAGAGAAACAGAGAAGAGAAAGAGTCAGAAGAGAGAGAGGGTCAGTCGAAAGAATATCAAGGTGCGCAGAAAGGTAGGTAGAACAGTCGCGAAACATTGTGTTTTTTCCATTGTTTTGTGGCTCCGGAGGGTCGAAGAGTAGCTGCGGAGCCATCTGGTCGTATGAGAGATCGAAAATTGCACGCCGCTGTGGCGCGAAGCACCTTTTGAAGTCAATTTTTTTAATTTTCCTTTTTGAGCACTTTTGGAAACTGAGATAAATGCACGCCGCTGTGGCGCGAAGCAAATTTCGAAGTCAAATGCCCAAAACACTGCATGTTTGGGGTACTTTTGGAATTGTGCTGCTCAAAAAGCGCACGCGGCTGTGGTGCGAAGTACATTTTGAAGTCAAAATGCTAAAACTCCTCATGCTCGGAGCACGTTTGAAAGTTGAGATGTTCAAAAAATGCACGCTGTTGTGGCGCGAAGCACACTTCCAAGTCAAAATTTTAAACACCGCATGCGGCTGTGGCGCAAAGCACATTTGGAAGTCAAAATGCTGAAACCACTGCGTGGTGAGACGTTGAAATAGTGCACACGGCTGTGGCGCGAAGCAAATTTGGAAGTCAAAAGGTTGATTGAAAACATTGCGGGTTTGGAGCGCCCTTGAGTTGAGATGTTGAAAAAATGCACGCTGTTGCACATTTCGACCACAAAAGTGTTAAACACTGACAGTCTCAGACCACTTTTGGACGTTGAGATGTCCAAAAAGTTCACGCGGTTGTGGGGCGAAGCACATCTCGAAGTCAAAATGGTCAAAACACACCACGTTCGGACCACTTTTGGACGTTCAAGCGTCGTTTTTCGTGGCAGGATCTGCAAACATGCAGTTCATGTGGCACGCGCAGTTCAAGAGACATATGGGGCAGTCATTTTTTGGAGGTCCGGGAGCAGATTTCCTGAGGGGTGCCTTTTGGAGCATCAGATCATCAGGTTTGCTAAGATGATCTTGTGTCACAGGTGCGGCACCTCACTTTTTTGTGGCAGGCGCAGTACTTTAGAGAGATGGGACAGAAAAATCGAATACGCATTGCTATGAGGCCGTCAGCTCAGCATTGAGTTTTTGAAGGAAGTCTAGCAGAATTGCTTCGTTTTTGACGTTGTCAAGTGCAAAAATGGAGGAAGCCTTACACAACTTCATCGTTTTGGACCAAAAGTTTTGAAGCTGTGAACTTTCACTTTTTGGGGATGTCTCGCAGAATTGCTTCGGTTTGGAGCTGTGCACATCCATTTTTTGAGGAAGTCTCGCAGAATTGCTTCGTTTCAGATAGATAGATGGATAGAATAGAATTGAGGTGAACTGCATTGATATCAAATGACAAGAATTAATAGACTAGATAGACTAGATAGAAAAGAATAGGATAGGAATAGAATAGAAATAAATACGGTGGAATAGAACAGAACAGGATAGGATATGATTGGTATCTAGGTCGACAGGTAGATAAACAGGCAGGTAGATAGACAGATAGACAGATAGATAAGCAGGCAGATAGACAGACAGACAGATAGATAGATGATAGATTGGATGGATGGGTGGATGGATGGGTGGAGAAATGGATAGATGGATAGATGCATAGATGGAATAGATGGGTTGGATAGATTAATAGATTAAATAGATTAGATAGGTTAAATAGATCCAGTAGACTGGTAGATAGATAGGATAGCATAGGGTAGGGTAGGACGGGACAGAAAGAGAGAAAGAATATACTAGAATAGGATAGGACAGGATAGAATGCAATAGAACAGAAAAGAACAGAATAGAATAGAGTAGATAGAATAGATAGGATAGATAGATAGACTGGATAGAATAAATAGAATAGGCACTATAGATAGACATGGTAGAAATAAATAGAAAAGATAGAAATGGAGAGAATCGATGGACTGGATAGAATAGATAGAATAGAATAGGGAAATAGAATAGATCGATAGATCGGTAGAGAGATACACAGATACACAGATCGACAGGTAGACAGATAGACAGATAGGTAGATAGACACATAGATGGATAGTTGTATAGATAGATGGATAGGTGGATAGATGGTTAGATGGATAGGCAGAAAGATGGAAAGAACAATTTCATCGATAGATAGACAGATAGATAGGTAGAATAGAATAGAATAGAATAGTATAGAAAAGAAAAGAATAGCTTAGAATACAACAGAATAGAATAGACAAGAAACTGAATTGAATTAAGTTGAATAGAATTGAGTTGAACAGAATGGAATGGAATAGAATTGTACTGAATAGAATGGAATATAATAGAATAGGATAGGAATAGACTTGAAATAGAATAGAATAGAGTAGGATAGAATAGAATAGAATAGGACAAATAGATAGGTAGATAGGTAGGTAAACAGGCAGATAGATAGACTGATAGATAGACAGATAGACATACAGACACCGAGAGAGAGAGAGAGATTCAGAGAGACGCAGGGAGACAGAGAGAGAGAGAGCAAGAGAAATTACTTTACTTCGTGTGATCCCCACCATGACATTTATACATTTTCTTACTGGCAAATCTTCTGGCATTCTATCTGACATATCTTCTGGCATTCTATCTGGCAAATCTTCTGGCATTCTATCTGGCATATCTTCTGGCATTCTATCTGGCAAATCTTCTGGCATATCTTCTGGCATTCTATCTGACATATCTTCCGGCATTCTATCTGGCATATCTTCTGGCATTCTATCTGACATATCTTCTGGCATTCTATCTGACATTCCATCTGGCATATCTTCTGGCATTCTATCTGGCCGTTGAAGTCTGGCAGTGCCCACTGGGATCTGGAGCTCGCGGTTGAGGTCCGGCAGTGCCCACTGGGATCTGGAGCTCGCGGTTGAGGTCCGGCAGTGCCCACTGCGACCTGGAAGTCGCAGTTGAGGTCCGGCAGTGCCCACTGCGATCTGCAACTCGCGGTTGAGGTCCGGCAGTGCCCACTGGGATCTGGAGCTCGCGATGGAGGTCCGGCTGTGCCCACTGGGATCTGGACTGCGAGGAGGAGGCAGCGGGTGAGGCGGCGGGTGAGGAGGCGGAGGAGGCAGAGGAGGCGGAGGAGGCGGAGGAGGAGGAGGAGAACAGCTCTGTTTGGCTCTAACAACCCTCACCTGGCAGGTGGGGAAAAAAAACAGAACCTTAACCACCTTTCGATCCGTCAGTTCGCTCTGCCATCACTGCATCTCATCACAACAAAACTTCCGTCACCGCCTTGTGTGGCACTACTGGTATCAGATGTGTATATATAATTATATATAGAGAGAGAGAGAGAAGGAGAGATTCATAGGGATGTTTATAGAATTACTTGGAAAACCGTATGCTTTCATATTTTTGGACATTTTCTTGAAAAAATGCCGTAAAAAATTGTAGCCACTGTCACACAGACACAAACCAACCCGTAGGAAAACCGTATTTTTTTTCGTCATTTTGAACGGCCGTAAAAAACCGTAGCAACTTTCACACAAGTGGCTACAGACAATCAAAGCCATATGTAATGATAAAAAAACAAATGGTCAAGGCCGTTTGACAAAAATAAAATGGGATTATGGTTTTCCAGGTCAAACATCATCATTTCGGTGGTTTTTAGCCCTGACCCTTCTATTTGCGTTGACCGCCAACGTGCCGTGCCTTCACCGATCTTCCAAGGACTGGCGACAGAACAAACTCTTCGAGATGGGCACGGTGAACGATGCCGTAACTTGGCTTCGCAGCGGGGCCAGGGGGGCCGGGTTGGAACAGTTTGGGGACCTTTGAACAGGGGCAAAAAACTTGGGGAAACCAAAAAAGTTGGTTCAAAATGGAGGTTTCAACGCGTTTTATTTCAACCATAGAAAGGGAACAGTGATTGATGATGATCCCCAATGGCAAGCACAGTTTTCAGATGTTTTCAAAGGAGTTGAAAAATCCCAGCCTAAGTTGAATACACGTGGATACACTAAACATGAACAAAAAACACATCATCATTGTGGCATTTTTGATCGTCTTGATTGTTGACCACTTAGTCGACTAAGATTCGCATTTCGGCATTTCGGACTCAAACTATGCTGAACCTCACTAGGAGGTGATATCAATGGGGCTCTAGCATGAATCCCCTGAGATCCCTGAGGCCAAGCAACACCATGGGACCATGATTACCTCGGTTCGTTCGAGGTTCCTCTGATTCTGGCCCTCTATGCTTACGTCCAGAAAGCCGGCAGTAGCTGCATTGCACCTGCCTTGGAGGGACGCATAGTCCAGACGCCTTTAGGGCCTAAGGGAGGAGGCGGGCTGGGGGGTCAGGGATACAAACCTTTGCAAAATGGAACCCGACCATTTGAAACGTGGGTTTAATCCAAGACTACATTTATATAAATTATATGTTTAAAAAACCTAGGGTTCATATATATAGTCGTTTTTTGATTTCATCTCTAGATTGGATATGATTTCGTCCTCACATGTAAGTTTTGTTGCAATCTATTGCATGGATGCACAGTTGGGATGCAAGCTGATGATGGTTACCTTTCACGATGCTTGGGATAATCTGGGTAAGCAGAATCCATTGGATGGTTTGTTTTCAAGGAGCCTTGAAACATCTTGGAACATTTGAGATTTCAATTTAGTTCAGCCGAGCCAAGTTTCATGAATTCTGTTTCTGATGGGTCACAATCCCAGGTGTTATTAGGCATCAGCGATTTGCACGCTCGTTAATGGAATTGTTAAGCCAATTGGAGAATTTCATCACTGTGTTCGTGGTGATTGTTAGTTGTGCTTCTGGGATCATATTTGGCCGCATTGCTTAGCATTTGTATCCCGCTACAGCTACAGCACTGCCGGTTGACTTCAAATCTGTTTGTTCCATCTCGGAACCAGCGGCATGTCATCTCCCACGGTCGTGCGGGATTGTGTATAGAAATGCCCCCCTTGTACATTCCGATGGCATATTAAAATGCTCTTTTAAGACCAAGTGGATTTGGATTATGTATCGTGTTCCGGGTATATGTGCGACATAGATATATAGTTGCATGCATGCACGTATGCAAACATATACATGTGTATATTATATATATATATACATCTGTGTGTGTGTGTCTAATCATTTACATATTTTACACTTGCACACACGCATATATAATCATACATATATATATATATAGAGCGAGAGGTATTCATGTAATTGAGTGTACTTACTTGTAGCATACCTGCAATATATATATAATTATATATATATCTCTCTCTCTCTATCTATCTGTGTGTGTGCATGCGTGTTTGAATATACATGTGTATATATAGATAGATGCATGTCTATTCATACATAGAAACTCAGATGCCTACACATAGTTGTTTATAGTTGTATGTTTTGTTTACATGCATTGGCTGTGCATCCGACTAAATGGCGTATGGGCCCCATATCCCATAACATAGATGGTCCCCCAGGGGGCTGAACGCCAGGTCGCCGTGAAAGCAACTGAGGGCAGTTCCACGGAGGTCCGAGGTGGCTTAGGAAACACGGGTGCTGTATAGATATAGATATAGAATATAGATATATATATATAGGTAGGTAGATAAATAGATAGGTTCGATTGCATAGACAGATCAGATAGGATAGATTGAATTGGATTAGATTAGACAGGTTAACTAGATAGATTAGATATGATAGATAGGATAGGATAGGACAGGATAGGTATTGTAGATAGATTGGATTTGATAGGATAGGATGATTGATTGGTTGGTAGATAGGTAGGTGGGTAGGTGGGTAGACGGGTAGATGGGCATATAGATAGGTAGATAGGTAGATAGATAGACAGACAGATAGATTGATCGATAGATAGACAAAATATTAAGTGTGTATATATAAACAGACATTGATAGATCTAGATTTAGATAAAGATATGCACCTCTTAGATACAGATATTGGCATGGATAAACATGAATTGTTGGTGAATTGAAGTGGCAGCCACTGTGCCATACGAACTTCATTTTCAGTTGGTGCCACAGTGGAGTTTCCCATTGCGGCCATTGCAAGCGATGCGCTGTTCCCAGCACTTGGCGACAGCAAAGTGGCCGCACTCCTTCTGGAGTTGGGTTTGTCTCAAGAAATTGGATCCAGAAATTGTATCAAGTTTCTCCTTGTTACCCTTCTGTAAACAAACATAAATGTGGAAAACCCATGATTTGTAGATATTTTTCCTAGGGCATCCATAGGTTTTCCACGTCTATGTTCATTTTCTCCGAGATAAGTTTGCCATAAATTAGGCTAACTGAATCCCTATTTTGAGACAAGCCCGGTGTGCTTTGCCAGTTTGCTGCCATGTAGGATCCTCATTGGGTTCAAACTAAAGAGAAATGTGTCATGGCCAAGAGATGAAAATTGTTCCATATTGTTCCGCAGTTTATATAGAGCACCAATCATCACCAATCATTCCAACCTCAAAGTTGTAATGTGTTGCAATTACGAACCAAAAATTCTGTTGTCGTTTCTGTCGTCGTCGTCGTCGCCGATATCGGAAGCTCCAAGGAAGACCTGTCGATCAAATCGTGGTGAAAACCATGGGAAAATCATGGGTACTTCATGATGGTTATACCATGTTATACCATATTTGAGGGTCTCTATTGAATCGTTTTTCTGGATCTACCATATGTCATATTTCATATATTTCACGGATGAACATCCAGCAAGTACCTGGGTGAACTGACGCATCATCCTTAGGACATTGGCCCTGTTTGTACACATGACTGGTGAATGTTGGCTCTGCAAAATCAAGAGTATGTTAAAATCCGTTGGTCGAATCTCAGAGGTTTCTCATGAGTTGAATCACGTCAAATAATCGGGACACAGTGGCACATTTGCTACCCTTTGGCGCCATTCCACGGTCCTCAAGGCTGTACCTGCGAATGCAGGTGCTGGCGTTTGGTCGCCATTCGGTGCCAAGAAAAGTCGGGGCGAGCGGCGATCCATCGTGCATTGGATTCCCCTCTAGGTACTCATGGAAACAGCCATAGAAATTAGAAATTGCCATGTTCAATGCGGAAAGCATCTACAAACGATTAATTGTCCATGGCTATGTTTAATTGCTAGAGGGTTGGATTTGTTCCTTTTTGACCCATTATAAATTTGGGGGTGTTTGATATTGGGGGATAGGATTCTCACACCATGTTACGATATTAACTAAAACTTGTTCAATTTGCTGGGGCCATTCGAAATTGGAATCATCACTATGTCACTCCTATTGGCCACCCAGTACCAATCAACAAGGTGTCCCTTAGGTATATTAAAGTATAGTAGCCCATAAAGATAGAAAAGTGATTCATATATAGCGTATAACTATTTTAATGCTCTTTACTTCTCCATCCTTTTGGGGGTTACTATATAGATTAACTCTGGAATTGGTAACATTGCTCGGCACGATATGCCCTAGCCTCTGCCCCACATCCAGCGGTAGGCAAGGCATCGTTTATGACAAGTGGCCGTTCCGCTTGGACATTGACACCGAGTATCAGGATGCCATCGGATGGTTTCGGGTGCTGCAACTCTTGTCGGCGTGGCATGTGAATTCCATTATGTGTTGAGTGAGATGGAACTCCATCTCAAGATCAGAAGTGAAGCCTGATGGAGAATATTTCAAGAATAGTCACCATGAGGAAGCAATGGGCAATGTGTAGTTTTGTTTATGCGTCCTGCAATGTCCTGCATCTTTAAAGACTTTAGAGGCTCATGCCAAAAAATATAAATCTACCATAAATCGACCATAAATAATGATCAGAATGGACCCTTCGTCTGACACTGCAATTCCAGGACTGGATCCTGATCTCAGTACCTTGGCTGATTTTCATGGGGATGATTAAATGGAGTTCTCATGGTTATCATCCACTTTGTTTAATCATGTTCAATCCCACTTATTGAAGATTGAAGGGAAAAAGTAGATGAACTCCCGATTGGCGAATGTCCATGGTTCCAATTTAATAGGAGGGTAGTCAGAGCCACCATCCCCAAGAAGGTTGGCTGTTGGAAACAGAGGAAAACGCGTGTCATTTTCCACAAGCAACGGATAATTTACGCATTTCGGCGTGGTGGAACCCTCCAAGATGACATGGATGGGGATCCATCCTGTGATATTAGGAGGATAGTTTTGTGGTTTGAGAATGTTAAGCCCAAGGGGGCCTCTCAATATCTTGCGGTTAAAAATCCTGGTAACCAGGATATGCATCTTGAAATAATGAACCTGCAGGAACCTTCTATATCAGTGTAAAAACCCATGGTGTCCCGCAGAGCTTCCCAATGCGTCATCCTCCGTGAAGATTCCGCCGAGGCTTGCGTCCTGGTGCTGGGTTTTTGGACAGCAAATCCTGGGGGCTGCTTCGTTCATCCTACTGGGTTGGTTTGAGGGAAAATCTATGAAAATCTAGAGGCAATATGAGGCAATCTATTTGGGCAAACTATGACGCAAGGGATAAACTATCCCAAAATAGCTGAACTTTTCGGGTCAGTGAATTATTGTTTTTTTACAGATCTGTAGTTTTTCTTTCAACCGCAAAGACGTGCAAAGGATTCCTACAAGTTGTTCTCAAAAACAACACTGATATTTCTGGGTTTGCCAAAAAAAAACTCGAACTCCTAGAATCGATGTTGATCATCACGTTCCCCCTTACAATTAAACCGTAGCCATTTTGGCTCAAGGGCCATTCTGGCTTGCTGCTCTCGCGCATGGCCCCGGACCCCGTTCTCCTTGGCCTGCGTGGGTCTCGGGACACTTCCGTGTTCGCGCGGCCCCGATGGAACGCGCCTGAGCCCGCGTCTTCCAGGAGGCAGGGGCCCGGGTCAGCGTCAACGTGCCCCTCAGCCACATTTCATGAACTTGACCCCTCCAGTCGCTGACGGACGCCAAATTGAAGTGCTGGCGCAGGGCTCCTGCGGCACGGTGCCCAGCTGGCAGTTGACGCCACCCTGACCAGCCCAGTCGCGCGCGACGGCAAAGCCCGCCACGCAGGCGTGACGGTCCCCGACGATGCCCTTCAGCGCGCCACCGCCCGTAAGCGCACCACCACCTACACCGAGTTTGCCCAAAACAGGCGGTGCCGGCTGGTGGTTGTCGCGATGGAAACAAGCGGCCTTTGGGGCTCCGAGGCGGTCCTCGCGCACGCCAAAGCCCGGGGCACCCCCCCGTGGCTGCGGCCCACGACCGTCGGGGCGTACATCCACCGATGGGCCGCCCTCCTCGGCATCGGGCTACCCAGCACGCGTTCGCGGCGTCGTTCCTCGACCCCCTCGTTTCCGCCCTCGACACCGTCGATCGTTTCACGATCTGGTGGCGGAAACCCGCTACACCGATCCCCCTTCCCCTATAGCCGACTCCCCCCAACACGGGGGGGGACACTCACGCGCAGAAACTTGTGCGAGTTTTTAAAAAAATAAACATTGCCATACGCGGGGCGTTGCCCATTTTTAGACAATCCCATAATTATCAACCCATTCTATATAATCCCTTCCTCCTAATACTAAACATCCCCCCTATTACTGAACACGGCAGGTAGTTTTTAGTATTAGGTGGCATTTATTATTAAAGAACCTTATTCGTAAAATTAAGCCCTTTGTGATAAAAACATATAAAAACTATTTTTTCCGATCTCAAAATCAATTAAATTTCTTTATATAATGCAATTAAAATATTGCCAAAAATTGGATTTCGAAGCTTCCCCCTAATATTAAATTAAAAGCCCTAATATAAAAAACTAGGATGACTAGGATCACATAGAAAGATAGCTTCCAACATGGCGGAGGCTCCCAGGGAAAACACTCGTCGATCCCTGGAATCAGATCTAGATGCAGAAGAACCTACCGCCAAAAAGGCAAAGGCCAAGAGACAATGGAAGGCAGGTACTTTGCCAGACACCAAAACACCAATCAGAGCTGGCACCAATGAAAAAACACCAATGAGACCAAAAGAAGATAAGAAGGCTATGAGAGAAGCAATGCAGGAGGTAGTAGACATACAGATGGAGACAGTGACAGAGAAAGTGAAGGAACTCCAGATTTCCATGAACGAACTGAAAGAGAAGATGTACGACTTGAATGAGGATCAGTGGGCATTTAGGAAACAACAACTGTGGGCACTCAAAAATCAAGTGAAAGACCAAAGAGACAAAGCATCGAAAGAAGAATGTGTAGTTGGTTGGCCATCTGATGCCACAGCGTCACAGAGAGCTTCCTTCCTTGCATGGTGCATTCAGAATGCCGGAATCGAAGCAGGTAGCTACTATATGTCCCACGCGACCAAGCCAGGAGAGCTATCCCCAATGACAGTCATTACATTCCCGCAATCATGGATGAGGACTCAGCTGGACAAATGGTACAAAGACAACTACATCACGCCAAAGACCCAGTTGTACTTCTACAAGGATGGACAACCCACAAGTTCGACAATCAAAATGAGACCCCAGGTAGCACTATGGGACAGAATCAAAGGAGAACCGTTGAAAATTAGCATGAAAGCAATGGACCTTGCAGTGGAAGATGGCACATTGCAATTGGACATGTCCAAACTGAAACCTTGGTGGGGACAAAATGCCGTGTATGATGAGTACTACACTTACGTTTGGGTGCACTATAGCGTAAAAGACGTCCTCGCCACGGTGTATCTGGATGCCATGGTGTATGATGCGGTCCGGAAACACTGGTCAGAAGCCAAGGAGCTTGTGAGAATGGGCGGTACATCGCGCGCAGCCGGAAAAGGAAAAGGCAAAGGCAAAAGTAAAAGCAAACACTTTGACACAGAAATTGGCGATTTCCCCTTTGACTATAAACTGGCTGAGGTAAAGGATTGGAAATATGACAAGGGAGTAATGGAACATGGTCAAGCCGCCGCAGCGGAAGATGCAAATGGACTGTGACTAGTCCATCCATCAAATCCAACTAAAAAAGTCGTTTTTAAAGTCGTTTCTAAATCAGAGGAAGCCAAACAGACAGGTAAGATAAAATCGATCCTAGGTTCTTCACCTTCAGGAGGTGAGCCGGATCAGCCGCGGGGGTGTTTTCATCTTCAGCGGAGACAAACGAAGTCATCCACAGGGGCTAATACTACTCGAGCAAGAAATACTAACAGAGGCCTGCGTAGTTTCAGTAGCAATAACAATAGGATTCTAACCAGACAAAATCGTAGGCGGTCGAACCGGCGACAATTTCGACAATTCAAAGCTTGGTATCACCAGTTTGTGGCTAAACCAATAGCCCCAGAACGGCACTTGCGACAGTGCAAAAACCAGCATGCTTTTTCGAAGTCAGCCATGCTGGACAGAAGTGCGCGAAAGAGCCTGTTTCAAGAATTTAAAAACCCAAACCAAACGGACAAAACAAAAAGGACTTTCAAACTCAGATATAATCGGCCACTGAAGGTTGCCACGCTGAACGTAAGAGGGTTATCTGGAGAAAACGGGTACGTTAAAAAGAGGCTCCTTGTTGACATCATGAAGAAAGAATGTTATGATCTTTTGTTGCTTCAAGAAACCAACCATAACAAGAAAAGCGTGGAAACCGTCCAAGGATATGATTTCTTTTTCAGCACAGACGTTTCACCGCGAGATGCTGTACAGACTGAGAGAGCAGGAGTTGGTATCGTCGTGTCAACCCAACTGAAACATTTTATCTATGATGTCAAGCAAATTTCGGGCAGACTCATATCAATCAGTCTGAGATCGAAGGGTCGCAATCTGTGTTTTAGCTCCTGTTATGCGCCACACAGTGGACATGATACAGAGAAGAAAAATAAGTTCTATGATGAAGTACAAGCACATGCCAGAAAAGCCAAAGGCATACACTTTCTTGGCGGTGATTTTAACGCCAGGCTTCACCACAGATACCAATCTGAGGAACCAGCCATGGGACCATATATTTTCGGAAGAGGCTGTGAGTATTTAGAACAAGTTAGTGATTACACCTTGGAAAATAGGTCTCTTTTCGTAAATTATTGTCTACAGGACGGCCTCAGAATTTTGAACACTTGTTTTAGAAAACAAGCGATGAACTACTGTACTTTTCGCGAGAACACAACTGAACATGGTCCGGAATGGACACCTCGGAAGTATGCACAGCTTGACTACTGGTTGGTTGCCGAAAAATGGCAGAAAAATTGCAGGGATGTCTCAGCCAGAACTGACATCTTTTTTCCTTCTGATCATTATATTGTTGAAGCTAAGGTTGGTGTAAGATTGGTTGCTGATAAAAATAGCAAATCAAGGGCCCCTAAATTTCGGCAACCGACGCAAGCAGAATTTGTACATTACAATGAATTGCTGACACGGAGACTCAACAATTTGGTGATGAATTCAGAAACTGCTTGGAGTGAAATCTCCAATTGTATCATACAGACTGCAAAACAAACCTTAACCAAAATTGACCAAAATCAAAGGCAAGAATATTTATCACAAGAAACTTGGCAGAAAATTGTTGAAAGACAACAGGCGCATGAAAGTGGGAACCTTGGAGTTGTTCAGGAACTGTCAAATAAAATCAAGAATCTAGCTAGGCGAGACAAAAGACGTGCTGTTTTTGATTCTATTAGAGAAATTCCGGACCAAAGAGAAAAGTGGACGGGTGTTAAAAAATTGAAAAAGAACAACAGCCAAGGTTCATCCACATGAAGGATCTCCAAGGAGAATATGTAGCGCCGCGTAATAGGGCAGAAGCAATTGCCACTTATCTTCAGGACAAACACTGGACAAATGACAACAACACACTTGTTGACCGGACGGACCGAATACAGGACTTCAGACATTTGTTTGACTTGAGACCGTTTACTATGACAGAGTTTGACGCTGCTTTGTCTTCTTCCAAAAGGAACAAGCAACCGGGACCGGACAATGTTATAATGGAGCTTTTCTCTTGGTTGAACTTTGAAAACAAAACTTGGTTTCTCCGTCTTGTGAACTTATGGTGGAGTAACCAATATGCCCCTGAAGATCTCTTTTTTGCTCGCGTGGTGCCCATCTGTAAGAAAGGAGATACAGACGATCCAGCGAACTACAGACCTATATCATTGTTAAATTCTTTCTACAAGCTTTACATGATTCTGATACGGCAGAGGCTTCAGGTGGTATTAGAGGACACGTTAACGCAAACACAGTATGGGTTTAGGCCGTCTAGAAGTACCTCGCATGCACTGTTTTTGACTAGGCGTATGCAAGATATCGCAGAACAACAGGGTTCAAATCTTATTATAACTTTCCTTGACTGGAAACAAGCTTTCGATAAGGTACAACACGACAAACTTTACATAGCGTTAAACAGGCTTGGAATTCACGACCATTTCATTCAAGTCATCAAAAACTGCTACCGTAACCCCTGTTTCTTCGTTGAAGACGAATTTGGTAAGTCGTTGCCCAAACGCCAAAGATCAGGTATACGTCAAGGATGTCCTTTATCGCCTTACTTATTTGTTCTGGTCATGAGCGTGATTGATAATGATGTTAATTACCACCTAGACAGAGACGCACTTTAGGAACCAGAAAGCCAGGTATCAGCTTCGATCGAATTTACTATGCCGATGATACTGTACTCCTAGCCACCAATACTTATTCTGCCAATAGAATCCTCTGGGCTGTTGAACGGGTTTCACTGCAGTTTGGCCTTAAATTGAACAGAGGCAAGTGTTCCTATATCGCTATGAATGGGAACAATAATCTCAGATTCGCAGATGGGACCAAACTTTGTAGATGCACTGAAACAACATACTTAGGACATCATATCACACGAAGTATGAACATGAGACAGGAAATCGGATACAGAATGCAGCAGACGATGGCTGCTTGGACCAAATTAAAACCTTTTTGGAAAGCATCCAATTGCACTGTTGGTTGGAGACTACGCGTTTATCAGGCTGTCATTCAAAACAAACTGATTTATGGTCTTGAAACCGTGCACTTGACACAGGCAATGCTAAACAAGATTAACGCGTTTCAACTTCGGGGGCTTAGATCTATATTAAATCTAGAGCCCACATTTGTTAACAGAAGAAACACCAACGAATTTGTAGTCACAATGGCTTCCGAAAAAGCTGGGCACGAAGTGAAACTTTTCTCCGAACTTCTTTTGGACAAACGAGTTAAACTATCTGGACACCTTTTGAGAGCAACAGACTCGGACCCAATGAGACAAGTAGTTTATTCTCCTCAATCAGCAAACGCATATCCGATTGGTAAAAGGAGGGTAGGAGCGCCTAGGCAACAATGGCGCCACTTCACCCATAAACATATTTGGAACAAACTTACGAACGGATGGACGGACTATTTAAACACGGACGAGCAAAACAGGCGAATCCACCAAATGGCTCTCGCACGACAATTTTAAGCTGTCGCAGTGCCGGCCCACGGACGCTTTAGCGACCATGGCCGGAAAAAAAAAAATATAAAAAACTAAAAAATTTGGTCGGACCGTAATAATAAACACCCCGGGGTTGACTAGTTTTTAGTATTAGGGGGGAAAATCCACAAATGGTAGCTTGATTTTCAAATTGTTTTCTAAAGGGGATCAATTAAAAGTCAGATTGGCCAATCTGACATTTTCCAGCAAAATTGGAGATGGACACTAGTTTTTAGTATTTGGGCGGGGTTTAATAATAAGAGGAAGGGATTACACCCCGTCAAGTCCAGAATTGACCACTAATACAATAGGAAGGTAGTGTACCCCAATGAAACAAAAGACGCATGCTATTCGGCCATGCATTTGTTCAATGAAGCAAATTGGGAAATCTCCCAAATCTGGTTGGTCATAAGCCATCGCCCCAGTCCCCCGTTTTATGGTTTGAAGCCTGAAGGTATTGGATCCATACACGACACCGAGGCATTTGGTGTTTACCCTGCATCTGTGGGAAGTTGACCAGTCGAACGGGCCGGGCGTTCTCAGCCTTTGTCTACAAGCGCCTGCATACCTTTTTTCTGCTGGTGCCTTGTTGAAAGAGAACTTGGACCAAAGATGGAGAACCATTTGCGGGCCCGTAGGTGCCTCATGGACATAGAACAGTGCAAAAAGATGCAAACAGCATTATTAAAGGATCATGATTTGGAGAAGCAGTGTGCTCTCCGTAACTCGGGTTATCTCGGGCTATAACCTTTATCAATATGTATCAACATGTTATAACATGTTATAACTGGCTCATGCAGGTAGTCACAAGTGGTGGCAGATCATGTGAATCCTCCAGCTGGGGGGGCCGGAAGCACATGGAACCACCGGGCAGTCCGTAAAGGCACCCCCAAACCACCAGTAAACAGAAATGAAGCGCGGTAATGATTGAATCGGACATATCATTTTAAAAAAAAGTTTTTTTCAATCAGCAAAAGCATCAGATATTTGCACTTTTGGGTGATGAGACTGGATGATTTTCATTGATTTTCCATCGCCAACTTAGCCAAACAACTAACCACAGCACTGCTCGAGGCGACTTACTTCAATGTTTTCATCCTCCTCTTCACCTTGGGCATTTTGCCCGATTGGACAGCCCCTCGGACCCGAAAGCTGTGAAATTGCAGCTGACCTGGTCTTTCTTCGCGGACTTTTTTCTGCATCAAAAAAGAGCATTTGATCCACCCAGAAGGGGCCCTTGGCCCTTGTAAGTTTGCTTCGTTTCCGCCATCGTTTCGTGCAGAGATATCCACCATAATCCATCGTTTCAGGTCAATGAATTTGTGGTCTACTTGGTGGGTTTTATCGATTGGGTCTTCGTACATACGGAGAAGCTCATAACGTCCTTCTCCATTTTGTTGCTCGGCAACGGTGACGATGAGAAGGAACAAAGCCCAGGTCTTATGACTTGTGCCGCATGATCTCCAACCATAGGCATTCGCCCGTTAGTGTGGGCTGTTGGAGATCAAAAAGTTATGACATTATGATTTATCCATAAGCCCCGTGCATCCATATATTCAGCACTCAACCCCTTCCCTAGCCATCACTTCCAAACACCATTCTGCTCATTGCAATGGGCGCAGCGAAAAACCAAGATGTCTCCCTCATTTTCGTGAGAGCCCGCCTCACATGTTTCAGGCGGACTTAATGGACAATCTCAATGGGATTACATAACCATAAACCATGGTAGTTTAATGGGAGTTCAATGGAGATTGAATTTATTGATGGTTAATACCATGTTATACCATATTTGGGGGATGAACATCCATTTGCAACGTGTTTTGGTGTGAGCAGAAGGCCACTAGGTTTTGGATCCATAGCCAAATGGGAAGAGAAACATGTCAAGATTCTTTGACTGACACAAGAATATGATGTTCCAACCAAAAAAACTATTCATATTGTATCCCCACTATCCCAACAAACATCAGGGAAATCTACAAACATCCAGGAACTCATCTTCAACTCACCATTTTTCCTGGCTTAAATCATGCTATATCATGTGAAACCACCAAATTTTGCAACTCTGTCACAATTTCATCATCCAAAAATCACCATGACTTCCCCCATGTTTTCCGCCATTTTCCACCCCTTTTAACGCTTAAAAAAGCGGTCCCCGGTGGGCCCGTTGTCCCGTTGCGGTTGCTGCGCAGGTTTTGTTTCTACCTGCTGTGGCGCTTCCGGCACCGCATCGCCTTGGCCACGGGCCTGGAGCACATCACCTTGATCCGCTTCAGCTGGCGCGACGCTGGGGCAAGAAACATGATAGATATATATATATATATATATTATATATATATGATAGGTTAGTATGTATGAATAATGCTTAACAGTTCAGGTTTACAATTGGTAATATTTAATTTAATTTCATAATTAACTTTACCATATATAAATCACCAATATGGATATACATCATATATAAAGCAATAGTAGGTGATATAAGCATACACTAATAGATGTTAGTACTGGTATATATCAATCATATTAACCTATTTACTATTTATATAATCGTACACTGGTTGGAGAAAAAATGTCCAGTTTCGGAGTTGTTGAACACTCTCAACTATTTGTTGGAGATTATATGTGCCCGATAGTTGGGTGACGTTCAGCTAGCGTATTTACCGACCCTTGATTTATTTATATATATATATATATTTAAAAAAAATACGTGCATATTATATTAAATTTCACGAGCTCCTGGGAGTTTGTGATTTTTAGGGAATATTGGATACCAAGGTCAAGATGCAATATTTGGTGCATTGTGCGCGCACAAGGGTCGCACCAAAAAACTTAAGCGTCATGGTTTGCACGGGTTTGCACTGGATCAGCCTTCCATAAATGGAATTGGTCCAATTAATCGGTCAGAAAAAATGAAACGGTCGGAAACGGTCGGAAACGGTCGGAAACATGATCAGGCCAAAACTTGTCCAACCCGCATTGCCAAAACTTGGCAAACCTTGCAATTTCCGTCGTTTGCTGCAATCACCGGAGCACGTTGGAAGTTTTTCCTGGTCCAGCCGGCTTCCCTCTCGGTTTGTCTGCTTGCAAGTTTTTGCACTTCCGCAAAGCCGCCCAAGTGCCGGAGGCTTGGCGGGCGTGACCCGTCATGCCTTGATGTCTGTCCTCCGCCATTTGGGTGTCGTCAGAAAGGAACAAAACCAATATGACTTTTTGACGGCCCGCGCATTGTATGCAGAACATGTAGTCCAGGAAGCCCCCAAAGTCTGGGAGGAATTGTGGCAAAACCCGAGCACAGAAAATACCTTGAAATTTCTCAAGGAAATATTTTTCTTGCCTGCGCTGGCCGCCGCTCATATTGGGCGGTTTTTGGAACTTAAATACGATAGCTTGTTTAGCGCGCATACTTGCAGTGCTCTGGGACCAAATGCTTTGCTTATGCTTCAACAGATGTTTCCTGCTGAGACTGTTTCGGCGGCGGTCGATGGACCAATTTGGCAAGAGTATTTGCAGAGGGTCATGGCGAAGCTGCGTCTGGAATTACGACCTTTTGCGGTCAGATTCTTGGGTCCGGAAAATGCAGATTATTTGTTGTCCTGGGAACATCCTTGTGTGTCATTGTATAGCCTAACACTGGTGGAGCATTTGTTATGTGAATGCCGCAAGATCTTCCAAGCAGAGAACCGTGCCCACAAGAAACGGAAAACGACAACGTCAGATGATGAATATTTGATTTTGTGGACAGCTGCTTGGGATGCATTCCTGTTTCCTGGAAGCGGATGATGGAGCCGCGAAAAAGATGATGCAGAGCCAAAAAAAACCAACAAAGGGGAGGAAGGTGCCCAAGAACTGGTTGAACTTTCTTGAGACATCATGAACACTGACGCTGTCAGGGGCCACAATTCACCACAGCTTCGTCTACATTCTTCTAGTCGCTATGTCTGGTACATGCGGGGTCCCCATGTCATTGCTGAGTTGGCGGTTTCTGGCAAGCGACATTTTGACAACATGCCATTTCATCTAGATTTGCTCGCAGGAGCAGCTTGCTGAAGCCAAGGACTTCTGTCGAGTTGTTTGAATGTATGTGTCGAAGAAATTGTGGAAGGCGCTTCGTAGAAATTGTCGGGGATGGAATGCGCTCTTGCATCTACGCAAGCCCAATGGGAGGGAGGAAGGGTCTCTGAAAGAAACCAAATATGTTCTTGCCTAATATGATTTCACCCTTTTAACTTATAACCGTAGAAGTGTTCCTGCAGACCACGTGGAATTGTTTGAAGATGGCATAGCATCTTATTGCTACAGACGTGATTGTCAAACCTAGCAGGAGCACATGTTGTCCACTGATCCGCGAGGAAGAGACAGCATCCGAAGCAAAACATAACCAACCTGTATGTATGCAAATGGAAATATAAATATGAATGCTATTCCCACTAGTACCGCACGAGGGGGTGGTGGAAGTTTCAAACATAGGAAACCTATAGGAGAGATTGATTGTTGTGAATCACGGATGGCAAAGAAATCCACTGATGGACCGAAAGGTGGTTGCACGGGAGTTTTTCTGCAAGACTTCCTCGATTTTCGAAGTTGACAACATCAAAAACGAAGCAATTCTGCGAGACGTCCTTCAAACATGGAAAGTTTTGGCTGTTGCCACTAGCCTTTGAAATTAGATGGACTTGCTCATGCGATATTTCGATACCCCAGGAGTTATGAACTACAGAGTCATATGGCTATGAACATGTTGTTACTGCCGAGGGCGTGATGCTCACATGCAGCGGCACCCATGCAGTGGTTGATGTTCGGCATTCAGGACGTGATATGTTTGGTTTGATCCAATTTACGGAATAACAAATGCGAACCCGAGGAGGAACCTGCAGCGAAACATTGCCATAAAACATAGCCATGCACATGGAAATAAATAGAATTAAATAGATACATATATATATATAATATGTTTTATGTATCTATATATGTATATATGTGTGTGTATGTTTATTTATATTGTATGATTTGTGTGTGTGCATTTATATTTGCACATAGAACTACGCAGTATTATATAACTGTTTATTATTTGTAGATATGTTTCAGTGTTGTTAGCCTTTGTGGCTGTCGCCCCCGGTCTTTGAAATGAGACCAAAAACCACCAGTGTTCACATCAGTGTTCGTGCAGAGCACAGTTAGCACAGAATCGTGGCAATTTCGTCATATGGCTGACACACAGCAATCGTTTTCAGTTGCTTTGGAGGTTGGCACGGCTCCATTCGCCATATGCTATTGATGCGGTGCCAACGGGTTTATCCAGGAGTAACGAGCCTCAAGTACCTTCAATTTATCACCAGCAAAAAGTAATGATCAACCAATGGATTTGGGATGCACAGTACTACCCACAACAAGTCGAACCCCTTGATTTCTGTCAGACCTGTCAGTTCATAACGGTTGCTTGGAAGGGATCAATCTATCCACGGGTGCACATGGGACCAATGCAATGAGTGATCCACAGCAACTTCCCGTACGTCCAAATTGCGTCGAAGACCCTCTCGCAAGAATTTATAACCTCTTCCATTTCTTCAGGGTCAAAGCATGAGCTGACAGTGCTTTTCCCGACATGCAGAAAAAAATGGTTTGCTGTGTGCCGTCTTGCTTTTGGGTTCTCTGGCCCGCCTTGTTTTTTAAAAAAAACATTTCATAGCATTTCCGCGCAACGCCTTTTTTTTTTGAAAGTCCAAAGGTGTCCAAGGCGAAACGGTTGGAAACAGTCGGAGATTGCACCCTCGCCCGGCAAAAAAGACATGTTTTTACACAATGTTCAAACATTTTTCATGAACACATGCTACAAAATAACTTCTTTTTTGCCGAGCGAAGGTGCGATCTCCGACTGTTTCCCCTTGGACACCTTTCAACCTTCAAAAAAAAAACGGCGTTGCGCGGAAATGCTTATTAAAAAATGCGGGTTGGACAAGTTTTGGCCTGATCATGTTTCCGACTGTTTCCGACCGTTTCATTTTTTCTGAACGATTAATTGGACCAATTCCATTTATGGAAGGCTGATCCAGTGCAAACCCGTGCAAACCATGACGCTTAAGTTTTTTGGTGCGACCCTTGTGCGCGTACACTGCACCAAATATTGCGTCTTGACCTTGGTATCCAATATTTCCTCAAAATCGCAAAATCCCAGGAGCTCGTGAAATTTGATAGCATATTATATACATAGGCGCGCACACACACACATGTTTATATATATATATATGTACATATATCAATATATCAATTCCAACTAGTTAATATGGTTTAACCACAATTTAACGGGATCCACGATGTACGGGGAATGGAATGCACAATTTATATATACCTCCCCGTAATCAAACATGAATATGTAGTAGTACATCCTCGACATCAATTTCAACATTTTATAATATTCGTCAATTTGTAACCCGTATTTGCCATGCTATTGGTATCGTCGCATCTACGTATTATCCCCAGAACCCGGGTAATCAAACATGGCGTGCTGGAAATTACTGCGTTTAGTTCGGTTATTGTTCCTTTTAAATGCCCATTTTTGTTCGAGGATTTTCCATTGCTATGTTTGCCGGATGGTTTATACATATACAATAATATACACATATAAACAGCAATCCCCAAAAAAGACGCCAAAAAGTTGGAAGCCTGTGGAAAGCATCGAACTACCATCCTGGAAACACGTTTCGACATTTTTCTCTTGGGTGCTATAGTATCCCCCAAAAAATGGAAGTTGGTAAAATCCTGCTAAGGTATACTGATAAAGTACCTTGTGTCTATTTTTTGGGTACCACAATTCTTGTTACATATATATATATATATGTATATGTATATATGCAGTGTATGTATATATATATATGTATATATATATTTATATGTACATATATATATATATGTATACTTACTGTATCTCTTGCTGCATGTAGAATCTCTGCTGTATATAATAAATGTATCTATATACCTGGAAGCTGACTGAATGACCCAACTTGCGTATGACTCAGCGCTAAAAGTTGGGATCATCCCAGTGGTAAAAGTGATGGACCAGAGGTATTATCACCGTGGAGAGTGGGATGATACCCATGTTCCACTTCGTCCGTGCACTGTGTATATATATATATAGAACGTATAATTATATATAATCATATATATTTATATATATAAATACATAAATATGTGTGTGTTTCGTGTTCCCCTAAACGTTGCCCAACAATCATCCACTGTAAGAAATATGCGAGCACCATGGAATCGGCATGGTATCAGTGCAGTTGGATGATACCAGAGTTCACTCAACCCCGTTAAAAATGGTTTTGATTCATGAAAACTACCCAGATGTTCTTGTTTTTCTTCCACCCTTTTTTTGGTACCTGATACCTAGGATGGTGGCACCCTGTATGCTCCATGTACAGGTATTTTCCTATGACAAACCTATGATATCCCCAATTATCCCATCCAATCCTTAGTATTGCATAGTATTGCCACTTTGAGACCAGCCAAGGATTTATGTGGCTTCGGAAGACGCCAACGCCCCGTGGAGGTCTTCATTTGGAAGGCTAACACCAGGGACTGGAGCGTCGCTCAACCAGATGGAACCCGGTAGACGCGTATCGTCAGAGTTTGCGCTGAAAAACGTTGAGCATCCATGAAGACCCCATGTTGGGGGATGGTTTATGCCCGGCTTTCGATTTATTTTGAGGGGTACCGGGTATAAACACCCAATAGTGGTTGGACGGCCATACCCTATAGAAGGTGTGATTTGACCATGGCATGAGAGATCCTTTGGTGCATGTGGTGTGGCAGGTAAAGGGCTTACAGAGCGCTTCCTCCAAACTCACGAAGCCCAACGATCTCTTTGTCGAGTGCCACATGGGTCTCTCCATTGAAAGTGTGAGGATGAAGCTGCAGATAAGATGATTAGGATATTTGAGATATTTAAGATCGAAATCAAATGGTCAACGAAATTGACCCACCTAGATGGCATCATTGGGCGAGTTTTTTTTATCTCAACAACACTCACGGTGTGACGGGACCAGATGCCAATGTTCTGCAGAATCCTCACTACTTGGGAACATTTTAAGCCTTCTTCAAACATGTCAAATACTGTCCACTAGCAAACGCGTTCGATGGGAGAAAATCAAAACTCAGTATACAAACACGATCGCATGGACAAAAATGTGTCATTTTCAGGTGCCACGTTTGAGTTCTTATGTTCCCCCCCCCAAAAAAAAAAACCTTGGAAGACGATTCTCGATTCTCCTGTGATACTTTGCCCAGCCATTGCCAGGTTACAATGAGCCCATGCGCACGCGGGTGCATAACAATGCAGGAAGTGAAGCTGTGATTCGTGAGTCCTTTCAGATCAATATCGATGTGACTCGCTGGGAAGCAGATGTCCCGTGGTTTCAGTGGCTACCGAGAAACACGTTTTCAAACGGAAGATGATTATTTAAACCAACTACAAGTACATAGGGGATTCCCCGTTGTCAGGTTCATACATAGTAATTTTCATGGCACTTCAAATTCAGACAACTCCCCCTGACAGCATGAAGGAACTCGTCCAACATCATGGTTCTCCTTTCATACCCTCTTCATTCCATGGTTTCTTCAACTTGTTTGGGACTAGGAGTCCTGCACAGAAAAGAGTTTATTCGGCCTGACCATTTCCTGCACAGGTTGTTGTTAGACAGGAAGTCCTGGGAACCTGTTGAACAAGTCTTGATTGAAACCTTTCTTTTGCCAATTCAAGATATGAAGAAATCTAGACAAACATTAAAAGTCTAAAAAAGTCCAACAAATGAAGCCAAAAAGAAAGAGTGTCTAAAAGGCAAAACAAGTAAGAAAAGCGAACGAACAGGAGCAAAACTCAAGAACAAACATCGCATTCCAAAAAAGTTCCGGACTCCTTTCATAGATTTCGGTAATTTGTTTTGGTGAGGCTTGGCTTGGTGAACTGCACCATACTAAAGGCTTCAATGGGTCAAGGACAACGTTAGGTCTTCTTGGGCTGAGGGTGATCTAGAGTCATTTGGCCTGGTTTGGGTTCTATTACTTTTCTCTGGGAGGCCCTACAACTTGAAAAAAAAAGCGTATCAATATTGTCACTTGAAAGACGGCATGACGGGAACCATGAAAACATTTCAATTAGTTCAGGAGCTGATGGCTTGAGGAACATGCCAACATGATCCAACATGTGTTCAATAGCTTTAGTATCCCAACATATCCCAAGCGCTCCGATGGTTGATATCTCCCGCATTCCCAGAGCAGGTACCGATATTAGTACCGATGCACTGAGGAGAATGCTGCTGACGCATTGATGACGCTGCTGGTGAAAGATCAGTCGCTGTTAGCCAACTCAGAAGTTGTGGCCCGGCCGTAACTGGGGTGCCCTGGAGGGCCCGATGCAAGCTGGCATGAGGTACTGCGGTAAGCCACTCCAACAGATAGGCCTTTGAAGATTTGAAGATTGATTACCCCCACTAATTCACTAATTTGACATTTCAGGGTTGAAGCCCCTGCAAATGACTGAAGAATCGTCCCAAACAAGTGGATGGAAAAGCTGCCTGGCAGCAATATGCAGCAATGGTTTCCTGCAAAAATGTCTCTTAGATCAATCAATGAATCAAGCCAGTCATGTTACGAGCCAGACATGAGCCTAAAACCATCACCTCTGGTCATGGTCCACCTTGGTATCCCGAGGCGCGAGTGACTCTTTCCACGCGGGAGCTTTGTGGTATAGAGGCCATTGTCACAGTTTGCGGTGCAGGGAAGCGATGTGAGGAACGGCCAAAGTTCCAGGGAAAATGGACAGGAAAGCAATGGAAAGCATGGATGTGATCATCCAAAAGTGTTTTCACCCTAACATCCTTGAAACTTTAAACCAAATCCCCATTCATTGGTGGGCAAATCACCCCTTCCCCCTAATATTGAAACCCCCCAAGCGAAACCATGGTTTAGTAACTAGTACTTTATCTATTCATGAATTGGGGGGCCAGTCAGATGGAATATTTGATATTATTTAATGTTGAATGGTTTATATCATCAATCATGACGATAAACTCAAATTCTACTCAAATGGTTGATGGTTGGCCCACATTTTTCAGTTTTTTTTTCTCGGAACCGGAACTACCTCACCATTTTCCATGGCTTACCCTTTGGTATATGTAACATAGCTATGGAAAATGGGAGATTTATAGTTGGTTTACCTATATTTATAGTTGGTTTACCCATTTATAGTGGATTTTCCCATGAAAAATGGTGATTTTCCATAGCAAACTGTTGGTTTACCAGAGACCGCTGTCCGCCCTCTGGAACTTGTGAGGATCAGACGGGAAAACGTCGAAGCACGTTCTCCTATACCGAGGCCTGGGAGAGTGGTAGCGACGAAGGGACTTCCCTCCGTTTCCCCCTTGTGAAGGAATGTGCAAATGCACATGTATAAGTAGATACTATATATGATTATCTATGAAACATGATGAAACATCCATGTCATTATATGTGTCATATTTAGTACAAATAAAGTATGTTCATGTAGTATGGTGCATTGATTCCAGCGAATTTTAATCTGTAAGGTGTTTTTCCAAAAAATGGGAGGAGAAGAAAAAACATTTGGAAACCCAGATGCCCTCGGGCATTGCCGCAGGACTCATTCTTAGAATTGACTCTATCACCGTCAGGCACCATTTGGATGCTTGGCGTGATGCTGTGGGGATGGTTAAGCCACATGGTAGCGGTAAACATCGTTTGTAGAGAACATGGTTTACCAATTGGATTTACCCTCTGGTAATTTAAGACTTTGCTATCGAAAATCCCCCAATTCAATAGGCAAATCATCTATAAATGAGCATTTTCCATAGGCTGTACCACATTTTACATCATTTTACCCCCCCAATTCTCGTTTTTGTTGCACGCCATGCACCATCAAAATCTGGCCCCATGTTCCGCGCCAAAGGTTGGCGGTGGCACCAGTAGATGAAGCCATGGGTGATGAGGAAACCAAGCTTTTGCTGCACAGCGAAGACTCGTTGCCCGGCCATGGATAGCCATGGATGGGAAGAGGGTGCACGGGTAGGGGAAGAAGCTCAACGTTACGAAAAACTTTTTTAATTCCTATACATATAGACTATCATATAGATACCCTGCCCTTCCAAAACCGAGAAATTTCCAGGCGTGAGGGGTAAACACGGGTTTTACCGGGTAAAATCCGGTTTTGCCCTTTTCACTGCAGATTGTAGCTGGCTGTTGTTCTAGAAGATCCACGAGGTATGTTGAAGTAGTGGGCTGATATGTTCGGCTCTTTCGACGGGACTGCCCGATCTTAATGGTCCGACTTATCCGCGCATCCATGCCTTTATTTAAAATAAAATGTCATAAAGAAGTGTGAAAAATATCAGCACAGTTTGGTGGCTCGAACCCGTGTTTCAAAACATGCGTTATCATGGGTAAATCATGGTTATATCACGGGTAAATCACGGGTTGTGGAAAATCCCGGTTTTGTACAGAAACTGCCCCAAACCAGGGTTTTGGGTGCAAATCACGGGTATATCACGGTTATAACACGGGTAAATCATGGGTTTATATGGGTTTGAGGTTGGAAGCAAACCCCCCCCCCCAGATTACCTGCAAAAAAAATGAAAAAATATGCAGTCAGTTGGATTAAATGTTATCATATGTTATCATTTCCGGTGTGGTCCACAAAAAAATCACGAAAAGAGATTGCTTCAAACAGCACCCATGCTTGTCAAATCAAATGAGCAGAGCCTTAATGTCAAATTCATTTGGATATCTTCACATCGGCAAAAAATTGGGGAAAAAAAATGGTTTTGGCCAAAAACCGGGTTTTCCGGGGTTTCCATTGCCCGACAAAACCGAGGTTTACTCACAAACCCGAGAAATTTCCAGGGTTTGGAGGTATAGGGTAGATATAGATATACTGTAGATATATAAGTTATATAGATAGATATTTAATGATATTTATAGTTTATAGCATGTGTCTTGATCAATTCAATTTCGCCATATTCACCATATTTTCTGGGTGTCAGTAGAGGCTACGTGCGATCTTTCGGCTGTAATCCCTGCATCGAGGCTACTGCCGTGTTGAGCTGAGAAACAGTCTCGCCAATTCAGTGCACGGACCACCAGAAAGATGGTGGAAGCTCCAGCTGGGACGCCCCAAAAGGCCGAAAAAAAAAAAACGGTGACGTTGCAAGGCCCCCAGAAGGCTTTGGGGCGGTGAGTTTGGGAGGTTTGAGTTGGCATGAGAAGGCTTTTGGAGTGAGATCACGTAGGTTTGTGGCAATATGTGTACATATATGTATAATATATATATATATACACATACATATAGTGATATTAATAACTAATAGTGGTTAATAGGGTAGAACCAACAACAATAGGAATATGATGATGATCTGGTTGGTGGTTTGGAATATTTTCCATATATTGGGAATAATCATCCCAACTGACGAACTCATATTTTTCAGAGGGGTAGGCCAACCACCAACCAGATATACTGTGTATGTGCGTGTGGCAAGATAAGAACTGATAGCTACTTCGAACAGACTGACCATTTTATGTGGTGGATGCACCCCAGCCATTTGTTCGTCAGGGAGCCGAACGTGGAATAGATCTGCCGCTCTGCCTTTGTGTTTTTAGGCCCAGGTGGGGTGAATCATTCCATCCTCGTAAATGTATGATTAATATGATTATATATGGTAACTATCTATAACTATATACTCTATATATAATTACATATGTGTTATATTACTAGAAAATCTATATTTTATTTCATTGCTACTATTATTGATCACTAAAATCACGTAGCCTCATCGCACCCTCACATGCATGTCCACATGTCCAAATCAGAGGTAGCATGTCTTCCGGTCCCTTAAATCACCAATAAAATGATCACATTATGTCACATAATCACGCTGATTTAAGTGGTAATTCGCTATCGTGGCTATCGGTGATTCAGTGCATCACCCTTCAAAGGTGCTGCTCCATGAGGTCCATTTAGCCCCATGACGTGCAATGATTCTTGAAGAAAGTCACCACGCTCAGCTGGCTTCAGTACAACATGGAAGCAGCTGAATGGACAAACTCAGCCTGGATCGCTTCACCAAATGATCAAAAAGCTGCCAGCATCAGATATCGATATCACCAGCTATCATCAGATACTTCATCAGATACTTCATCAGATATCCGCACATGTGGCTTCAGATACATCAGATCTCAGGCCGCACACAGTCAGATCACCCAAGCTGCGGAAAAAAAGCGCAGCTCAGGCAGCGGTTTTTGAGGTATGGCATTTCCGCGCGCCATGTGCTGCACAGTGATGCCGCCGGAAGGCACTTGGGGATGGGCCACAACTCGCATGCACTTTCTCCTAGAAAGCGGTTTTGTCCATCCAAATGGGATGATCGTTCGGATGAGTCCCTTAACCTTCGTTCAGAGAATCTACTGTATCCAATGCTAGCATATCTAGCATCTACTAGCTCCCAATTGTTTTTCGATTGAAACCCCATTCTGCCCTCCATTTGGGTATGTAATGTTCTCATGGGTTGGCTCACCAGCTAGTAACCAACTCAAATCGCCAGTGATTGTCTCATCAGCAACATTGGGGGGTTTTTGAAGTATCCTCTGGTAATTTAACATAGCTATTGAAAATGGTGATTTATAGTGAGTTTACCCATTGAAAATGGGTGGATCTTTCCATAGTTATGTTAGTTTACCAGAGGGTACCAGATAATCTACATACCCAAGACATCCTAATAGATGTGGAAAACGAACCATTTTAGGATCATTTTCCCCTTGGGGAGTTCCTGCCTGTTCCAGAGGAGCGGCTGTTAGTTCCAGTTCCAGCCAGAAATTCAGCCAGAAGTCAGGCAGTAAATGATAGTACCCTCTGGTAATTTGACGTAGCTATGGAAAGATCCACCATTTTTGATGGGAAAATCCACTACAAATGGCCATTTTCAATAGCTACGTTAAATTACCAGAGGGTAAATGTTCTTGGGGCTGGGTCAGCCAGCAATTACCATAGATAAAAAAAGTCACCAAGATCACCAAGAATGGAATCATACGTTAGTTTCAAAATCTGAAGTAAGGGATTTCATAAATGCTACCACCCCCCCATCCTATAGATTATTGTAAAGGATAATAAACGGTAGATTCAAGCAAAAACACATTTATAGCTTCCAGATCCACAATCTATAGTTGGAAAAACATCGCCTATCCTCCTTTTTCTAGCCATAGTTGAGGACAAAAGTCACTACCTATAGCTTGTAAAAAAAGACAAAGGAGAAAATACCACCAGATTAAAAGAAAGAACGCCATTTGTAGTTGACAAAAGTCATAACAAGATCATATCAATCGTGTCAATCAAACAAAAAATCAATGATGGATCATATCAATCAATGGATTGGTTTAAGGGAAAAATTACAGGAAAGTCCCATATTTCATGGGAAAACCGATGGTTTCCGGTGAAGATTTTCCCTTAAACCTCAGGCTGAGGGCCGTGGCCCTGATGGAGGGCCCAAGCTTGGTGGCCGCGGCACGACTGGAGGAGGGAATCCCCAAGTTGCCCCTCGGCCTGGCGAACTGCGAAGATGTTTGGGTGAATGAACATCTATGGAGGATACATACATGTATATATATATATATACCCTCTGGTTATTTAACATAGCCATGGAAAATGGCCCATTTATAGATGGTTTACCTATAAAAAATGGTGATTTTCCATGGCTATGTTAAATAACCAGATGGTATATATATCCTACAAGGTGATGCTCCATAAAGGTGGTGAACAGAACTCCAATTTCGCGTTTGGGGTTATGGTAGATATATCTGTGATTACTGTGGTTTATAAACTAAATGGAGGTTTCCTAAAAATTGCGGGGTACCCCGAAATCATCCAAACTTTTATAGACCAGTTTAGTATTGAAACGCATGGTTTTGGGGATCCCCCATTCTAGGAAACCGTCATATATCATCATATTGTTTCTCATTGGATCATCATACGTTAAACATGATATTGATATATATATATATATACAGTATGTATGAATGATGGATGTTCATCCACTGATTTTAATATACGAATCCCCAAAAAGGTGTTGAACAGTGTTTCCAGGATGGTAGTTGAATGATATTTCATGATATTTTCCTCCTGGCTTGAGGTGTCCAGCTTTTCAGATTCATTGAGGTTGCTGTTATGGGGATGTAATGGTTGTTGGGTAATGTTGGGTATATCGTTGGGAGATGTGTTTTCATGAACATTTGAATGATCGGATGAATATTTGCTGAAGTATGGGAATATAATGGGGATCGTTAAGCATATATTGTTTGATGGAGTTGATGTTTTTTGATGCTTAATATCGACGTTGCCACAACGTCACAACGTCAATGATGGTGAGGATTGGGGTGATTACGGTGAGGGTCCGAAAATGGCCGAAGATTTTCATGTTGGTGAATTTCTGTAATTGATCTAGGTTAATGATATGATTCACGCATACTTGGGCAAATCCACCTCCTTTTACTCTTAAAACTAAACTAAGAAAACCTTAAGTTTAATATAGTTCAATCGTGTGCTTAGGCTTAGCTACATTCCAAAATCATCCCACTTGTAATTCCTTGTGCTCTAGATATTTTTGAGACCTTGAATGCTTCTGAGATGTGGGTGGGCGCCAGAAAGTGCACGGGATCCTGTCAGAATTGTTGTTGAGCTACCCTTCGCTAATCAGATTTGGCTAGCTGGGAAATCCCCAGAAGGTGAAGGTTTATGGCTAAGAAATTCATCTATAAATGGGTCATTTTCCAGTGCCAGGTTGAAAAAACCATAGGCTGTGTGGAAAATTTTCAGCAGTTACCATTCTGAAAAACACCCTTTGGAAGGCTTGATCTCATACATGACTTAGCCACCGGAATGCCTCCACAATCCTTATGCCCTGTGATTAGCTAAGTAGGTTTATATTCCATAAATTCACTGGATTTCATGATGATTCGAACTATACTTTGGTGGGTTTATCAACCGACTTAAACACGTTTTTTCCCCGAAACGACCGCGGAGGTTGGTGAAGGTGAGTCCAGCTACAGCTGGAAACAATACCAAGAACCTGGGAGAGGCGATGGGCAACCGTTGGCCATCATAATTTGAGTTACCCTCTGGTAAACTAACATAACTATGGAAAATCACCATTTTTAATGGGAAAACTCGCTATAAATGGCCATGTTTTTCGAATCTTTGGTTGATGTAGTAGGTTTAAGATACCCTTCTTGGTAATTTGTTACATAGCTATTGAAAATGGCCATAGAAATATATAGTGGATTTACCCATTGAAAATTGTGATTTTCCATGGCTATGTTAAATAACCAAAGGGTACTCAGTTTTGGCCCATGATGCCATATGTTGAGCACAATGATATGAGTTAATTACTCAAATTTGGCCCATAATCAAAGCCATATGTTGAGAGAAAAACGTATAAATTTTTCAATGTGTGATGTAACAATATATGATCCTAGGTACGAACTGCAGACCACGAAGCGCCAGGGAACATATCGGCAGTAGCATCACCAGACATACTCATGTGGCATAACACATGGCCAATGGGAAATCCACTACGACTGGGGAATCTACAAGGAATATTTTTCAGTTTTCGGGGATTCCTTAAGCTTAGCAAATTCACGTAGATTACCATTGAACATGATGTCATGATGTTTCTTTGTGATGGAATGCTGGGAGGTATGGAACAACTCCCCATCCCACCGTCCTTACGTCCTTTTCCCACTGGTTAATCAACAAAGAGGGATTTTTTTCACAACCCTCCCCAGCTATCACAGGCTTCAACTCATGGAGGGGTCTATGTTACATAGTCAAAGGATGTTGAAGGGGTGCTACTAGCCCTTGAGCTAACGTGACGACCCATAAGTTGGGGGTTGGAAGACTACTTTCGTCAAAAAAATTGCCAAGTTTCTCTAGGTCAGGTTTCAAACTGTTGGGGATGGTAGATGGTATATACATGTTATACATATACATATACATATATATATATATTATATATATATATACATGTGGATGTATAGAGGATTTTGCCAACACCAAAT